CTCCTTGGTCAAGCAGTCGTCTGACGACCCCCCAGAGGTCGTAGGCGTCTCCTTCGCTGCCGATGTGATCAAACGCTACCGTCAGCTGATTCTAGTACTGCGAGAATGCACCACGTCCTTCACTGCTTCCTGCTTGGTACATGACGAGAAACACGATACCCTCCGTGACGGCCTCACACAACTAATTTTCGGTCTCCATCCACTTGACGGTCCAAGAGCAATTATACGTGTAGATCCCTCCATGGCCAACAATGACTCTCTCAACTACCTGAACGTCACAATCGATGTCGGTCGCGTTAAGAACAAAAACAAGAACCCAGTCGCTAAGAAGGCTGTCCGTGAACTTGAGGAAGAGCTCATGAGACAAGAGCCCGTTGGCAGACCAGTAAGTGCAGTTGGTCTTGCTCTCGCCACTGCCCGTCTTAAATCCCGTCTTCGCCTTCCTGGCCTATCATCTCGCGAGTTGTGGACTCAACGCAATCCGTTCACCCACGAACAGTTGCCGTTGTCTGATTACGACCTCATACTTGGTAAACACGAGCAACGTTCCACTAACCATGCCTCCAGTGAGAAGTCTAAGAACCCTCGCCGTCTTGTTCCAAACACGCCTTCACTACAGGTTGGCGACATTGTATACCTCATTTCCGATAAGGACAAGTCTCGCGCGCGTGATCGCTATATCGTGGTTTCCATCGACTTCCCTTGGTGCTTCGTTAAGAAGTTCAGTGGTTCACAACTGAGGGCCACCTCCTACAAAGTCAAGTTATCCGAGTGTTACGCTACTTCTCCCCCCGTTATAGTGGCCGATCATTCTGGTCTTCCGGCTTCTCAAGACCAGGATGATGAGCCTTCTCCGGCAACCCCCGCTGTGCCTGCAGCCTCAGTATCACCAGAGTCACCTCCTCCCGCGCCGCCTGAGCTTACCTCGGTGCCGTCTGACGAGGAGCAATTCCCTTCGTCCACGTGTGATGACACTACCCTTGAAGCCCCTATTGGCGTTCCCTCACTACCTGTTCTACAGGAGGAGCCCAGCACCAGTGCGACAGCCCAAGATCAGGCCCTGCCGTCCTGACCCAGTTCTTCTCCTAAGACTCCTGGTCCAAGACCTCAAAGACAGCGCAAACCACCTTCGTACTTAAATCACTATGTTAGATTTTAGCCTTCGCGTCGTTAGTTTTATCCTGCAGCGATAAGTTTTAACATGCAGTGACTGTTAGGCCGTAGTCTGTTTGTTATCAGGTTTTGTTCTCCATTATGACACTATATCTTTCGTCTCGGTTCTAACCTTTTAGGTAGTTTGCATTCATTTACGCGGAAGAAGAAGTTGCGCCAACAGGCAGTGCCTGCGGCATTGTGTTATATTATATGCACGCCCCGGTTTTCCCTCGTGTGTGTGATTATCGCATCCACCTTGTTGTACGAGCGATTCCGTTGACATTAAAGCTGTTAGAGTTCCTTCGTTGTGACGTTCCTGTCTCCTCAACATTGGCGCTTGCTTTTTCTCCGCGTTTCTTGTGGTCAAATTGATTTGAGCTTTACGCGCCACAATTCCTTCCTTGAGTCCTTCGCCTTCAGCCAGAGATTCACTTGTTTTTGTTCGGTAGGGTTCTTTCCAGAATCCAATTTCTTCCTCGTTGACGATATCAAGCACTTTCTGATTTTCAACGAAAACAAAAGTTTTCAGACTACTGGAGTCATGAACAATAGGCTCGGTTTGATTGAATCCCTGAAAAATTGTTTGTAGTGATTTTTTTAGTTCAACAACTTCCGCATTGGTGCTTCGTTTTAAAAGTTTATCAGCTTCCTCCAGTGATGATTCGGTGGCATTTATCTGTTGTTGAATCGCACTTCTTTTTGCTTTTAAAATTTCGAGTGACTTCTTCGTTTGGTTTTCCACAGCGGTAATAACATTTCTCATTTTTGCTTGAATTGTCTTGATCAAGTCATCAAGCAAATTTTTGGACATCTCTCCTAGCGATTTCACTTTGTTGAATCACTTTAGCACAGTCCTCGTCTAGCTGAGCAATTACGTTCAGTTTTGCATCTAACCCTTCTCTCTGCGATTGAAGGATAGATTTTATTTCGAGTGTTTTGTTTTCGGCTTCTTCTTCTATTAATCTCAAATCATGACCTTCGTGATTCAAAGTGACGCACGTTTGGCAAAGAGCCGTCTCGCATTCTTTGCAGAAGTATTTGATCTCTTCTTTCTGGTGTCGTTCCTTTGAACAAAACAATGGTCGCTTCAATACATCCTCGTAGTCCTTGTCTTGGAACTCTTTCACTGCCAATATGCGGTGTTCCTTTTCGTCTCGCATCATATTGTGACCAACTAGGCATTGCTCGCAATAAAATATGCAACACTGGAAACAATACGAAGCTTCTGAACTCTTCTTGTCGCAGTTTCCGCATGTCACTTGAGTTCTTTTGCATTCTTTAATAGCAAGAACATCGGTCAAGCCGTTCAAATAAAAGCTAGTTGGTAGTTCTTTCAGATAACTGCTTGCTGGTATTCTGCTTAGGGTTTGGCACTTTGGACATTTAATGGCCCCTCCACCGCCGCACGTTTCGTGCCATCGTTTCAGGCACTTTAAGCAGAAACTGTGAAAGCAGGAGAGATGTTTAGGATCCGTAAATAAGTCCGAGCACACCGAACAAGACACTTCTTCGCGAAGATTGTGAAATAGCGTTGTCAGATCCATGATGGCTTTAGGAACAAAGGCATAGTGACCTTCAATGCACTCCACACCCAACAATGAAGGAAACAAAGGACGACGAGCCAATCACAGACCGCTATTGTAGGAGTAAATTATTTTGAAACTTAAACCAGACGTAAAATGATCAATAACAAAGAAAGATTACCGTAAATCCTCTATTAAGCCCCCCCGGGGGGCTGGTAAGTCCTTCGTGAAGCAAGAATGCGTGAAAGCCACAGCTATGCATGAAGTATGTAAAGCCAAGTACGGTTGCGGTGTAGATAAAAGCAAAACAACTGTTAGCCTGAGTACTGCCGCTTCCGTTTCTCTGTCCAATTTTGTTTGATGGCAGAGGGTGACTTGACACAGTCTAAACAACCCAGTGTGAAAGTACTATATATTGTCATGTTCTTAACGCCTTAAAGCGGATTTATAACTTAATAAGAACTTCTTCTCATTAGTAGATGCTCATGTTTTCTGCTTTTATGCGTTTAGTACAAGTCTATAGTATAATCTGATTGTGTCACAGGTCCCTAACAGAGCCTGCTATACAGCACAATTGTTTCAGCTACAAATCGCGACAGCTAAATGACAACACAGGATAACCTAGGCCCAGGCCCCCTGGTTTCACGGTGGGGATATCAATTCGTTTATATTTCAATCATCTTTCTTTATCTTAGAACGTTTTAGCGTAATTCGTTTTTGCCCAGAGTCATTCTATTTAGCATTAGAAATATCATACAGAGGTTGTGTAATGACACTTAAAAAGTAAATTCCTTAATACATCAACTCAAAAAGTTCAAAGCTGATGTACTTTCGTACTTTTGCAGTATTTGTACTTTCATACTTTTTTGTTTTAGAGCAAGTGGGATTGATAAACGCCCATTTTTGGCTTTGTTTTGTTGCTGAGCTTAGTTCATAGAGGGTCGTGAAGGGGGGGTACCAAATCCCAGTTTCCAGCCTAAATTTGGCCCAAATCCCAGTTCCCGGGCTAATTTTTGCCAAAATCCCAGTTACCAAATTTTCGGTGTGTATAACGGCATTATTTGCATTGACGTACTTGATTTCTAGCACCATTTTGCGAGAAACCTTTTCCGAAGCCATTTTTATCTTCCCTTCACAATATCTTCCTGCCATATATAAACTTGCAGAACTTGTCCGCTGACCAGGAAAACTGACAGAACGTAACTATGCAACCGTGTAAGCCTGGTAGCTAGACCGCGGGCGCGAAGGAGAAAAATACTGATTTCACGGTCTCTATTGAGGAGTGCAAGGTCTGTTGCTACGAAATTTTATTTTTCTATTTCAAAATATTGGAGCAAGGACCACTGAAGAAAAGAAATCCCATTCCCATTTTATAATTGTTCATCCCATTCCCAGTGGCTAAATCCCAGTCCCAGTGAGTAAATCCCATTTTCCCAGTCCACAATAAAGCTAATCCCAGTTCCCATTTTACCCCTTCACGACCCTCTTCATAGTACTCAAAGTTCGCATCAAGAAAAAGTGACGCAAAAAGGCCATTTTACAGTTGAATTTGGAAACGAGGCTGCCGTAAGCTCGATTACCAGCCGCTGTTCGGGAAAATGAGCCCGCACTCATCCCCACGAAGGAGTCTCTCTTCGGGGAGGATCAAAGACCCGACCCGGGAGACGGCGGAAATCGAGCCTAGGCTGCCGTTGATCTTGTTTTGATACAACCTTTCCTGCATTATTATGCAAATGATGTTGTTCTTATGCTTGCTAGTATTTTTTATTATAATTTTTATAAGAAAAGAATGAACGTTTGTATTAAAACAAGGTCAACCTCAGCCTCACGTTCACTCAAAGGCTAGGACACTAAGCCCACAACCGTGAAATGGTCTATTACATAACATTTTGACGGGATATACGTAGACTCTACGTATCCCGTCAAAATGTTATGTAATGAAGGCTTCATTCTCTATTTATTGCTGTGTTTCTTTTCTTCAATCTAAAATTTGTGTTTACCACGTATGCTCAATTTGACTTGTGCGAAATAATTTCTAAAGGGAATGAAATGGTTGCAACAGCTTAAGTGTTAAGAAAAAAGAGACGAAACAGTCGTTCTCGACAAGACCTTTAATTTTATTATTGGACTACGGCAGAGAAATATTCTAAAATACCGGTATAAAGCACACGAACAGAGGCATTGTTTTGATCCAAACGTCAGTCACTGTCAACAACAGTCCCATTCAGGGCTACGATCACGTGGACGATCAGGCTCCGTCTACTTATAAAATATTTATGTTCATACGTAAACGATCAGGTGATTCATCGTTATACCAAATCGATAGTATAACCAGGTTACATCTTGGACTTGAGTGCTTCTTTCAGCTCAAGTGTAGCCACTGCCTCCAAATGAACCTCATCCGGGCCATCAGCAATGCGAAGACTCCGAGCTCCTGTATAGAAATAAGCCAGCGGTGTATCCTGGGATACTCCCTTCCCACCATGCACCTGAATCACTCGGTCAATGACGTTACAGGCCATGCGAGGAACTACGATCTTTGCCATAGCAATCTGTAAGAGTTAAACAGTGAAGTTCTCAATCGATGTAAAACAGTCTTGTGCCACTCTTTTTCAACCAATTCTCCGCTGGAATTTGGTAGGTTCACCAGGTAAGCAAATTCAATATCATTTGTCATGGCAAGACAGATCACTACTGAAATTTTCGCCATCAAACTAATCTTGCTATAACAGTACACTACTTAATTACCAAAAAAGAGGTATATACAAGAAAAGGTTCAGCTGTTTCATTCGTGTTCACAGCTCCGTACTTTCTTTCTCACACAGAGCCGCCAGACAAACTTCAGGTTGAGATAGAGAACATTAGGGAGCTTACGCGACAACGACGGCGACGTCTACGAAAGCGTCACTATAAACGTGAATTCGCGCTGCTTCAAACTTTATCGCGCTTATTCCAACTCGTTCAATTCGTCAGATGTTGGCAAAATTTCTGGAGTTGAATTCTAAAACACTATATCAAAGTTCAGGAAAAGAACAAGGAAGTCGTTGTCTTCGTCCACGTCCTGGACAAAACGTGAAATTAGGCACTTTCACCGGTTCTAGCCGTGTAGCGACGGCAAAGAAATGTACCAAAAAGCGTGATGCACGTGCAAAAATGTTGTTTTTCCAATCTAATTATAAACCCAGGGTTCGTACTCTTTTGAGCAATTCAAATTCCATGACTTTTTCCATGACCTTTTAAAACTTTTCCAGCAAGATCTTTATAGGTTTAGCTGTCACTTTCAAACCTTTTTAGGACTTTCTTTGTTTTAGGGTATTTCTGGACCATAAACAGCTCAACAGACACAAACTCTGGTGTCCACCAAAATGCTTGCCGTTCGCGCTGTTCAATAACTTCTCTCTATTTATATTGTCCTTGCCTTGTTATCGACAGTAACTAATCTATCAAACAAAATTTTAATTTTCCACGACTCTCGAGGACCGACAATTAAATTCCATGCCTTTCCAGGCCTTGAAAATGAAATGCTTAAATTCCATGACTTTCCAGGTTTTCCATGACCAGTACGAAACCCTATAAATCCTTTTTTTTTATTTGCCGTTCTCGTCGCCGTGGCCGTCGTCGTTGCTTAAGCTCCCAACGAAGAACGCACGTTGCAACAACTGAGGAAGATCATTTCGGTTTGGTCACTAACTTAAGTCACACTAAACTGTAGACTAGAACTATAAAGGGGTAACACACGAGGGACATTCCCGACACGCCTGGTTGCCCTGTGCTCCCAATACTGCTGACATACCCAACTGTTTTTTTGCAGCCTTGTTTCCATGGCAATCGATGGTGTGTGCCGCCTTCAGCACAAGCAGTCTGGCCTGTTCAATTTCAATTCTTGACAGAGCGATCTGCTCCTGTACCATTCCCTACAGAAACATCAAGTGTAAGTGGTATTACTACTGATGGCCTTGCGTAGTCCCTAAGCCTCGTTGACAACAAAATTTCTCAACGTTATCGTCCGGCGTACCCGTTTTAACTACCAGTAGGATCCCATTGCCATGTTTGGCTAACAGATTCAGTCGTGCAACGGGACCTTGAACCTTCTACTACAAACCTTTTCGGCCAAACGCTTTCCAAAGGCCACTCTCTCTAAAGACCGCTGAACCATAAGTTCGAGTGATCGTTCTGCTAGTCCAATTGAACGCATGCAGTGGTGAATTCGCCCAGGACCCAAACGGCCTTGAGCTATCTCAAATCCTCGCCCTTCCCCTGTCATGAAAAAGCAACAAGAATAAAAACAAAGAAGAGTTGAATATTTTAACATTACACGGATGATGTTTTTCAACTCATATCTTCGCAGAATTTGCTAGGATAAATTAGTTCATAACAATCCCCTTTTTAATAAATTAAAAATAAAGCATAAAAGTGAATACCCTTGGATGAAAAAGTAAACCAAACCCTTGTGGATCATTAAAGATAATAGGGGTAAGAGTCCATAAGGATTTCAAATAAATGTGAAAATAACGTTTAGCTAGCTGGTAATATAGAAACTTAAATACACATTTTTGAAGTTCCAATTCACTTTACATGTGTAAATCTTCGTATAAATATTGTTGATAAAGACGAGTTCAAAAATTGAAGAGTTGAAGACTAAATTTGCCGCGGATTCATCATAAATTCAGAATAATAGTTGAAATTCACGATGTCGCCGATTTTCTTCCGTCTATGTGACTGATAGTACCATGAGATTTAACTTTTTTATACATACCCAGTATACGACATGAAAATGCCTATTTTCACTCTTATAAAGGCCACAAACACGAGACAATGAATTTCTCTGTCTCTTTTTAAACTTGAGTGCGGTCCCCAAGAAATCAACTGCAGGGAAATTCGCTTAAATTTGACATTTTCAACGAATTGGAACAAACGCAGCAAAGTTTTAAAAAACGTAAATTCATTTTAAAAGTGACGTTTTCGCTGCCGTCGCCGTCGTCGATGCTAAAGCGGCAACAAAAACGTGAATTCACGGTGTTGCAAACTTCATCGCCGTTATTCCATGTCATTCACTGTGTCAAATTTTTGGCGAATTTTTCTGGCAGGAATTTAATAAATCCTAAAGGATTGTATCAAAGTACAGGTAAAGAAAAAGAAAATTGGTGTCATTTGTTAACGTCCTCCAATAAACGTGAAATTTTAATTAGGCATTTTCTTGTCGTAGTCGTGTAAAAACGGCAAAGAAATTTACAAAATAGCGTTGTGTACGTGCAGAGTTGTTGTGTTGCTAATCTTAACCTATTCGTCACATGCACATCTCCCAAAATGCACCTTATTTGCCCCCCAAAAGTTTGCATAAGCATTGTTTTCAATTTCTCTTGGGACGGCTGTAATACCCAGGAGAAATGAAAATCAAAGGTTATGCAAAATGTTGGGGGGCAAACAAGGTGTATTATGGGAGATGTACGAGTGGCGAATTGCTTTCTTTTTTTCATAGAAAACGTTCTCGTCGCCGTCACTGTCGTTGTTGTTGTTGTTGTTTAAGCTCGGCCATTTCCACAGTTGATAACCGTACGTTGCTAAAGGAGAGTGATTCCAAAGCGACATGAGGGGCACTGGAAATTTTACGTAAATGCATACTGGTAAGAACTGTTTATATGACTCATTCTTCACTTGCTAAGCAGTCTTAATATTTCGAAATGTATTGTTTTCGGTGTTTTCTTGGTTGAAAAACTCCGTATTTGGGCAGCTGCTATCAAATTAACTCTTTTTTGGTCTTTTCAATCGGCTGAAAATCTGTTCTGACATCTGTAAGGTTTTCGTTGAATTTTTCACTTTTCAATTGATTTGAAAATACAAACGATGACCTGTCGATCCTAATTAGCGTTCCATTGTTTCAGTCATTCAACTCCCCAAAGGCTGAATTCAAATCCCTCCGCTCACTTTTCGGTCGTCAGATGAATTTTACATGTCCTTCCACGAGAGTATGTCTATTGAATATTTTAAAGCACAAACAGATATTTAGCAGTAACGTGTTTCTGTTTAAAAAAAGCTTACCACTACCACCTTTCTGTAACTTGGTTGAGAATGAATATTAGTAAGAATTAAAGAAGAAATCGTTTATCCAATACATAACTTTATTAAAAGAATATTCAAGTGAACTCATTCCTTTAACAAATAAGTCCTGTACATAACTTGATTTAAGACCACACGGGTTCACCTCGGACTAAATGCGGCTTCATTTGCCTACAATAACATAAAAGTACTGCTGTACAGCTGACAAATACATATTTTAATCAAAGAGAGATTTGCTTACTATGTAGTTTCCTCCCGAAAAAAGAGACAATTTTCATTGAAATATCTGAATTCGATGATTGTTTTTGTCGCACACAACAATTTGGTCATTACTTAGAACAGCTACTGAGAATGGATAATTGAATTCTCCTAATTTGCTGCCATTTGTTCCAAATTTTCCGACAAACTTCCCATCTAGTTCAAAGACTTGTATTCTATGATTATCCTCATCACAAACCAACAGGTGCTTTGACTGAGTCACCGACAGAAAACGTGGATAATTAAACTCCCCATCCCCCTCCCCCTTCTTACCAAACTTGTACTGAAAATGCCCCTCCATGTTAAATACTTTGATACAGTGTTCATCTCTGTCTGACACTATGAAATATTCACCACACTCAACACAGTGAACAGGACCATTTAAGGAACCCTGCCCACCTATCTTCATTACCAACCTACCATCCGGGGTAAAGATCTTAATCAGTTTGTCACCTGCATCAGCAACGATAACATTACCAGTACTATCTAAGGATAAACCCCGAGGGCCAGAGAGCTGACTATCAAGGCTTCCTTTGCCACCAAATGAACCCAGGTGCCTCCCCTCCCAGCTAAAGATCTGTATTCTGTGGTTATGAAGGTCTGCTACGAAAATTTGTCTATCCTTATCAATGGCTATTCCAATAGGGCAGTTGAACTCTCCAGCATTTTGACCTCTACGACCAAAGGATCTTAAGAAAGTACCATTACTGTCAAACACTTGAACCCGATGGTTCGCATAGTCAGCTACTACTATTTCGTCCCCATCATTCACTGCCACCCCATAAGGATACTTAAACATTCCTTCACCCGAGCCTTTGTTTCCAAAAGATAAAACAGGTTTGACTTGAAATGGTTTTAAAATCACAGTAAAAGGACTACAAGAAATATGTTTCCCGTTTACCTTAACTAATAATTTGAATGTCCTCTGAACTATAGGAAAATAAGTGATTTTGTAGATTCCATTTTTGTTATCATCTATTTTCACTTGGGTCACGCATTCTCGTTCTTGTTCGTTCTTGATCTCTACCATGACACGGTCCCTCTCATCATACCACTGCTTTCTCCCTGCGCTTCTTGTGATCAAATTGAATTGAGCTTTACGCGCTACAATTCCTTCTTTCAGTCCATCACCTTCAGCCAGTGATTCACTTGCTTTTGTTTGAGAAGGTTCTTTCAAGAATCCAATGTCTTCCTCGTTGACGACATCAAGCATCTTCTGATTTTCCACGAAACCAAACGTTTTTAGACTACTGGGGTCATAAACAAGAGGCTCGGTTTGATTCAATCCATGAAAGATTGTTTGTAGTGATTTTTTAAGTTGAACAACTTCCGCGGTGGTACTTCGTTTTAGAAGTTTGTCAGCTTTAATCAGTGATGATTCGGCGGCATTTATCTGTTGCTGAATCGCACTTCTTTTTGCTTTTAAACTTTCGAGTGACTTCTTCGTTTGGTTTTCCACAGCGGTAATAATATTTTGCATTTTTGCTTGAATTGTTTTGATCAAGGCATCAGCAAACCTTTGGACATCTCTCCTGGCGATTTCACTTTGTTGAATCACTTTAGCACAGTCTTCGTCTAGTTGAACAATTACGTTTAGTTTTGCATCTAACTCTTCTCTCTGCGATTGAAGGATAGATTTTATTTCGATTGTTTTGTTTTCGGCTTCTTCTTCGATTAATCTCAAATCATGACCTCCGTGATTCAAAGTGACGCAAGTTTGGCAAAGAGCCGTCTCGCATTCTTTGCAGTAGTATTTGAGTTCTTCTTTCTGGTGTCGTTCCTTTGAACAAAACACTGGTCGCTTCAATACATCCTCGTAGTCCTTGTCTTGGAACTCTTTCACTGCCAATACGCGGTGTTCCTTTCTGTCTCGCATCATATTGTGACCAACCAGGCATTGCTCGCAATAAAATATGCAACACTGGAAACAATACGAAGCTTCTGAACTCTTCTTGTCGCAGTTTCCACATGTAACTTGAGTGCTTTTGCATTCTTTTATAGCTAGAACATCGATCAAGCCGTTCAAATAAAAGCTTGTCGGAAAATCTTTTAGATCACCGCTTGCAGGTACTCTGCTTAGGGTTTGACACTTCGGGCATTTAATGGCCTGTCCGCCGCCGCACGTTTCGTACCATCGATTCAGACACTTTAAGCAGAAACTGTGCAGACAGGAGAGATGTTTAGGATCCGTAAATAAGTCCGAGCACACTGAACAAGACACTTCTTCTCGAAGATTGTAAAATAGGGTTGTAAGATCCATGATGGCTTAGGAACAACGGCGAAGTGACTCTCGATGCACTCCACACCCAACAATGAAGTCTTGTGACTTACTATCTTTAGCTTTTCTCGGAAACAAAGGCCGACGGTCCAATCACGACCAATGTTGTAAGAGTCCTTGTCGCGCCAGCTTTAGTTTGCCATTTTAAATGCAAATTATTTTAATACTAAACCAGACGTAAAATGATCAATAACAAGATGAGGACTAAATCCTTTGTGAAGCAAGAATGCGTGAAAGCCATAACTATGAAGGATGCTAAATCAAGTACGAGTGCGGCGTAGATAAAAGCGAAACATCTGTTAGCCTGTGTACTTCCGCCCCGTCTCTCTATTCTATTTTTTTTGAGGGGAGGGGTTACTGTACTCGTTCTACTCCAGTTTTAAGACCAAAACGACTAAAACACCATACCCTTTGGGGCGGCACATACCTATATGGGTAATATAATGGAGTAACCCCCCGGACACAGTCTCAGCAAATGTCCGTGAAAGAATTATATTGCACGTACCAATCCCCCACCCTTCCCCTCAAGGGTTTAAACCAGGTTTAAAATAAGTAAGTTTTTCATGTTTTCCGCAGACAAAATTTTGGCAAAATTTATACAAGTTTATAATATATCATGATAGTGTCAAAGGTCCCTAACAGGGCCGGCTATACAGCATAATTGTTTCTGTTACAAATCTTGTAGTGCTTATCACGTTAGGCAAATAACAACACAGCATAAGCCAGCAGCAGGATGTTGTAACTACCGTGACCCCCCTTTACGCCCCACGGTGGGGATATCAATTCGTTTCGTTGAACATCTATTCTTTCTCTTGCAATGTGCTTATCTTAAGCGTAATTCTTTTTTGGCTAAGCTCAGTATATTAAGCTTTAGGAATACTATACCCGTGCCGGTAAGAGGTTGTGTAATGACACTCTGTAGTGTTTACCCCTAGGGTCGTGTAATTCACAAGCCTTTTAAGGTGGTACCGGGCAAAAGTCTTTGGCCCTAGTATTAAATCTTATTGAGGGGAAAAGTGTCTATTCTAAGTTTGAAGCAGAGTTGATACAAGAAATAACTTAAAGCTAGCAACGAAAATATTGCTGGATGCATGTGTTGGGTGAGTAAGGCTCCATACACATAATTCCACTTTATCGGCTTCCCCTTTGGATAGGACTACCGGTCAACCAGGGGGATTGTAAAATGGGCGGAGCAAAGGTGACCCCCTGGAGTGGGGAAATATAAAAAAGGCCCCTGGTAAAATTGCTTTTCAATGAAGGACGTAGACTCGCACAACTGAGTACAACTTCTTTGTTGAGAAAGAAAAGATAGTCACGTTATCTTGTGCACTAAATAGACGTCTTGCCATAAAGGAAAATATCATTGTGTTAAAGTATTAGGTTTAAATTTCGCTGGCAAGCCATCGCTTTTACAGACTTTTAATTCGGTATGCTCAGAAACAGGCAGACTATAATGACTTGTACGAGGTCTATGTTAATCATCACAAAGTGCCCTCTTTATTATAGCTCTCGACAAATTAGCGCACGAAAAAATCGCTCAGTAAATAAGACTCTGTAACGTTTAAAACACGTGGTGCTGTAAGTGTTTTGAAAAGCTCAGTCAAACTGACTCGATACCTGGAGTATTTCATTTCTATGGTTTTGCCAATTCATGTATTTTTCCCTTTTTGATTGTGTTGATTGAAAAAGGACGACCAAATCTTCCGACATGTAAAGGTTGGTCTTGTAAGGGTGCATGGATTTCTTGCCAAACAGGATCCTATATTTGTCGCATTTATCCATTGGAATTTTTTCATTGTTTTAAGCTTTTAAAAAAATCAATAAACGACTCAATCGAGTAGATGTGACAGCCAAACCTGTACATGTTGCTAATTAATCTACCCAGAAGTACTTGTTTAAAGGTGACGTTACACGGGAGGATTCGCAAGGACGATTTTTAGATTCTATTAGGGCTTCAAGGGTTATACACCACCATATATTGCATAGAATATAGTTGAAATTCAATAAATGATGTTGTTAGTTTGAAGTCTGTTCCCTTCCATGGTCTTTGTCTCCACGACCGAACATGTACAGAGAAGAAACGATCTCACAAAATAAGAAAAAAAGAACTTACAAAATTCCAAACCTGAACTGTCATTCGCCCCTTTTAGAAGGAAGGAAACTGGGCCGAATAACTTACGAGAGAAAGGGGAAACAAATTGGCCAATAGCTGACCGACGCGTCACCAGTAACGATCCCAGAAACGATTGCGCGACGCATTTCGGCTCCAGTTCCCTTCTCGTTTCTAAGGGGAAGGGGGGGAATGACGCAATTTTTGTCTCTTGCATGGGACTTCCCTAGCTTTTTCGCCGGACTTTTTATGAGGTCTTTTATTACTATATAACAGACCACAAAATGTTCAAGACTTTGCAGTCGAACCATTCGACGGCAACTTGTTGTTCCGCGTGATTAGTTTTGAACATTTTGACGTCTTCTATCATTGATTACTAATTTTACTAATGAGGAAAGAGTAACCTCGTTCTCAGGGTTCTCTCTCTTGCAAGCGTTTTCACATGACGTCATGGCGGCCATGTTGGCGTTAGACTTTTTCTCTTATTAAAAATCCGTCCCCTTCTTAGCTCAGCCGGCGCGATTGCAAACCACAACGTTACGTTACAATAAAGGGCTCACGCCCTCGTTTATCGCTTCACCGCTCGTCGCTTGCGTGCTTGGGTTTTGGGTGTGCAGTAACTTTGACAGTCCTTTATAACTTGAAGAATTGTCTTAAGTAAACGCTTCTTTTTTTCCAATAAACACGCATAGATGTTGGTCACGGGAGTGAAAACGCTCCACGGACCATAGAAAATTGAGGTCCATTTTTTAAAACCTCAGTGGGAACCACGAGCCGCAGTAACATTGACAGTTTTTAACGTCTATTTTTGTTAAAGTTTCTCCGGGATTTGCGCGGGCAAGAGAGTGGGAAGTACATTGCAACATCATCATATCTTTTCCATGGTCTGTACTTTCATCGCCTTTTAGCTCTCGACCAATTAGCGCGCGAGAAATCCGTTTTAATGAAAAAGGCGATGCAATGTTTCAAACACGTGCTGCATCGAGTGCTTTTAACAGCTTCAAAAACTTGGTACCTTGAGTATTTCATTTCTATAGTATTGCCAAATAATGTTTTTCCATTTTCAATTGATTCAATTGATTCAATTGATTCAATTGAATTGATTGATAAATGACTACTAAATCTTCAGGTTGATCAATTATAGTTATGCCCCGGAGTTATGCAAATACATCGTGAGGGTGCAAGGACTCGTTTGCAACAAAATTGTGTAGACGTCTCATTTTATCGTTAAAAACAATAAACAACTCTATCGATCAAATGCGACAGCCAGAAAAACGCGTCTGCACAAGACATTAAAGAGCTTCAGCAACGACGACAGCGACGGCAGTGAGAACGGCAAAAATGCAATAGGTTTAGTTTGGCAAAACAACAACTTTACACGTGCATCACGACTACGACATGAAAATGCCTATTTTCACGCTTTGTAAAGGACACAAACAAGCGACGATGAAAAGCCCATTTTACAGTTGCAGGTGAAACCGAGGCTGGAGTTGACCTTGTTTTGATACAGCCCTTCCTGCTTTATTATGTAAATCATGTCTTTCTTATGCTAACTAATATTTTTTAAGCAAAAGTTACATTAGAAAAGGATCGAGGTTTTTATCAAAACAAGGTCAACCTCAGCCTCACGTTCTCTCAAAGGCTAGGACACTAAGCACACAACTGTAAACTGGCTTATTTCTCTATCTCTTTCCAAACTTGAGTGCGGTCCCCAAGAAATCAACTGTAGGGAAATTCGCTTAAATTTGACATTTTCAACGAGTTGGAATGAACGCGGCAAAGTTTAAAAAAAGTGAATTCAATTTTAAAAATGACGTTTTCGCTGCCGTCGCCGTCGTCGATGTTAAAGCGGCAACAAAAACTTGAATTCACGGTGTTGCAGACTTCATCGCCGTTATTCCATGTCATTCACTTTGTCAAATTTTTGGCGGATTTTTCTGGCAGGAATTTAATAAATCCTAAAGGATTGTATCAAAGTACAGGTAAAGAAAAAGAAAATTGGTGTCATTTGTTAACGTCCTCCAATAAACGTGAAATTTTAATTAGGCATTTTCATGTCGTAGTCGTGTAAAAACGGCAAAGAAATTTACAAAATAGCGTGGTGCATGTGCAGAGTTGTTGTGTTGCTAATCTTAACCTATTCGTCACATGCACATCTCCCAAAATGCACCTTATTTGCCCCCCAAAGTTTTGCATAAGCATTGTTTTCAATTTCTCTTGGGACGGCTTTAATACCCAGAAGAAATGAAAAACAAAGTTAATGCAAAATTTTGGGGGGCAAGCAGGGCGTATTATGGGAGATGTACAAGTAGCGAATTGCCCTTTTTTTTATAAAGAACGTTCTCGTTGCCCTCGCCGTTGTTGTTGTTGTTTAAGCTCGGCTGTTTCCACAGTTGATAACCGTACGTTGCTAAAGGAGAGTGATTCCAAAGCGACATGAGGGACACTGGAAATTTTACGTAAATGCATACTGGTAAGAACTGTTTATATGACTCATTCTTCACTTGCTAAGCAGTCGTAATATTTCGAAATGTATTGTTTTCGGTGTTTTCTTGGTTGAAAAACTCCGTATTTGGGTAACTTCTATCAAATTAACTCTTTTTTGGTCTTTTCAATAGGCAGGAGTAATCGGCTCCTGCAATAGGCTGAGAATCTATTCTGGAATCTGTAACGTTTTCGCTGAATTTTTCACTTTTTAATTGATTTGCAAATGCAAATGATGACCTGTCCATATTAATTAGTATTTCATTGTTTCAGTGATTCAACTCCCCGCCAAAAGCTGAATTCAAATCCCTCCTCTCACTTTTCGGTCGTCAGATGAATTTTACATGTCCTTCCACTAAAGTATGCCTATTGAATATAATAGAATATTGAATAGATATTGAGCAATAACGTATTTCTGTTTAAAAAAAGCCTACTACTGCCACCTTTCTGTAACTTGGTTGAGAATGAATACTAGTAAGAATTAAAGAAGAAATCGTTTATCGAATACAGAACTTTATTAAAAAAATATTTCAGTTAACTCATTCCTTTAACAAATAAGTTATGTACATAACTTGATTTAAGACCACACGGTTTCAACTCGTACTAAATATGGCTTCACTTGCTTACAATAACATTATAGCACTGCTGTACAGCTGACAAATGCATTTATTAATCAAAGAGGGATTTGCTTACTATGTAGTTTCCTCTCGAAAAAAGGGACAATTTTTATTGAAGTATCTGAATTCGGTGATTGCCGCGGTCGCACACAACAATTTGCTCATTACTTAGAACAGCTGCTGAGAATGGAGAATTGAATTCTCCTAATTTGCTGCCATTTGTTCCAAATTTTCCGACAAACTTCCCATTTAGTTCAAAGACTTGTATTCTATGACCACCCTCATCACAAACCAACAGGTGCTTTGACTGAGTCACTGACAGAAACCGTGGACAATTAAACTCCCCGTCCCCCTCCCCCTTCTTACCAAACTTGTACTGAAAATGCCCCTCCCTGTTAAATACTTTGATACAGTGTTCATTTGAGTCTGACACTATGAAATATTCACCACACTGAACACAGTGAACAGGATAACTAAAAGAACCCTGCCCACCTATCTTCATTACAAACCTACCATCCGGGGTAAAGATCTTAATCAGTTTGTTACCTGTATCAGCAACAATAACATTACCAGTACTATCTAAGGATAAACCCCAAGGGTTAAGGAGCTGACTATCAAGGCTTCCTTTGCCGCCAAATGAACCCAGGTGCCTCCCCTCCCAACTAAGAATCTGTACTCTGTGGTTGTTATTGTCTGCTACCAAAATATTCCTGTCTTTATTAATGGCTATTCCAATAGGGCAGATGAACTCTCCAGCATTTTTACCTCCGTGACCAAAGGATCTTAAGAAAGTACCATTACTGTCAAACACTTGAATCCGATGGTTCTGGTTGTCAGTTACCACTATTTCGTCCCCATCACTCACTGACACCCCACAAGGAAACTTCAACATTCCAGCACCGGAGCCTTCCTTTCCAAAAGATAAAACAGGTTTGACTTGAAATGGTTTTAAAATCACAGAAAAAGGACTACAAGAAATATGTTTCCCGTTTACCTTAACTAATAATTTGAATGTCCCTTGAACTCTGGGATAATAAGTGATTTTGTGGGTCCCATCTTCGTTATCATCTATTCGCACTTGCGTCACGCATTCTTGTGCTTGCTTGTCCTTGATCTCCACCGTGACACGGTCATGTTTATTGTACCCTTGATTTTTCTCCGCGTTTCTTGTGATCAAATTGAATTGAGCTTTACGCCCAACAGTTCCTTCTTTCAGTCCTTTACCTTCAGCAAAAAATTCGCTCGGTTTTTTTCGATAACCTTCTTCCATGCACAGGAAACCAAGTTCTTCCCCGTTGACAGTATCAATCGTCTTCTGATTTTCCACGAAAACTAAAGTTTGCATACTACTGGGGTCATGAACAATAGGCTCGGTTTGATTCAATCCATGAAAAATTGTTTGCAGTGATTTTTTGAGTTGAACAACTTCCGCGGTGGTACTTCGTTTTAAAAGTTTATCAGCTTCCTTCAGTGATGATTCGGTGGCATTTATCTGCTGCTGAATCTCGCTTCTTTTTGCTTTTAAACTTTCGAGTGACTTCTTCGTTTGGTTTTCCACAGCGGTAATAATATTTTGCATTTTTGATTGAATTATTTTGATCAAGCCATCAGCAAACCTTTGGACATCTCTCATTGCGATTTCACTTTGTTGAATCACTTTATCACAGTCTTCGTCTAGTTGAGCAATTACGTTTAGTTTTGCATCTAACCCTTCTCTCTGCGATTGAAGGATAGATTTTATTTCGAGTGTTTTGTTTTCGGCTTCTTCTTCAATTAATCTCAAATCATGACCTCCGTGATTCAAAGTGACGCAAGTTTGGCAAAGAGCTGTCTCGCATTCTTTGCAGTAGTATTTAAGCTCTTCTTTCTGGTGTCGTTCCTTTGAACAAAATACTGGTCGCTTCAATACATCCTCGTAGTCCTTGTCTTTGAACTCTTTTACTGCCAATACGCGGTGTTCCTTTTTGTCTCGCATCATATTGTGACCAACCAGGCATTGCTCGCAATAAAATATGCAACACTGGAAACAGTACGAAGCTTCTGAGCTCTTCTTGTCGCAGTTTCCGCATGTAACTTGAGTCTTCTTGCATTCTTTGATGGCAAGAACATCGATTAAGCCGTTCAAATAGAAGCTGGTTGGAAGATCTTTTAGATCACCGCTCACAGGCACTCTGCTTAGGGTTTGGCACTTTGGACATTTAAAGGCCTGTCCGCCGCCGCACGTTTCGTACCATCGATTCAGACACTTTAAGCAGAAACTGTGCAGACAGGAGAGATGTTTAGGATCCGTAAATAAGTCCGAACACAGCGAACAAGACACTTCTTCTCGAAGATTGTAAAATAGGGTTGTAAGATCCATGATGGCTTCAGGAACAAAGGCAAAATGACCTTCCATGCACTCCACACCCAACAATGAAGTCTTGAGACTGTCTGTCTTTAGCTTTTCTCGGAAACAAAGCCGACGAGCCAATCACGACCAATGTTGTAAGAGTCCTTGTCCCGCCAGCTTTAGTTTGCTCTTTTAAATGCAAATTATTGCAAAACTAAACCAGACGTAAAATGATCAATAACAAGATGAAGACTAAAACCTTTGTGAAGCAAGAATGCGTGAAAACCATAACTATGAAGGATGCTAAATCAAGTGCGAGTGCGGCGTAGATAAAAGCGAAACATCTGTTAGACTGTGTACTGCCGCCCCGTCTCTCTACTCTATTTTGTTTGAGGGGAGGGGGTGACTGTACTCGTTATATACCCTTTTTAAGACCAAAACGGCTCAAACACCATACCCTTTGGGGCGGTACATACATATATGGGTACTAAAATGGAGTAACCCCCCTTGACACAGTCTAAACAAATGTCCGTGAAAGAATTATATTGCCATATTATATAGTTAACCCACGGACCAATACCCCACCCTTCCCTTCAAGGGTTTAAACCGGTTTTAAAGCAAATAAGTTGTTCATGTTTTCCGCAGACAAAATTTTGGCCAAATTTATACAAGTTTATAATATATTATGATAGTGTCAAAGGTCCCTAACAGGGCCGGCTATACAGCGTAATTGTTTCTGTTACAAATCCTGTAGGGCTTATGACGTTAGGCAAATAACAACACAGCATAAGCCAGCCGCAGGATGTTGTAACTACCCTGACCCCTCTTTACGCCCCACTTATTTTTATCGCTGGGGATATGAATTCGTTTAGTTGACATCTATTCTTTCTCTTGCAATGTTCTTATCTTTAGCGTAATTCTCTTTTGGCTAAGCTCAGTATATTAAGCTTTAGGAATATTAAACTCGTGCCGGTAAGAGGTTGGGTCAATGACACTAAAAGTCTTTCTCTTCTATATTGAGGGTCGTGTAATTTACAAGCCTCTTGAGCTCGTATCTGGCCTACGTAATTGACCGTAATGTTAAATCTTATTGTGGGTAAAGATCTCTATTCTATGCCAAGAAAGAATAAAACTCTCTTGTCTAAGCTTGAAGCATAGTTGACACGAGAAACAACTCTAAGCAAGGAAAATATTGCTGGATGCCGATGTTTAGGGTGAATGAGGCTCCATACACATAATTCCACTTACCCCCATGTCATTAGTTTCCCCTTTGGGTAGGATCACCGGTAAACCAGGGAGATTGTAAAACGGGCGGAGCAAAGGTGACCCCAGGGGTTGGGGAATATAAAAAAAGGCCCCTGGTCAAAGTTCTTTTCAGTGAAGGACGTAGACTAGCACAACTATACAAACTCTTTATTGCGAAGGAAATGAGAGTCACGTTTTCTCGTGCACAAAATAGACGTCTTGCCATCAAGGAAACATCATTGTGTTAAAGCAGTAGGTTTGAATTTCGCTGGCGAGCCATCGCTTTTATAGACTTTTATTCCGGTATCCTCAGAAATGCAGGCTAGGTTGAGTTGCACGAACTCTATGTTGATCACCACAAAGTGTCCTCGTTATTCCATGGTCTGTTTTCTCATCGACCATAGCTCTCGACAGATAAACGCGCAAGAAATCGCTCAGTAAAAAAGACCATGTAACGTTTAAACAAGTGGTGCGGTGAGTGTTTTGAACAGCTTCAAAAACTCGATTCCGGTAGTTTTATTTCGGTTAATACGTCTACGAAGCAACGCTGAAATGCTTGTTCTCAACCCTCAAAGGACAACGAATTGGATTTGGATTTTCTCACAACCTGATTGGTCAATTAAACAATTTTTTGTTTTGAAAGGCCAATCATTAGAACAGCGATGTATAAGCGCTATATAAATGCCATTATTATTATTATTATTATTATTATTATTATTATTATTATTATTATGGGGCGTATTCCAATTCAGGTTCGCAGCTAGAGATTTAGTTTCGTTTGTAACGAGGCCACGTGCAAATCAAAAGAGTACAAAAGCTAACTTCACCAACATTTGAAACTTGTTTGCTGAGTTACTTTCTTTCATAATGAATTATAAGAATTATTTAATATAATTTCTAAGCTCTTTGTCGCGTTTTCTTATGTACTGAATAGACTTCTTATCACGAAGGGAAGAGTAAGCAAGTATTGGGTTTAAATTTTACCTTCAAGCATCGCTTTCATAGACTTCAAACCCGGCATGTTCAGAAATGCAGACTTTTGGCTCACGTTAGTCATCACGTGAAGTATCCTCGTGAATGAACGAATGTTTCTGACATATGAAGTACTCTAAAAAAATTCTTAGTTTGCCATGTTGGTGGTTGATATAATAAAAAAAATTTTTCGAAGCGGATAGCAACGCTATTGTTCTTGATCACAACATGGCCTCCATGACGTCACAATTGCAAACCAGCAATAGCTAGCCTCATACAGTTGTAAAAACTTTATTAGATTGTGGTGTGTAAATTATGTTAACTGCAATATGAATATGATAGGATTTCCTCACTCAAATTTAAGAAAGGTTGCCTGCCTTTCTGGAAATAAAAAAGAATATGCTTGATTCCGTGAGTGCAACAGTCCCAAATGTAATTTCAGTTAGATGTAGTTTACTCGTTATGAACTAGACGGGCTAATTTTTAGCTTTTAAAGAAAATTTATTTCCTTGTTGCACGAAGAAGTAGTATATAGTAATTCAGAATATTTTAAAAGTAAATAATAGATGCCCACACTTTCATTTAACTTGGATGATTAAAAGTTTTCTACAACAAAGGTACTGAGGAATAGAATGTAAGTGCTAAGCACAAGTAGAATGGTAAATAAACCCTAATAGCCCTTATATCAGTATCCATATTCTCCGCACTTCTCTCCATTCTGATACCAATGTGGAGAATCTCTTTAACGATATTTTCCGTTTCTCATGACCTTTAAAGTGATGCTACACGGGACTGTTCGCAACGACGATTTTTAGTGCAACACAGCGTTGCAATGTTGGAACAATGTTGCAACTATTCGTAACAATGTTGCGACGCTGTGTTGCACTAAAAATTGTCGTTGCGAATCATCTCGTGTAACCTCACCTTTAGAGGTGATTAGGCATGAAAATTCTAACGAAAAATAAGATGGTAGACTCTATTAGGGCTTCAAGGGTTTTGCGCCACCAAATATTGCATAGAATATAGTTGAAATTGAATAAATGATGTTGTTAGTTTGAAGTCTGTATCCTTCCGTGCTCTTTGTCTCCAGGACCGAAAAGGGGAGAAACGATATCACAAAATAAGGATAAAAGAACTTACAAAATTACAAACCTGAACTGTCATTCGCCATTTTAGAAGGGAGGAAACTGGGCCGAGTCACTTTTGCAAAGACCTCTGGGACTGTTACTAGGTACAAAGAAAAGAATTGGCCAATAGCTGACCGACGCGTCACCAGTAACGATCCCAGAAGCAATTGCGGGACATATTTCGGCTCCATGCAGTTCCCCTCTTGTTTCTAAAGTGGCGGATAACGCATCGCAATTTACAGCATGTGAGAATAGAGATAATCGAAAAAGGGTAACTGTTAAAAAGCGGATCGACAACAATTGTCCACGGTCTATACATGTGCTGTTATCTACCACAGAAATGGCGTCAAATTGTTTAAAACTTATTTTGACCACATCATCTATGATCGATAAGAGTTCCGATCATTGAAAATTGTTCTCCATTCTTTAAAACTCAAGAGAAACCACAAAACGCAATAACATTGACAGCTTGATTTCCAGTTCCTCCGAAAATCGCGCGGCTGATGAGAGAGTGAAAATCAAATCACATCACCATCGCTTTATTTCCATGGACTGTACTCTCATCTACCATATCACAGCTACAATTGTAGCGACCAATAAGAAGTAGCCCGTGTACAGACGTCCCCTCCTCCCTCAGGAAAAATCGGGAGAGGAGACTCCTCTCCCGATTTTTCCTGAGGGAGGGGGGGACGTCTGTACGCAGGCTAATAAGAAGGCGAGAAATCATTAGTGAACGATGCAATCTTTAAAACACCTGGTGCAGCGGGTGTTTTGAACAGCTTTAAAAACTCGGTGCCTAGAGTGTTTCATTTCTATACAATTGCCAAATAATAAATTTCCCTTTTTGATTGTGTTGTTTGAAAAATGACGACCAGACTTCCGAAATGGAAAGGTTGGTCAAGTAAAATTATGCAAATAAGTCGTGAGGGTGCATGGATTCATTTGTAACAAAAGCTTAAAACCATTGCATTTACCCGTTGGAATTTTTTAATTGTTTGCTTAAAAACAATAATTGCAAATGCGACAGCCATACGCGTACATGTTGTAAATAAATGAATAGACTTATTGCTTTATGCCGTTCTCGTCGTTGCTTAAGCTTCCGATTTCCACCGTTGATAACAGCACGAGAGGAAAGAAGTTAATGGAGGAGAGTGATTGCAACGCGACATGAAGGTCTTTGGGAATTTTATGGAATCGAATACAGGTAAGAATTGACTCATTCTTAACATGCTAAGCAGTCCTAGATGTTTTGTTTTTTAGTGCCAGAGTTTTCCAGGTTAAAAAGCTCCTTATTTTATTGAAGAATAAGCTCTAATAGACTGACACTCTTTTGGTCGTTTCAGTAGGTTGAATATTTTTTTTTTTGCGGAATATACATGTATAAGGTTTTTGTTGAATTTTTCACTTTTTAATTCATTTCCAATGACCTCTCCTTCCTCCGACCTTCCTAATCAGTAGCACAGCATTCCACTGTTTTAGTCATTCAACTCCGTATCTCCCCAAGGCTGAATCTCTCGTCTGACTTTTCGGTCATCAGAGTCAGATAAATTTTACATGTACTTTCACAAGAATATGCTTATTGAAGTTTCTGAAGCACAAATAGGTATTCAGCAATAACGTATTTCTGTTTCCAAAAAGCTTTCCACTGCCACCTTGCTGTAACTTGGTTGCGAATGAATATTAGTTAGAATTAAAGAAGAAATCGTTTATCGAATACAGAACTTTATTAAAAAAATATTCCAGTTAACTCATTCCTTCAACAAATAAGTTATGTACATAACTTGATTTAAGACCACAAGGTTCACCTCGGACTAAATGTGGCTTCACTTGCCTACAATAACATTATAGCACTGCTGTACAGCTGACAAATACATTTATTAATCAAAGAGGGATTTGCTTACTCCTTTCCCCCAGGAAAAAAAGACAATTTTTATTGAAATATCTGAATTCGATGATTGTTGTACTCGGACACAACAATTTGATCAATACTTAAAAGAGCTACCGAGAATGGATCCTTGAATTCTCCTAATTTGCTGCCATTTGTTCCGAATTTTCCAACAAACTTCCCATCTAGTTCAAAGACTTGTATTCTATGATTCTTCCCATCACAAACCAACAGGTGCTTTGACTGAGTCACTGACAGAAAATATGGATGATTAAACTCCCCGTCCCCTTCCCCCTGCTTACCAAACTTGTACTGAAAATGCCCCTCCCTGTTAAATACTTTGATACAGTGTTCATTTGAGTCTGACACTATGAAATATTCACCACACGGAACACAGTGAACAGGGTCACTCAAAGATCCCTGTTCACCTATCTTCATTACAAACCTACCATCCGGGGTAAACATCTTAATCAGTTTGTTACCTGTATCAGCAACAATAATATTACCAGTGTTATCTAAAGATAAACCCCAAGGACCAGACAGATGACTCCCAAGGCTTCCTTTGCCGCCAAATGAACCCAGGTGCCTCCCCTCCCAACTAAAGATCTGTACTCTATGGTTACCCCAGTCTGATATGAAAATATTTCTATCCTTATCAATGGCTATTCCCGTAGGATTATCTAACTCTCCAGCATTTTCACCTTCGTGACAAAAGGATCTTAAAAAAGTACCATTACTGTCAAACACTTGAACCCGATGGTTTACATGGTCAGCTACTACTATTTCGTCCCTATCACTCACAGCCACCCCAAAAGGATGCTGAAACATTCCATCACCCGAGCCTTCCTTTCCAAAAGATAAAACAGGTTTGATTTGAAATGGTTTTAAAATCACAGTAAAAGGACTACAAGAAATATGTTCCCCGTTTACCTTAACTAATAATTTTAATGTCCCTTGAACTCTAGGATAATAACTGATTTTGTAGGTCCCATTTTTGTTATCATCTACTCGTACTTCCGTCACGCATTCTTGTCCTTGCTCGTCCTTGATTTCTACAGTGACACGGTCCCTCTCATCATACCTCTGCTTTTTCTCTGCGCTTTTTGTGATCAAATTGAATTGAGCTTTACGCCCAACAGTTCCTTCTTTCAGTCCATCACCTTCAGCCAGTGATTCACTTGCTTTTGTTTGAAAAGGTTCTTTCAAGAATCCAACTTCTTCCTCGTTGACGACATCAAGCATCTTCTGATTTTTCACGAAACCAAACGTTTCCAGACTACTGGGGTCATAAACAATAGGCTCGGTTTGATTCAATCCATGAAAGATTGTCTGTAATGATTTTTTAAGTTGAACAACTTCCGCGTTAGTACTTCGTTTTAAAAGTTTATCAGCTTCCTTCAGTGATGATTCGGTGGCATTTATCTGTTGCTGAATCGCACTTCTTTTTGCTTTTAAACTTTCGAGTGACTTCTTCGTTTGGTTTTCCACAGCGGTAAAAATATCATTCATTTTTGCTTGAATTGTTTTGATCAAGCCATCAGCAAACCTTTGGACATCTCTCCTGGCGATTTCACTTTGTTGAATCACTTTAGCACAGTCTTCGTCTAGTTGAACAATTACGTTCAGTTTTGCATCTAAGGCTTCTCTCTGCGATTGAAGGATAGATTTTATTTCGAGTGTTTTGTTTTCGGCTTCTTCTTCGATTAATCTCAAATCATGACCTCCGTGATTCAAAGTGACGCAAGTTTGGCAAAGAGCCGTCTCGCATTCTTTGCAGTAGTATTTAAGCTCTTCTTTCTGGTGTCGTTCCTTTGAACAAAATACTGGTCGCTTCAATACATCCTCGTAGTCGTTGTCTTGGAACTCTTTCACTGCCAATACGCGGTGTTCCTTTTTGTCTCGCATCATATTGTGACCAACCAGGCATTGCTCGCAATAAAATATGCAACACTGGAAACAATACGAAGCTTCTGAACTCTTCTTGTCGCAGTTTCCGCATGTCACTTGAGTGCTTTTGCATTCTTTAATAGCAAGAACATCGATCAAGCCGTTTAAATAAAAGCTAGTTGGAAGATCTTTCAGATCACCGCTTGCTGGTATTCTGCTTAGGGCTTGGCACTTCGGACATTTAATGGCCTCTCCACCGCCGCACGTTTCGTACCATCTTTTTAGACACTTTAAGCAGAAACTGTGAAGGCAGGAGAGATGTTTAGGATCCGTAAATAAGTCCGAGCACACTGAACAAGACACTTCTTCGCGAAGATTGTGAAATAGCGTTGTTAGATCCATGATGGCTTAAGGAACAAAGGCGAGGTGACCTTCGATGCACTCCACACCCAACAATGAAGTCTTGTGACTTTCTATCTTTAGCTTTTCTCGGAAACAAAGGACGACGAGCCAATCAAAGATCGCTTTTGTAAGAGTCAATTATTTTGAAACATAAACCAGACTTAAAATGATCAATAACAAATAAAGATTGAGTCCTTAGTGAAGCAATAATGCGTGAAAGCCACAGCTATGCATGAAGTATGTAAAACCAAGTACTGTTGCAGTGTACTGTCGCTCTCATCTCTCTTCCCCAATTTTGTTTGAGGGGAGAGGGTTACTGTACACAGTCTAAACAACCGTCTGTGAAAGTACCACATATTATCATGTTAGTTAACGCACGGACCAATCTTAACGCCTTAAAGCGGATTTATATTACTAGAACTTCTTCTCATTAGTAGATGTTTATGCTTTCTGCTTTCATGGGTTTAGCACAAGTCTATGGTATAATCTGATTGTGTCACAGGTCCCTAACAGAGCCTGCTATACAGCATAAGTGTTTCAGTTACAAATCGCGACAGCTAAATGACAACACAGCGTAACCTAGGCCCAGGCCCCCTCGTGTCACGGTGGGGATATCAATTCGTTTATATTTCAATCATCTTTTCTTTATCTCGGCACGTTTTAGCGTAATTCGTTTTTGCCCAGAGTCATTGTATTTAGCATTGGAAATATTATACAGAGGTTGTGTAATGGCACTATAAAATACACCAACTCAAAAAGTTAAAAGTAGATGTACTTTCGTACTGTTGCAGTACTTGTACTTTCATACTTCTTTGTTTTCGAGCGAGCGGGATTGATGAACGCCCAGTTTCGGCTTTGTTTTGTTGGCTAAGCTTTGTTCATAGTCCTCAAAGTTCGCATCAAGAAAAAGTGACGTAATAGCCCATTTTACAGTTAAAATTTTAAACGAGGCTGGAGTTGACCTTGTTTTGATACAAACCTTCTTGCTTCTTTATGTCAATCATGTTGTTCTTATGCTAACTAGTATTTTTGAGTATAATATTTATACGAAAAGAATGAACGTTTGTAGCAAAACAAGGTCAACCTCAGCCTCACGTTCACTCAAAGGCTAGGACACTAAGCCCACAACCGTGAAATGGTCTATTACATAACATTTTGACGGGATACGTAGACTTCATTCTCTATTTATTGCTATGTTTCTTTTCTTCAATCTAAAATTTGTGTTTACCACGTATGCTCAATTTGACTTGTGCGAAAAAATTTCTAAAGGGAGTGAAATGGTTGCAACAGCTTAGGTGTTAAGAAAAAAGAGACGAAACCGTCGTTCTCGACAAAAGCTTTAATTTTATTATTGGACCACGGCAGAGAAACATTCTAAAATACCGGTATAAAGCACGCGAACAGAGGCATTGTTGTGATTCATCCAAGCGTTAGTTTTGTGCTGTTCTTGCTGCATTCATCATCGTGGTTATTTAAACCTCTGTACTGATGCAAAACGAGAGATTTTGACGTCATCGCTCCCTTCCCTCTTAAATCCGTCACTGAATTTAGAATAACATTTTTATGGCACAGGTTGGCGAAACGTCACTCACTGTCAATAACATTCCTATTCAGGGCTACGATCACGTGGACGATCAGGCTCCTTCTACTTATAAAATATTTATGTTCATTCGTAAACGATCAGTTGATTCATCGTGGTGCCAAATCGATAGTACAACCAGGTTACATCTTGGACTTAAGTGCTTCCTTTAGCTCAAGTTTAGCCACTGCCTCCAAATGAACCTCATCCGGGCCATCAGCAATGCGCAGACTCCGAGCTCCTGTATAGAAATAAGCCAGCGGTGTATCCTGGGATACTCCCTTCCCACCATGCACCTGAATCGCTCGGTCAATAACGTTACAGGCCATGCGAGGAACTGCGATCTTTGCCTTAGCAATCTGCAAGAGTTAAATTGTGAAGTTCTGAATCGATGTAAAACAGTCTTGTGCCACTCTTTTTCAAGCAATTCTCCGCTGGAATTTGGTAGGTTCACCAGGTAAGCAAATCAAGAGAGAAATTTGTCATAGCAAGACAGATCACTACTGAAATTTTCGCCATCAAACTAATCTTGCTATAACAGTACACTACTTAATTACCAAAAAAGAGGTATATACAAGAAAAGGTTCAGCTGTTTCATTCGTGTTCACAGCTCCGTACTTTCTTTCTCACACAGAGCCGCCAGACAAACTTCAAGTTGAGATAGAGAACATTAGGGAGCTTACGCGACAACGACGTACGGCGAGGTCTACGAAAGCGTCACTATAAACGTGAATTCGCGCTGCTTCAAACTTTATCGCGCTTATTCCAACTCGTTCAATTCGTCAAATGTTTGCAAAATTTCTGGAGTTGAATTCTAAAACACTACATCAAAGTTCAGGAAAAGTACAAGAAAGTCGTTGTCTTCGTTCACGTCCTGGACAAAATGAAATTAGGCACTTTCACCGGTTGTGGCCGTGTAGCGGCGGCAAAGAAATGTACAAAAAAGCGTGATGCACGTGCAAAAATGTTGTTTTTCCAATCTAATTATAAACCCAAGGGTTCGTACTGTTTTGAGCTTTTCAAATACCATGACTTTTTCCATGACCTTCTAAATTTTTCCAAGAACTTAGGTTTAGCTATCACTTTCAAACCTTTTTAGGACTTTCCTTGTTTTAGGGTATTTCTGGGCCGTAAACAGTTCAACAGACACAAACTCTGGTGTCCACCAAAATGCGTGCCGTTCGCGCTGTTCAATTACTTCTCTCTGTTTTATATTGTCCTTGCCTTGTCCTGGACAAAACGTGAAATTAGGCACTTTCACCGGTTGTAACCGTGTAGCGACGGCAGACGGCAGTAACTAATCTATCAAACAAAATTTTAATTTTCCACGACTCTCAAGGACCGACAATTAAATCCCATGCCTTTTCAGGCCTTGAAAATGAAATGCTTAAATTCCATGACTTTCCAGGTTTTCCATGACCCGTACGAAACCCTGTAAACCTTTTGTTTTATTTGCCGATCTCGTCGCCGTCGCCGTCGTCGTTGCTTAAGCTCTCAACGAAGAACGCACGTTGCAACAACTGAGGAAGATCAATTCGGCTTGGTCACTAACTTAAGTCACACTAAACTGGGCCGAGTTGTTCAAAGCTGGGTTAAGATAACCCAGGGTTAGAGCGAGATTTGAATTCAGAATTGAAAGCTTAAAAAGCCTTTCAGCTATAATTCTTTTTGTCTACAAGTTGATAATTAAAAGCTCAAAAAATAGCACAGAAAATTATACCAGAAAATGCTTTTAAACAGAAGAAAAAGAAACCTGGGTTAATTTTAACCCCGGGTTAAGCGCTAATCGGCCTTCGAACAACTGGGCCCTGTAGACTAGAACTAAGGGGTAACACACGTGTGACATTCCCGACAGCCCTGGTTGCCCTGTGCTCTCAATACTGCTGACATATCCACCTGTTTTCTTGCAGCTTTGTTTCCATGGCAATCGATGGTGTGTGCCGCCTTCAGCACAAGCAGTCTGGCCTGTTCAATTTCAATTCTTGATAGAGCGATCTGCTCCTGTACCATTCCCTAAAGAAACATCAGTGATACAACGTTTTAGTAACTGCAATACACGACCAGACTATCATACGACGGGTTCCTTATCACGAGTATAATCTATTGAGGTAAGTGGTATTACTACTTGTGGCCTTGCCTAGTCCCTAAGCCTCGTTGGCAACAAAACTTCTCAACGTTATCGTCCGGCGTACACGTTTTACCTACCAGTAGGATCAAATTGCCATGTTTGGCTAACAGATTCAGTCGTGTAACAGGACCTTGAACCTTCTACTACAAACCTTTTCGGCCAAACGCTTTCCAAAGGCCACTCTCTCTAAAGACCGCTGAACCATAAGTTCGAGTGATCGTTCTGCTAGTCCAATTGAACGCATGGAGTGGTGAATTCGCCCAGGCCCCAAACGGCCTTGAGCTATCTCAAATCCTCGCCCTTCCCCTGTCATGAAACAAAAGTAACCAGAGTAAAAACAAAGAAGAGTTGAATATTTTAACATTACACGGATGATGTTTTCAACTCATATCTTCGCAGAATTTGCTAGGGTAAATTAGTTCATAACAATCCCCTTTTTAATAAATTAAAAATAAAGCATAAAGGTGAATACCCTTGAGTGAAAAAGTAGACCAAACCCTTGTGGATCATTAAAGATAATAGGGGTAAGAGTCCACAAGGATTTCAAATAAATGTGAAAATAACTTTAGCTAGCTGGTAATATAGAAACTTAAATACGCATTTTTGAAGTTCCAATTCACTTTACATGTGCAAATCTTCGTCTAAAGATTGTTGATAAAGACGAGCTCAAAAATTGAAGACTTGAAGATTAAATTTGCAACGGGTTCATCATAAATTCAGAATAATAGTTGAAATTCACGATGTCGCCGAGTTTCTTCCGTCTATGTGACTGATAGTACCATGAGATTTAACCTTTGTATACATACCCAGTATACGACATGAAAATGCCTATTTTCACTCTTATAAAGGACACAAACACGAGACAATGAATTTCTCTGCCTCTTTTTAAACTTGAGTGCGGTCCCCAAGAAATCAACTGCAGGGAAATTCGCTTAAATTTGACATTTTCAACTAATTGGAATAAACGCGGCAAAGTTTTAAAAAACGTAAATTCATTTTAAAAGTGACGTTTTCGCTGCCGTCGCCGTCGTCGATGCTAAAGCGGCAACAAAAACGTGAATTCACGGTGTTGCAAACTTCATCGCCGTTATTCCTATCATTTACTTTGTCAAATTTTTGGCGAATTTATTCTGGCAGGAATTTAATAAATGCTAATGGATTGTATTAAAGTACAGGTAAAGAAAAAGAAGATTGGTGTCGTTTATATTATTTACGTCCTCCAATAAACGTGAAATTTCAATAAGGCATTTTCACGCCGTAGTCGTGCAAAGACGGGAAACAAATTTACAAAATAGCATTGTGTACGTGCAGAGTTGTTGTGTTGCTAATCTTAACCTATTCGCCACATGCACATCTCCCAAAATGCACCTTATTTTGCCTAAGCATTTTTTTAAATTTCTCGTGGGACGGTTTTAATACCCAGGAGAAATGAAAATCAAAGGTTATGCAAAATTTGGGGGGCAAACGTACAAGGGGTATTATGGGAGATGTACAAGTGGCGAATTGCTTTGTTTAAGGCCCCGTCCACACGTATCCGGAGATTTTTGTATCCGCAAATTTTTTTATGCGGATACACCTAGCGTCCACACGTGTCCGCCGTATACGCTCGGTGTATCCGGAGATTTCTGTATACGCTCTCCAGCGTGGAAATTTCTGTATACGCTGTGTATCCGGGTACGTGTGGACACTCTTATCCGTATATTTTTGTATACGCTGACGTCACAGTATCAGAACCAGTCTTAATGCGCATGCTCTGTTGACTAATCCTTTGAGATGTCCGGATACGAATCGGATACGTGTGGACGGTCGTATACGATTCGTATACGCTACGTGTGGACGCAGATATTTTTGTATCCGCATAAAAAAATTTGCGGATACAAAAATCTCCGGATACGTGTGGACGGGGCCTAAAAAAACGTTCTCGTTGCCCTTGCCGTTGTTGTTGTTGATTAAGCTCGGCTGTTTCCACAGCTGATAACCGTACGTTGCTAAAGGAGAGTGATTCCAAAGCGACATGAAGGGCACTGGAAATTTTACGTAATTGCATACTGGTAAGAACTGTTTATGTGACTCATTCTTCACTTGTTAAGCAGTCTTATTTCGAAATGAATTGTTTCGCTATAAATATGATCGGTGTTTGTTGGTTAAAAGACTCCGTATTTCGTTTAAAGATAACTTCTATCAGATTCACTATTTTTTGATTAGGCTGAAAATCTGTTCTGGCATCTGTAAGGTTTTTGTTGAATTTTTCACTTTTTAATTGATTTGCAAATGCAAATGATGACCTGTTGATCCTAATTAGCATTCCATTGTTTCAGTCATTCAACTCCTCAAAAGCTGAATTCCAATTCCTCCTCTCACTTTTCGGTCGTCAGATGAATTTTACATGTCCTTCAACGAGAGTATGCCTATCGAATATTTATAAGTTTTTGAAGCACAAATATATATTTAGCAATGACGTATTTCTGTTCAAAAAAAGCTTACCACTGCCACCTTTCTGTAACTTGGTTGACAATGAATATTATTAAGAGTTAAAGAAAAATCGAATACAGAACTTTGTTAAAAAAATATTCAAGTTAACTCATTCCTTTAACAAATAAGTTTTGTACATAACTTGATTTATTTAAGACCACACGGGTTCACCTCAGACTAAATGCAGCTTCAATTGCCTACAATAACATAAAAGCACTGCTGTACAGCTGACAAATACATACATTAATCAAAGAGAGATTTGCCTATTCCTTTCCTCCGGGAAAAAAGGACAATTTTTATTGAAATATCTGAATTCGATGATTATTTCTGTCGCACACAACAATTTGATCATTACTTAGAACAGCTACCGAGAATGGATAATTAAATTCTCCTGATTTGCTGCCATTTGTTCCCAGTTTTCCGACAAACCTCCCATCTATTTCAAAGACTTGTATTCTATGATTACCCATATCACAAACCAACAGGTGCTTTGACTGAGTCACTGACAGAAAACGTGGATACTTAAACTCCCCGTCCCCGTCCCCCTGCTTACCAAACTTGTACTGAAAATGCCCCTCCCTATTAAATACTTTGATACAGTATTCATATGAGTCTGACACTATGAAATATTCACCACACTGAACACAGTGAAAAGGAAAACCAAAAGATCCCGGCCCACCTATCTTCATTATAAACTTTCCATCCGGGGTAAAGATCTTAATCAGTTTGTTATCTGAATCAGCCACAATGACATTATTATTACTATCTAAGGATATACCCCAAGGGTAAAGGAACTGACTATCAAGGCTTCCTTTGCCGCCAAATGAACCCAGGTGTCTCCCCTCCCAACTAAAGATCTGTACTCTATGGTTTTTACAATCTGCTACGAAAATTTTTCTATCCTTATCAATGGCTATTCCAATAGGGCAGTTGAACTCTCCAGCATTTTCACCTATACGACCAAAGGATCTTAAAAAAGTACCATTACTGTCAAACACTTGAACCCGATGGTTATTGCCGTCAACTACTAATATTTCATCCCTGTCACTTACAGCCACCCCATAAGGAGACGTAAACATTCCTTCACCCCAGCCATGCTTTCCAAAAGATAAAACAGGTTTGACTTGAAATGGTTTTAAGATCACAGTAAATGGACTACAAGAAATATGTTCCCCGTTTACCTTAACTAATAATTTGAATGTCCCTTGAACTCTGGGATAATAAGTGATTTTGTAGGTCCCATCTTTGTTATCATCTATTCTAACTTTCGTCACCCATTGTCGTTCTTGTTCGTTCTTGATCTCTACCGTGACACGGTCGTGTTTATCATACCACTGTCTTCTCTCCGCGTTTCTTGTGATCAATGTGAGTAGAGCTTTACGTGCTACATATCCTTCTTTCAGTCCTTCACCTTCAGCCAGAGATTCACTTGCTTTCGTTTGAGAAGGTTCTCTCAAGAATCCAATTTCTTCCTCGTTGGCGATATCAAGCATCTTCTGATTTTCCACGAAGAGAAAAGTTTGCAGACTACTGGGGTCCTGAACAATACGCTCGGTTTGATTTGATCTATGAAAAATTGTCTGCAATGATTTTTTGAGTTGAACAACTTCCGCCGAGGTACTTCCTTTTAAAAGTTTATCAGCTTCCTCCAATGATGATTTAGTGACATTTATCTGTTGCTGAATCTCGCTTCTTTTTGCTTTTATTCTTTCAAGTGATTTCTTGGTTTGGCTTTCCACCGCGGTAATGATACTTTTCATTTTTGCTTGAATTGTTTTGATCAAGCCATCAGCAAACCTCTGGACATCTCTCTTTGTGATTTCACTTTGCTGAATCACTTTAGCACAGTCTTCATCTAGTTGAGTAATTACGTTCAGTTTCGCATCTAACTCTTCTCTTTGCGTTTGAAGGATAGATTTTATTTCGAGCGCTTTGTTTTTCGATTCTTCCTCGATTAATTTCAAAACATGACCTCCGTGATCCAAAATGACGCAAGTTTGGCAAAGAGCTGTCTCGCATTCTTTGCAGAAGTATTTGAGCTCTTCTTTCTGGTGTCCTTCTTTTGAACAAAACACCGGTCGCTTCAATACATCCTCGTAGTCCCTGTCTTGGAACTGCTTTAAAGCCAATACGCGGTGTTCCTTTTTGTCTCGCATGGTATTATGACATATTAAGCAATGCTCGCAATAAAATATGCAACACTGGAAACAATACGAAGCTTCCGAGCACTTCTTCTCGCAATTTCCGCATGTCACTTGAGTCTTTTTGCATTCTTTAATAGCAAGAACATCGATCAAGCCGTTCAAATAGAAGCTAGTTGGAAGATCTTTTAGATCACCGCTCGCAGGCACTCTGCTTAGGGTTTGGCACTTCGGGCATTTAATGGCCTCTCCGCCGCCGCACGTTTCGTGCCATCGATTCAGACACTTTAAGCAGAAACTGTGCAGACAGGAGAGATGTTTAGGATCTGTAAATAAGTCCGAACACACCGAACAAGACACTTCTTCTCGAAGATTGTAAAATAGCGTTGTAAGATCCATGATGGCTGTAGGAACAAAGGCGACGTGACCTTCGATGCACTCCACACCCAACAATGAAGTCTTGTGACTTTCTATCTTTAGCTTTTCTCGGAAACTCGACCAATGTTGTAAGAGTCCTTGTCGCGCCAGTTGTAGTTTGCAATTTTAAATGCAAATCATTTTAAAACTAAACCAGACGTAAAATGATCAATAACAAGATGAAGACTAAATCCTTTTGTGAAGGGTTTAAACCAGGTTTAAATTAAGTAAGTTGTTCATGTTTTCCGCAGACAAATTAATTTGGGCAAAATTTAATATAAGTTTGTAACATATTATGATAGTGTCAAAGGCCCCTATCAGGGCCGGCTATACAGCATTATTGTTTGAGGTACAAATCTTGTAGGACTTATCACAATAGGTAAATAACAAAAACAACAGCATAACTCAGGAGGCCAGGAGCCAGATGTTGCAACTACCCTGACCCCTTTCTGCCCCCTCTATTTTTGTCGGTGGGGATATCAATTCGTGTAGTTTATCATCTATTCTTTCTCTTGCAATGTGCTTATCTTTAGCGTAATTCCCTTTTGGCTAAGCTCAGTATATTAAGCTTTAGGAATACTATACCCGTGCCGGTAGGAGGTTGCATTGGGTAATGGCACTCTGAAGTCTTACCCCTAGGGTCGTATAATTCACAAGCCTTTTAAGGTGGTACCGGGCATACGTATTTGGCCCTAGTATTAAATCTTATTGAATAAAAAGAAAAGTCTGTATTTTAAGTTTGAAGCGTAGTTGATACAAGAAACAACTTAAAGCAACGAAAATATTTGTGGATGCCCATGTGTAGGGTGAGTAAGGCTCCATAGACATAATTTCACTTTATCGGCTTCCCCTTTGGGTAGAACCACCGATCAACCCGAGGGGGATTGTAAAATGGTCGGAGCAAAGGTGACCCCCAGGGGTGGGGGAATCTAAAAAAGGCTCCTGGTCAAAGTGCTTTTCAAAGAAGACGTAGACTTACACAATAGTGCAATTTCTTTGTTGAGAAGGAAAAGATAGTCACGTTATCTCGTGCACTAAATAGACGTCTTGCCATCAAGGAAAATATCATTGTGTTAAAGTATTAGGTTTAAATTTCGCTGGCGAGCCATCGCTTTTACAGACTTTTCATTCGGTATGCTAAGAAAGAGGCAGGCTATATCGAGTTGTACGAGATCTATGTTAATCATCACAAAGTGCCCTCGTTATTATAGCTGTCGACAAATTAGCGCGGGAGAAATCGCTCAGGAAATAAGACGATGTAACGCTTAATACACGTGGTGCTGTGAGTGTTTTCAAAAGCTCAGTCAAACTGATTCGGTACCTGGAGTATTTTGTTTCTATAGTTTTGCCAATTCATGCTTTTTTCCCTTTTTAAATGCGTCGATTGAAAAAGGACGACCAAATCTTCCGACATGTAAAGGTTGTCTCGTAAGGGTGCACGGATTTATTGTCGCATTTACCCACTGGAATTTTTTCATTGTTTTAAGCTTTTAAAAAAATCAATAAACGACTCAATCGAGTAGATGCGACAGCCAAACCTGTACATGCTGCTAATTAGGGCCTGTTTACATGGAGGTGGGGGACCCCAGGTCGGTGAGGTAACCCGCTTAGGTGGGGTAACCCGTTTGTCCATATAATCTCTCATTTTGATTTGAACACGTTTACTTGATAGGTGGGCTGACCCGCCATATTTTACCTCACCTACCTGGGGTCCCCCCACCTCCATGTAAACAGGCCCTTAATCTACCCAGAAGTACCTGTTTAAAGGTGATGTTTACACGGGACGATTCGGCAACGACGATTTTTAGCGCAACATAGCGTTGCAATGTTGAAACAATGTTGTAACCATTCGAAACAATGTCGCAAAAATGTTGCGACGCTATGTTGCGCTACAAATCGTCGTTGCGAATCGTCTCGTGTAACGTCATCTTAAGAATTAGGGAGGTTAAGGTACAGCGACGGCGGCGAAAAAGTCGCATAAAAGTGGATTTACGTTCTTAAGCAAGCGAATTCTTCTTGAATTTAATTCTTAATAACCATATCCAAATTCAGAAAGAGAAAGAAATTTTATTCGTCGCTTGTTTACGTCCTCCATAAGACGTGAAACTGGACATTTTCACGTTGTAATTGCGCAGTTGCGGCAGAGAAATGTACAGAAAAAGTGTGCTGCACGTGCAGAGTTGTTTTTTTGACTATTCAAGTTTTTGCTTTTTTGCGGTTCTTGTTGCCATCGCCGTCGCAGCCATTTGGTATCAACTGCTCCCTACTTACATGCTTTCACGCTGCCTTTAAAGGTCTGCTAAAGACATTTCCAAGGTTGATAACCGTACGAGAGGAGAGAAGTTGTTGAAGGAGAGTCAGTGATTGCAACGGAACATGAGGGGCATTGGCAATTTTATGGAATTGCATTCTGGTAAGAACCGTTTATATGACTCATTCTTTTCTTCCTAAGCACTTTTACCTCGAAATGGTATTGTTTTCGGTGCTTTTTTTCGGCTTAAAAGCTCGGTATTCAATTTAAGAATAAGTTCTTTCAGAATAACGTTCGGTCGTTTCAATAGGCTGAAAATCTTTTCTAGCATCCTGAGAGGTTTGGTTGAATTTTTCACTTTTTAATTGATTTGCAAATTCTGAAGACCTGTGAATCATAGAGGTTGTTTACATGGAGGGAGAAAGATCCTAGCACCAGGAAGATCCTAGGAGGCGGAACATTCTCGCGCCATACGTTTTCTGTATTCACTTTACATGCTAAAAGCTGTACTTGTCTTCGCCTAGCTAAGAAATAGGAAGATCCTAGCACCATGTAAGCTGCTTTCGCTAAGAAGATCCTACTACTAGATACAAACCACATAAAAAGAGCGAAGTTCCCTTCAGTGGATAATCTTTAATCTTTAATTCCTTCTCTACTGTTAGCCACATGGACCGACATTACTGAATGTAAACCGGACGAAAGGTTTTTCCTCCTTCAAGGATCTTGCTTTTGCCAGGATCTTCTTTGTGTAAACATCCCCTTAATTAGTAGCCTGCGTGGCAGGCGTTCGAAAGGGAAGGGGAAGGGAATTAGAGCGCGAGATTCTCTCGCGCCTAAAACTCCTTTTCCCTTCCCTTTCAAACGCATGCCACGCAGGCTACTTAATTAGCATCCCAATGTTTCAGTCATTATTAAACTCCTTTACTCCCCAGAGGCTGAATTCAATCTCTTTCCTGACGTTTCAGTCACATGAATGTTTCTGCATGGCTTCTGTGGGGTGTTGTCGAATTTTTCTCTTTTTAAGACTCTGTTTACATGGAGTGGGGGACTCCGGTCTAGTGGGGTAGGTTTCGTTTGTTTTGTGTCCCCCAGAGAGTGAAAACAAAAGAAACCAACCCCACTAGACCGGGGTCCCCCACTCCATGTAAACAGGCCCTAAGTTGATTTGCGATTACGACTTCCTGTGTATCCAAATTAGCATTCCACTGTTTCAGTGAGATTCAGGTCATTCAACTTCGCATTTCCGCTGAAAGGCTGAATTCAAATCCCTCCCCTGAGTTTTCAGTCAGGTGAATTTTACCAGGTCCTTCGGCAGGATTAAATCCGTGCATTCAATTGGACAAAATACCTATTGAATATTTTTATAAGGTTTTGGAGCACAGATACATACTTAGCAATGGTTCTGTTTCTTTTATAAAAAATGTTTTCCAGTCCCCACTTTCTCTAACTTGGTTGAGGCTGAACACCGTAAAACTAAAAGAAGAATCAAATGCAGAACCATGGCTCTTAAGGGAACTTTATTCAGAAAAAATACACGTGAGCTTAAAGAGGGTTGTACTCATAGAAAAAGTTATATCAGTCCCTCAAAAAACTACTTCATGTAAATAACTTGATTAAACTCCACACGGTTTAGCTATCAGACTAACTGCGGTTTTACTTGACTAGAATAACAAAATAACTGCTGTACAGCTGACCAATACATTTATTAATCAATAAGGGAAATGCTTACCGCTATATATTCCACATGAAAAAAATTATTGAAATATCTGAATTCGACAATTCTTTCCGTCGCACACAACAATTTGATCATTACTTAGAACAGCCGCTGAGAATGGTTTCTTGAATTCTCCTAATTTGCTGCCATTTGTACCGAATTTTCCTACAAACTTCCCATCTAGTTCAAAGACTTGTATTCTATGATCAAGCCAACCACAAACCAACAGGTGCTTTGACTGAGTGACTGACAGAAAACGTGGAGAATCAAATTCCCCGTCCCCCTCCCCCTGCTTACCAAACTTGTACTGAAAATGCCCCTCCCGGTTAAATACTTTGATACAGTGTTCATCTCGGTCTGACACTATGAAATATTCACCACACTGAACACAGTGAACAGGAAAAGTAAGAGAACCCTGCCCACCTATTTTCATTACAAACTTACGATCCGGGGTAAAGATCTTAATCAGCCTGTTACCTGAATCAGCAACAATAACATTACCAGTACTATCTAAGGATAAACCCCAAGGATTAAGGAGCTGCCTATCAAGGCTTCCTTTGCCGCAAAATGAACCTAGATGTCTCCCCTCCCAACTAAAGATGTGTACTCTATGGCTTGTACAGTCTCCTACAAAAATATTCCTGTCCTTATCAATTGCTATTCCAAAAGGGCGGTTGAACTCTCCATCGTTTTCACCTTTGTGATCAAAGGATCTTAAGAAAGTTCCATCACTGTTAAACACTTGAACACGATGGTTCATATTGTCAGCGACTACTAATTCGTCCCTATCATTCACTGCCACCCCCAAAGGATTTTTTAACATCACCCGAGCCTTCCTTTCCAAAAGATAAAACGGGTTTGACTTGAAATGGTTGTAAAATCACAGTAAAAGGACTACAAGAAATATGTTCCCCGTTTACCTGAACTAATAATTTGAATGTCCCCTGAACTATGGGAAAATAAGTGATTTTGTAGATTCCATTCTTGTTATCATCTATTTTCACTTGGGTCACGCATTCTCGTTCTTGTTCATCCTTGATCTCTACCTTTACAAGGTCGTGTTCATTATACCACTGTTTTCTCTCCGCGTTTCTTGTGAACAAATTAAATTGAGCTTTACGCCCAACAGTTCCTTCTTTCAGTCCTTCACCTTCAGCCGAAAATTCGCTCGGTTTTTTTCGATAACCTTCTTCCAGGCACAGGAAACCAAGTTCTTCCCCGTTGACGGTATCAATCGTCTTCTGATTTTCCACGAAAACTAAAGTTTGCAGACTACTTGGGTCATGAACAATAGGCTCGGTTTGATTCAATCCCTGAAAAATTGTTTGTAGTGATTTTTTGAGTTGAACAACTTCCGCGGTGGTACTTCGTTTTAAAAGTTTATCAGCTTCCTCCAGTGATGATTCGGTGGCATTTATCTGTTGCTGAATCGCACTTCTTTTTGCTTTTAAACTTTCGAGTGACTTTTTCGTTTGGTTTTCCACAGCGGTAATAATATTTTGCATTTTTGCTTGAATTGTTTTGATCAAGCCATCAGCAAACCTTTGGACATCTCTCTTGGCGATTTCACTTTGTTGAATCACTTTAGCACAGTCCTCGTCTAGCTGAACAATTACGTTTAGTTTTGCATCTAACCCTTCTCTCTGCGATTGAAGGATAGATTTTATTTCGAGTGTTTTGTTTTCGGCTTCTTCTTCGATTAATCTCAAATCATGACCTCCGTGATTCAAAGTGACGCAAGTTTGGCAAAGAGCTGTCTCGCATTCTTTGCAGTAGTATTTAAGCTCTTCTTTCTGGTGTCGTTCCTTTGAACAAAACACTGGTCGCTTCAATACATCCTCGTAGTCCTTGTCTTGGAACTCTTTCACTGCCAATACGCGGTGTTCCTTTTTGTCTCGCATGGTATTATGACATATTAAGCAATGCTCGCAATAAAATATGCAACACTGGAAACAATACGAAGCTTCCGAGCACTTCTTGTCGCAGTTTCCGCATGTCACTTGAGTCTTCTTGCATTCTTTAATAGCAAGAACATCGATCAAGCCGTTCAAATAAAAGCTGGTTGGAAGATCTTTCAGATCACCGCTCGCAGGGACTCTGCTTAAGGTTTGGCACTTTGGACATTTAATGGCCTCTCCACCGCCGCAGGTTTCGTACCATCGATTGAGGCACTTTAAGCAGAAACTGTGAAGGCAGGAGAGATGTTTAGGATCCGTAAATAAGTCCGAGCACACCGAACAAGACACTTCTTCGCGAAGATTGTGAAATAGCTTTGTTAGATCCATGATGGCTTTAGGAACAAAGGCGAAGTGACCTTCGATGCACTCCACACCCAGCAATGAAGTCTTGTGACTTTCTATCTTTAGCTTTTCTCGGAAACAAAGGACGACGAGCCAATCAAAGATCGCTGCTGTAAGAGTCAATTATTTTGAAACTTAAACCAGACGTAAAATGATCAAGATTAAGTCCTTTGTGAAGCAAGAATGCGTGAAAGCCACAGCTATGCATGAAGTATGTAAAACCAAGTACGGTTGCGGTGTAGATAAAAGCAAAACAACTGTTAGCCTGTGTAATGCCGCTCCCGTTTCTCTCTCCAATTTTGTTTGAGGGGAGAGGGTGACTTGACACAGTCTAAACAACCCTGTGTGAAAGTACTATATATTATCATGTTAGTTAACCCACGGACCAATCTTAACGCTTTAAAGCGGATTTATATTACTACAACTTCTCCTCATTAGTAGATGTTCATGCTTTCTACTTTCATGCGTTTAGTACAAGTCTATAGTATAATCTGATTGTGTCACAGGTCCCTAACAGAGCCTGCTATACAGCACAATTGTTTCAGTTACAAATCGCGACAGCTAAATGACAACATAGCATAACCTAGGCCCAGGTCCCCTCGTTTCACGGCGGGAATAAAAATTCGTTTATATTTCAATCATCTTTTCTTTATCTTGGAATGTTTTAGCGTAATTCGTTTTTGCCCAGAGTCATTCTATTTAGCATCAGAAATATTATACGGAGGTTGTGTAATGACGCTTAAAAATTAAATTCCTAAATACACCAACTCAAAAAGTTCAAAGCAGATGTACTTTCGTACTTTTGCAGTATTTGTACTTTCATACTTCTTTGTTTTCCAGCGAGCGGGATTGATAAACGCCCATCTTTGGCTTTGTTTTGTTGGCTAAGCTTTGTTCATAGTCCTCAAAGTTCGCATCAAGAAAAAGTGACGTAATAGCCCATTTTACAGTTAAAATTTTAAACGAGGCTGGAGTTGACCTTGTTTTGATACAACCCTTCCTGCTTCATTATATAAATCATGTTGTTCTTATGCTAATTAGTGTTTTTGAGTATAATTTTCATAAGAAAAGAAAGAAGGTTTGTATCAAAACAAGACCAACCTCAGCCTCACGTTCACTCAAAGGCTAGGATACTAAACCCACAACTGTGAAATGGTCTATTACATAACATTTTGACGTGACACGTAGACTTGCTAAGTTTCTTTTTTTTGATGTAAACTTTGTGTTTACCACATATGCTCAATTTGACTTGTGCAACTGCAATGGTTGAAACAGCTTAGGGCAGGTTAAGACAAAGGAGACGAAACCCACGTTCTCCATAAAACCTTTAATTTTATTATTCATTTTATTATGGCAGAGAAATATGCTAAAATACCGGTATAAAGCACACGAACAGAGGCATTGTTTTGGTACATCAAACCGTAAGTTTTGTGCTGTTCTTGATACATTGATCATCGTGGTTATTAAAACCTATGTAACTGATGAAAAACGAGAGATTTCGACGTCATTGCTTTCTTCCCTACTAAATCCGTCACTGAATTTTTAAATAACATTTCTATGGAACAGGTTGTCGAAACGTCAGTCACTGTCAACAACAGTCCCACTGAGGACTACGATCATATGTTTATTAAGTATTCGATTAAATGTAGTTGATTTATCGTTGTGTCAGATCATGGTAAGCAGAGGAGACTGGTCATGAAAGCCGGCAAACATCAAAGTCGAAAACAACGGTGCTGTAGTTTATGTTGGAAGATCCCCGACCGTGCACAATTCTTTTGTTTTTTGTCCACAAATTATGACTGAATAAATTCAGGCAATGTTTCTATTGGTCAGTAAGTTCAAAATGATAGGAATGTTATAGAAAGTTGTGCACTGTCAGGTCCAAAAAGGCCAACGAAAACATATAACAAAGGAGCTTAACCGGCTTCATAACCTTTTCACCTTTATAACTATGGCCAGATGGATGGTATAGCCAGGTTATATCTTGGATTTGAGTGCTTCCTTCAGCTCAAGTTTAGCCACTGCCTCCAAGTGAACCTCATCCGGGCCATCAGCAATGCGCAGACTCCGAGCTCCTGTATAGAAATAAGCCAGCGGTGTATCCTGGGATACTCCCTTCCCACCATGCACCTGAATCGCTCGGTCAATAACGTTACAAACCATGCGAGGAACTGCGATCTTTGCCATAGCAGTCTGCAAGAGTTAAACAGTGAAGTTCTCAATCGATGTAAAACAGTCTTGTGCCACTCTTTTTCAAAACCAATTCTCCGCTGGAATTTGGTAGGTTCACCAGGTAAGCAAATTCAATATCATCTGTCATAGCAAGACAGATCACTACTGAAATTTTCGCCATCAAACTAATCTTGCTATAACAGTACACTACCTAATTACCAAAAAAAGAGGTATATACAAGAAAAGGTTCAGCTGTTTCATTCGTGTTCACAGCTCCGTACTTTCTTTCACACAGAGCCGCCAGAAAAACTTCAGGTTGAGATAGAGAACATTAGGGAGCTTACGCGACAAAGACGTACGGCGAGGTCTACGAAAGCGTCACTATAAACGTGAATTCGCGCTGCTTCAAATTTTATCGCGCTTATTCCAACTCGTTCAATTCGTCAGATGTTGGCAAAATTTCTGGAGTTGTATTCTAAAACACTATATTAAAGTTCAGGAAAAGAACAAGAAAGTCGTTGTCTTCGTTCACGTCCTGGACAAAACGTGAAATTAGGCACTTTCACCGGTTGTAGCCGTGTAGTGACGGCAAAGAAATGTACAAAAAAGCGTGATGCACGTGCAAAAATGTTGTTTTTCCAATCTAATTATAAACTTAGGGTTCGTACTTTTTTGAGCACTTCAAATTCCATGACTTTTTCCATGACGTTTTAAAACTTTTCCAAGACTTTAGGTTTAGCTGTCACTTTCAAACCTTTTTAGGACTTTCCTTGTTTTAGGGTATTTTTGGACCTTAAACAGTTCAACAGACACAAACTCTGGTGTCCACCAAAATGCGTGCGTTCGCGCTGTTCAATCACTTCTCTCTATTTTATATTGTCCTTGCCTTGTCATCGGCAGTAACTAGTCTATCAAACAAAATTTTAATTTTCCATGACTCCCAAGGACCGACAATTAAACTCCATGCCTTTCTAGACCTTGAAAATGAAATACTTCAATTCCATGACTTTCCAGGTTTTCCATGACCCGTACGAAACCCTGTAAACCGTCGTCGTTGCTTAACCCCCCAACGAAGAGGGCACGTTGCAACAACTGAGGAAGATCAATTCGGCTTGGTCACTAACTTAAGTCACACTAAACTGTAGACTAGAACTATAAAGGGGTAACACACGTGTGACATTCCCGACACCCTGGTTTCCCTGTGCTCCCAATACTGCTGACATACCCACCTGTTTTCTTGCAGCTTTGTTTCCATGGCAATCGATGGTGTGTGCAGCCTTCAGCACAAGCAGTCTGGCCTGTTCGATTTCAATTCTTGACAGAGCGATCTGCTCCTGTACCATTCCCTAAAGAAACATCAGTGATACAACGTGTTAGTAAATGCAATACACGACCAGACTATCATACGAGTGTAATCTATTGAGGTAAGTGGTATTACTACTGATGGCCTTGCCTAGTCCCTAAGCCCCTCGTTGGCAACAAAATTTCTCAACGTTATCGTCCGGCGTACCCGTTTTAACTACCAGTAGGATCCCATTGCCATGTTTGGCTAACAGATTCAGTCGTGCAACAGGACCTTGAACCTTCTACTACAAACCTTTTCGGCCAAACGCTTTCCAAAGGCCACTCTCTCTAAAGACCGCTGAACCATAAGTTCGAGTGATCGTTCTGCTAGTCCAATTGAACGCATGCAGTGGTGGATTCGCCCAGGACCCAAACGGCCTTGAGCTATCTCAAATCCTCGCCCTTCCCCTGTCATGAAAAAGCAACAAGAATAAAAACAAAGAAGAGTTGAATATTTTAACATTACACGGATAATGTTTTCAACTCATATCTTCGCAGAATTTGCTAGGGTAAATTAGTTCATAACAATCCCCTTTTTAATAAATTAAAAATAAAGCATAAAAGTGAATACCCTTGGATGAAAAAGTAGACCAAACCCTTGTGGATCATTAAAGATAATAGGGGTAAGAGTCCATAAGGATTTCAAATAAATGTGAAAATAACGTTTAGCTAGCTGGTAATATAGAAACTTAAATACACATTTTTGAAGTTCCAATTCACTTTACATGTGTAAATCTTCGCATAAATATTGTTGATAAAGACGAGTTCAAAAATTGAAGAGTTGAAGACTAAATTTGCCGCGGATTCATCATAAATTCAGAATAATAGTTGAAATTCACGATGTCGCCGATTTTCTTCCGTCTATGTGACTGATAGTACCATGAGATTTAACTTTTTTATACATACCCAGTATACGACATGAAAATGCCTATTTTCACTCTTATAAAGGACACAAACACGAGACAATGAATTTCTGTGTCTCTTTTTAAACTTGAGTGCGGTCCCCAAGAAATCAACTGCAGGGAAATTCGCTTAAATTTGACATTTTCAACGAATTGGAACAAACGCAGCAAAGTTTTAAAAAACGTAAATTCATTTTAAAAGTGACGTTTTCGCTGCCGTCGCCGTCGTCGATGCTAAAGCGGCAACAAAAACGTGAATTCACGGTGTTGCAAACTTCATCGCCGTTATTCCATGTCATTCACTGTGTCAAATTTTTGGCGAATTTTTCTGGCAGGAATTTAATAAATCCTAAAGGATTGTATCAAAGTACAGGTAAAGAAAAAGAAAATTGGTGTCATTTGTTAACGTCCTCCAATAAATGTGAAATTTTAATTAGGCATTTTCATGTCGTAGTCGTGTAAAAACGGCAAAGAAATTTACAAAATAGCGTGGTGCATGTGCAGAGTTGTTGTGTTGCTAATCTTAACCTATTCGTCACATGCACATCTCCCAAAATGCACCTTATTTGCCCCCCAAAATTTTGCATAAGCATTGTTTTCAATTTCTGTTGGGACGGCTGTAATACCCAGGAGAAATGAAAATCAAAGGTTATGCAAAATGTTGGGGGGCAAACAAGGTGTATTATGGGAGATGTACAAGCGGCGAATTGCTTTCTTTTTTTTATAAAAAACGATCTCGTCGCCGTCACTGTCGTTGTTGTTGTTTAAGCTCGGCTGTTTCCACAGTTGATAACCGTACGTTGCTAAAGGAGAGTGATTCCAAAGCGACATGAGGGGCAATGGAAATTTTACGTAATTGCGTACTGGTAAGAACTGCTTATATGACTCATTCTTCACTTGCTAAGCAGTCTTAATATTTCGAAATGTATTGTTTTCGGTGTTTTCTTGGTTGAAAAACTCCATATTTGGGTAACTTCTATCAAATTAACTCTTTTTTGGTCTTTTCAATAGGCTGAAAATCTATTCTGGCATCTGTAAGGATTGCGTTGAATTTTTCACTTTTTAATTGATTTGAAAATACAAATGATGACCTGTTGATCCTAATTAGCATTCCATTGTTTCAGTCATTCAACTCCCCAAATGCTGAATTCCAATTCCTCCTCTCACTTTTCGGTCGTCAGATGAATTTTACATGTTCTTCCACGAGAGTATGCCTATTGAATATTTGTAAGTTTTTGAAGCACAAATAGATATTTAACAATAACGTATTTCTGTTTTAAAAAAGCTTACCACTGCCACCTTTCTGTAACTTGGTTGAGAATGAATATTGGTAAGAATTAAAGAAGAAATCGTTTATCGAATACAGAGCTTTATTTAAAAAATATTCCAGCTAACTCATTCCTTCAACGAATAAGTTATATACAGAACTTGATTTAAGACCACAAAGTTTCACCTCGAACTAAATGCGGCTTCACTTGGCGACAACAACATTATAGCATTGCTGTACAGCTGACAAATTCATTTATTAATCAAAGAGGGATGTGCTTATTATATAGTTTTCTCAGTAAAAAACAGACAATTTTTATTGAAATATCTGAATTCGATGATTGTTGTACTCGGATACAACAATTTGGTCATTACCTAGAACAGCTGTTGAGAATGGATAATTGAATTCTCCTAATTTGCTGCCTTTTGTACCGAATTTTCCTACAAACTTCCTATCTATTTCAAAGACTTGTATTCTATTATTATTCCCATCACAAACCAACACGTGCTTTGACTGGGTCACTGACAGAAAACATGGATAATTAAACTCCCCGTCTCCCTTCCCCTGCTTACCAAACTTGTACTGAAAATGCCCCTCCCTGTTAAATACTTTGATACAATGTTCATTGTGGTCTGACACTACGAAATATTCTCCACACTGAACACAGTGAACAGGCTAACTAGAAGAACCCTGCCCACCTATCTTCATTACAAACCTACCATCCGGGGTAAAGATCTTAATCAGTTTGTTACCTGTATCAGCAATAATAACATTACCAGTACTATCTAAGGATAAACCCTAAGGGTCAGAGAGCTGACTATCAGGGTTTCCTATGCCGCCAAATGAACCCAGGTGTCTCCCCTCCCATCTCAGTTCCCGACAGCCCTGGTTTGCCTGTGCCCCCAACACTGCTTACATACTCACCTGTTTTTGCGCACCTTTGTTTCCATGGCAATCGATGTTATGTGGAGCAATTCAATAAATGACGCTGTTAGTTTGACGTCTGCTCAAAACTAACAATTAATGTTATTGTAAAAAACGGATCGACAACGATAGTATATACATGTACTGTTATCTACCTTAGAAATGACGTCAAATTGTTGAAAACTTTGTAGTGAAACCACGCTCTTGGTTCCACTTTAGTTTCGAATATTTTCACGTCATCTATGACCGATAAGAGTTCTGATCATGGAAAATTGTTCTCCATTCTTAATTAACAGTTTTTGACCCCCAGTTCTTTTCTCCAAAAATCGCGCGGGTGATTACTTCACCATCACGTCATTTCCATGGTCTGTATTCTCATCTACCATATCATAGCTCTCGACCAATAAGAAGGCGAGAAATCGTTAGTGTAAAAGACGATGCAATCTTTAAATCACGTGGTGCCGCGAGTGTTTTGAACATCTTCAAACCCTTTTTGATTGTGTTGTTTAAAAAATGACAACCAAGACTTCAGAATAGACCTTTTTACCGATACGGCGGCCATATTGAATTTATTCGATTTAAGGAGTATTATAGGATGCCCAGGGGGCATGAGCACATTTCGTTTGTATTTTCGGGCGCTTTTCGGGACATTTTTTCTTAAAGTTTTCTCAGGTTAAGATTGTAATGGGGAAAAAGATCCTTGTGCCGTGTTTGGATGTAATAATGACCGTCTTTTTCTAGCTTAATATTAGAAATATGGTCTTTCACTGTATATTTCTCCGGAAAAAGGCGATCATTATGACGTCCAAACACGGCACTTTTTTCCCATTACAATCTTATTCTAAGAAAAGTTTACGAAAAAATGACTTTCTCATGTCCTTCAACGAGAATATGCCTATTGAATATTTATGAGCTTTTCAAGCACAAATAGATATTAATTTAGCAATCACGTATTTCTGTTCAAAAAAAGCTTACCACTGCCACCTTTCTGTAACTTGGTTGAGAATGAATGTTAGTAAGAATTAAAGAAGAAATCATTTATCGAATATAGAACTTTATTAAAAGAATATCCAAGTCGACTCATTCTTTTAACAAGTAAGTTTTGTACATAACTTGATTTAACACCACAAGGTTTCACCTCGAACTAAATGTGGCTTCACTTGCTACAATAAAATAAAAGCACTGCTGTACAGCTGAGAAATACATATATTAGTCAAAGAGAGATTTGCTTTCTCCTTTCCCCCGGGAAAAAAGGACAATTTTTATTGAAATATCTGAATTCGATTATCAAGAGTGTCGCACGTAACAATTTGATCATTACTTAGAACAGCTGCTGAGAATGGATAATTGAATTCTCCTAATTTGCTGCCACGTGTCCCAAATTTTCCTACAAACTTACCATCTAGTTCAAAGACTTGTATTCTATGATTGTTCCGATCACAAACCAACAGGTGCTTTGACCGAGTCACTGACAGAAACCATGGACAATTCAACTCCCCGTTCCCATCCCCTTGCTTACCAACTTTGTACTGAAAATGCCCCTCCCTGTTAAATACTTTGATACAATGTTCTCCGTAGTCTGACACTACGAAATATTCACCACCCTGAATACAGTGAACAGGAAAACTAAATGAACCCCGCCTACCTATCTTCATTACAAACCTACCATCCGGGGTAAAGATCTTAATCAGTTTGTTACCTGGATCAGCAACAATAACATTACCAGTACTATCTAAGGATAAACCCCGAGGTTCAGAGAGCTGACTATCAAGTCTTCCTTGGCCGCCAAATGAACCCAGGTGCCTCCCCTCCCAGCTAAAGATCTGTATTTTGTGGTTATCACGGTCTGCTACGAAAATTTGTCTATCCTTATTAATGGCTATTCCAACAGGGTAGTTGAACTCTCCATCGTTTTCACCTTTGCGGCCAAAGGATCTTAAGAAAGTACCATTACTGTCAAACACTTGAACCCGATGGTTCACACAGTCAGTTACTACTATTTCGTCCCTATCATTCACTGCCACCCCCACAGGAAGCTGAAACATTCCATCACCCGAACCACCCTTTCCAAAAGATAAAACGGGTTTGACTTGAAATGGTTTTAAAATCACAGTAAAAGGACTACAAGAAATATGTTCCCCGTTTACCTTGACTAATAATTTGAATGCCCCCTGAACTATGGGAAAATAAGTGATTTTGTAGATTCCATTTTTGTTATCATCTATTTTCACTTGGTTCACGCATTCTCGTTCTTGTTCGTCCTTGATCTCTACCGTGACATGGTCCACTTCATCATACCACTGCTTTCTCTCTGCGCTTTTTGTGATCAAATTGAATTGAGCTTTACGCGCTACTGTTCCTTCTTTCAGTCCATCACCTTCAGCCAGTGATTCACTTGCTTTTGTTTGAGAAGGTTCTTTCAAGAATCCAATGTCTTCCTCGTTGACGACATCAAGCATCTTCTGATTTTTCACGAAACCAAACGTTTTTAGACTACTGGGGTCATAAACAATAGGCTCGGTTTGATTCAATCCATGGAAGATTGTCTGTAATGATTTTTTAAGTTGAACAACTTCCGCGGTGGTACTTCGTTTTAATAGTTTATCAGCTTCCTTCAGTGATGATTCGGTGGCATTTATCTGTTGCTGAATCGCACTTCTTTTTGCTTTTAAACTTTCGAGTGACTTCTTCGTTTGGTTTTCCACAGCGGTAATAATATTTTTCATTTTTGCTTGAATTGTTGTGATCAAGCCATCAGCAAACCTTTGGACATCTCTCCTGGCGATTTCACTTTGTTGAATCACTTTAGCACAGTCTTCGTCTAGTTGAACAATCACGTTTAGTTTTGCATCTAACCCTTCTCTCTGCGATTGAAGGATAGATTTTATTTCGAGAGTTTTGTTTTCGGCTTCTTCTTCTATTAATCTCAAATCATGACCTCCGTGATTCAAAGTGACGCAAGTTTGGCAAAGAGCCGTCTCGCATTCTTTGCAGTAGTATTTAAGCTCTTCTTTGTGGTGTCGTTCCTTTGAACAAAACACTGGTCGCTTCAATACATCCTCGTAGTCCTTGTCTTGGAATTCTTTTACTGCCAATACGCGGTGTTCCTTTTTGTCTCGCATCATATTGTGACCAACTAGGCATTTCTCGCAATAAAATATGCAACACTGGAAACAATACGAAGCTTCTGAACTCTTCTTGTCGCAGTTTCCGCATGTCACTTGAGTCTTTTTGCATTCTTTGATGGCAAGAACATCGATCAAGCCGTTGAAATAGAAACTGGTTGGAAGATCTTTCAGATCACCGCTCGCAGGCACTCTGCTTAGTGTTTGGCACTTCGGGCATTTAATTACTTGTCCGCCGCCGCACGTTTCGTACCATCGATTCAGACACTTTAAGCAGAAACTGTGCAGACAGGAGAGATGTTTAGGATCCGTAAATAAGTCCGAACACACTGAACAAGACACTTCTTCTCGAAGATTGTGAAATAGCGTTGTTAGATCCATGATGGCTTCAGGAACAAAGGCAAAATGACCTTCGATGCACTCCACACCCAACAATGAAGTCTTGTGACTTTCTATCTTAAGCTTTTCTCGGAAACAAAGGACGACGAGCCAATCAAAGATCGCTGTTGTAAGAGTCAATTATTTTGAAACTTAAACCAGACGTAAAATGATCAATAACAAATAAAGATTAAGTCCTTTGTGAAGGAAGAATACGTGAAAGCCACAGCTATGCACGAACTGTATAAAACCAAGAACGGTTGAGGCGTAGACAAAAGCAAAACAATTGTTAGCCTGCGTACTGACGCTCCCGTCTCTCTTCCCCAATTTTGTTTGAGGGGAGAGGGTGACTGTACACAGTCTAAACAACTCTCTGTGAAAGTATTATATATTGTCATGTTAGTTAACCCACGAACCAATCTCCCACAATTTCCCCCAAGGGTTTAAACCGGATTTATATTTCTGGAACGTCTTCTCTTCAGTAGATGTTCACGCTTTCTGCTTTCTTGCTTTTAGTACAAGTCTATAATATAATCTGATTGTGTTACAGGTCCCTAACAGAGCCAGCTATACAGCACAATTGTTTCAGTTACAAATCGCGACAGCTAAATGAAACAGCATAATCTAGACCCAGGCCCTCTCGTTTCACGGTGGGATATCAATTCGTTTACATTTCAATCATCTTGTCTCTATCTTGCCACGTGCGTAGCTTTAGAGTAATTCGTTTTTGCCCAGAGTCATTCTATTAAGCATTAGAAATATTATACAGAGGCTGTGTAATGACGCTTCAAAAGTAAATTTCTAAATACAGCAACTCAAAAAGTTCAAAGCATATGTACTTTCGTATTTTTGTAGTATTTGTACTTTACATACTTGTTTTAGAGCCAGCGGGATTGATAAACGCCCATTTTTGGCTTTGTTTTGTTGGCTAAGCTTTGTCCATAGTACTCAAAGTTTGCATCAAGAAAAAGTGACGTAATAGCCCATTTTACAGTTAAAATTCTGAACGAGGCTGGAGTTGACCTCGTTTTGATACAACCCTTCTTGCTTCATTACGTAAATCATGTTGTTCTATGCTAACTACTATTTTTGAGTATAATTTTCATAAGAAAAGAAAGAAGGTTTGTATCAAAACAAGGTCAATCTCAGCCTCACGTTCACTCAAAGGCTAGGATACTAAGCCCACAACCGTGAAATGGTCTATTACATAACATTTTGACAGGATAAGTATACTTCATTCACTATTTATTGCTATGTTTCTTTTCTTCAATCTAAAATTTGTGTTTACCACGTATGCTTAATTTGACTTGTGCGAAATAATTTCTAAAGGGAGTGAAATGGTTGCAACAGCTTAGGTATTAAGAAAAAAGAGACGAAACCGTAGTTCTCGACAAAACCTTTAATTTTATTATTGGACTACGGCAGAGAAATATTATAAAATACCGGTAGAAAGCACACGAACAGAGGTATTGTTTTGCCTCATCAAACCGTTAGTTTTGAGCTGCTCTTGCTGCATTCATCATCGTGGTTATTTAAACCTCTGTACTGATGGAAAACGAGAGATTTCGACGTCATCGCTGTCTTCCCTCTTAAATCCATCACTGAATTTGAAATTACATTCAGGGCTACGATCACGTGGACGATCAGACTCCTTCTACTTATAAAATATTTATGTTCATATGTAAACGATCAGTTGATTCATCGTTATACCAAATCGATAGTATAAGCAGGTTACATCTTGGACTTGAGTGCTTCCTTCAGCTCAAGTTTAGCCACTGCCTCTAAATGAACCTCATCCGGGCCATCAGCAATACGCAGACTCCGAGCTCCTGTATAGAAATAAGCCAGCGGTGTATCCTGGGATACTCCCTTCCCACCATGCACCTGAATCGCTCGGTCAATGACGTTACAGGCCATGCGAGGAACTACGATCTTTGCCATAGCAATCTGCAAGAGTTAAACAGTGAAGTTCTCAATCGATGTAAAACAGTCTTGTGCCACTCTTTTTCAACCAATTCTCCGCTGGAATTTGGTAGGTTCACCAAGTAAGCAAATTCAGTATCATTTGTCATGGCAAGACAGATCACTACTGAAATTTTCGCCATCAAACTAATCTTGCTATAACAGTACACTACCTAATTACCAAAAAAGAGGTATATACAAGAAAAGGTTCAGCTGTTTCATTCGTGTTCACAGCTCCGTACTTTCTTTCACACAGAGCCGCCAGAAAAACTTCAGGTTGAGATAGAGAACATTAGGGAGCTTACGCGACAACGACGTACGGCGAGGTCTACGAAAGCGTCACTATAAACGTGAATTCGCGCTGCTTCAAACTTTATCGCGCTTATTCCAACTCGTTCAATTCGCCAGATGTTGGCAAAATTTCTGGAGTTGAATTCTAAAACACTATATTAAAGTTCAGGAAAAGAACAAGAAAGTCGTTGTCTTCGTTCACGTCCTGGACAAAACGTGAAATTAGGCACTTTCACCGGTTGTGGCCGTGTAGCGACGGCAAAGAAATGTACAAAAAAGCGTGATGCACGTGCAAAAATGTTGTTTTTCCAATCTAATTATAAACCCAGGGTTCGTACTCTTTTGAGCACTTCAAATTCCATGACTTTTTCCATGTCGTTTTAAAACTTTTCCAAGACTTTAGGTTTAGCTGTCACTTTCAAACCTTTTTAGGACTTTCCTTGTTTTAGGGTATTTTTGGACCTTAAACAGTTCAACAGACACAAACTCTGGTGTCCACCAAAATGCGTGCGTTCGCGCTGTTCAATCACTTCTCTCTATTTTATATTGTCCTTGCCTTGTCATCGGCAGTAACTAGTCTATCAAACAAAATTTTAATTTTCCATGACTCCCAAGGACCGACAATTAAATTCCATGCCTTTCTAGTCCTTGAAAATGAAATACTTCAATTCCATGACTTTCCAGGTTTTCCATGACCCGTATGAAACCCTGTAAACCTTTTGTTTTATTTGTCGTTCTCATGGCTGTCGCCTTCGTCGTTGCTTAAGCTCCCAACGAAGAAGGCACGTTGCAACAACTGACGAAGATCAATTCGGCTTGGTCGCTAACTTTAAGTCACACTAAACTGTAAACTAGAACTAAGGGGTAACACATGAGTGACATTCCCGACATCTCTGGTTGCCCTGTGCTCCCAATACTGCTGACATAACCACCTGTTTTCTTGCAACCTTGTTTCCATGGCAATCGATGGTGTGTGCCGCCTTCAGCACAAGCAGTCTGGCCTGTTCAATTTCAATTCTTGACAGAGCGATCTGCTCCTGTACCATTCCCTAAAGAAACATCAGTGATTAGCGCTGAAAAGTATAAGCGCTATATAAATATTTTATTATTATTTATTATGTTTTAGTAACTGCAATACATGACAAGACTCCCATGCGACGGGTTCCTTATCACGAGTGTAATTTATTGAGGTAAGTGGTATTACTACTGATGGCCTTGCCTAGTCCCAAAGCCTCGTTGGCAACAAAACTTCTCAACGTTATCGTCCGGCGTACTCGTTTTAGCTACAAGTAGGATCTCATTGACATGTTTGGCTAACAGATTCAGTCGTGTAACAGGACCTTGAACCTTCTACTACAAACCTTTTCGGCCAAACGCTTTCCAAAGGCCACTCTCTCTAAAGACCGCTGAACCATAAGTTCGAGTGATCGCTCTGCTAGTCCAATTGAACGCATGCAGTGGTGAATTCGCCCAGGCCCCAAACGGCCTTGAGCTATCTCAAATCCTCGCCCTTCCCCTGTCATGAAACAAAAGCAACAAAAACAAAAAACAGAGAAGAGTTGAATATTTTAACATTACACGGAAGACGTTTTCAACTCATTATATCTTCGCAGAATTTGCTGGGGTAAATTAGTTCATAGCAATCCCCTTTTAAATAAATTCAAAATAAAGCATAAAAGTGAATACCCTTCGATGAAAAAGTAGACCAAACCCTAGCGGATTATTAAAGATAACAGGGGTTAGAGTCCACAAGGATTTCAAATAAATGTGATAATAACTTTAGCTAGCTGGTAATATAGAAACTTAAATACTCATTTTTGAAGTTCCAATTCATTTAACATGTGTAAATCTTCGAATAAATATTGTTGATAAAGACGAGCTCAAAAATTGAAGACTTGAAGACTAAATTTGCAACGGGTTCATCATAAATTCAGAATAATAGCTGAAATTCACGATGTCGCCGATAAAGTCTTCCGTCTATGTGACTGATAGTACCGTGAGATTTAACTCTTGTATACATACCCAGGATAACATTCGTCAAAGGTACACGAACATTGTTGAACACTATTTCGAAGTGGCCGTGCGGTGCGTCTAAAATGGAAAACAAAGAGGAAAGAAAGAAACTTGCGGAAAATGGACCGGATTACTTACCTACCACAAGCTGTGGAATAGTTATAAGTCTTATAGCAGAGATAAACCTCTCAGTGTTAAATGACGAAGAAAAAAAGGCAATCTCATAACAATAGTCATTGCCTACTAGTTACGTCAAATTGGCCTCAATCATACTTTCGGGCGGAACGATGCTCTTCTCCCTAGCTACTCGGGAGCGTTAAACTCACGAGACCGTTGGTTTCGGGATCTTGTCAGAGGCTTAACTCCTCAAAAGTGCAAAACTGTCGCTACAATAAGCAAACATGGGCGCGTGGTGAACGATGGGAAGGCAAGAGGGCTCATTCCTTCCCACAGTTCTCGCGAGTTTAGTTTTTTCTCTTTTCCAAGCTAAAACGACCTTTAGGAAAGAGAGAGTCACCTGTTGGTAAAGAAGTAAGGACGATACAAGCAATTACTCACCATTGTAGCCAAACACCGTGAGGGCCCGGACTTTTTTTATCCCTGGGGTATCCAGTGGGACTAGTACCATCGTATGGCGCTGGTGCCTGAAAAGAGGTGCGAAGACTGCTACAGTGAAATCTCATTACAATAAAGCGAGGAAAGAACAAGGAAAACATACTCATTGTAACAGGGATAGGTTATGTCGTAGTCCTGTTCCATTTTACTTGTACTCGTGCACAGGTAAGGCGAACAAAACTACTCTAGAGGTATTATTCTCTCGTTGTTATTTCCAGAGTGGTATATATGGGCCTCTCAAGATATGGCGCGAAAGGGCGCGAGGAAATGCCGCCCCCGCAAGGTGTCACGACACGCGCGATAAAGGATGCTCTCATCCTCACGCTTGTTGCCCTTCTTTCTTTCCGCGTGTCACGCAGGATAAATTTCAACACAAAGGGCACTTTTATCTACAAATTGTGGCAATTGACAAATTGTTTTACCAGAAAGAGTTTCATGTCCTTACTTTGGTAAGTTTACACCTGCATGACATCCCATTACAATAGCAATCTTACAACGTGGATCTCCCGCACCTGATATGAAAAGAATTCTGTTAGTATTGTCCCGCTAAAAATAATTTGTACTTCTAAGGAACTTGTTTTATGCGCATTGATCTCTGTTTTCTTTTAATTTTTTTTCTTGCCGTAATAATGGCATTACATGGTTTGTGTTTGTTGCTCGATTATTTAAGTATGAACATTCAAATGAAAGCTACTGAGAAGTACTTTCCTGTGGTACTGTTTATTGCGCTGCACAAGGTGGTTCTAGCTTTTGAGTCTGTGAATGAAATCCTAAAGTGTGACCATTTAAATGAAAGCTACTGAGCAGTACTTTCCTGTGGTATTGTTTATTATGCTGTACAAGGTGGTTCTATCTTTTGAGTCTATGAATGAAATCCTATGTTGTGAACATTCAAATGAAAGCTTCTGTGCGGTAGTTTTCTTTCGTCCGTAATGATTGATGTTGACTGCTCTCCGACTGAAACAATACAGTTGATAAAATTGATAGTTTAAAGATAAATTTCACTTACCACTACTCCACCACTTTCTTCCATTGATAACAACCTCGCTGCCTTCCCTGGTGATCTGACACTCAATGTTTGTCGCATCAGAAGATGCAACGTCAGGTTCTGAGACAACAAAAAAATTGAAGGCAATGTTCAAAGGAACAAAAGCAATGTACTCGTGTCTCCCTCCCTTACATGCAGTGCACTCGCTAGCAGGTCATATTCTTAATGCATCTACTTAGCATGCTCTTTGTTTTAAAACAAACCTCAATGTTGTTACTGTACCTGTCATACAAAAGACAGAGCGTATCTCTCCTCTGAGAAGAGGCTCTAACCACTGTTTCTTTTGTTCTTCTGATCCATATAAATGAAGGACCTCCATATTACCAGTGTCTAGAGGAAACATAACACAAATACAGTCATCAAAAGAAATGGCCATAGGAAGCACAACTGAAGCTGCCCTCTTCACAGGTTCTTAGGAGGAGGTACACTGTGTACAGCCCCCCCCCACCCCCTTGAAAAAAATTGATTTGTTTCAGGGGAGAGGTGGCTGTACACAGGATAAGAGTGATTAGGGTCCACAGACTCCCCACCTTTCCCTTTGAAGCCGCTTTCCTCAATAATTTTCATTGGCCAAAATGCCCCTAGACAAGCAACAGTGACTGGCTCTTTATCACAACGGACTACAAATCACACTGCCATCTAGCTTACATCTGCCCTTCTTTCAGCTCTAAGAACCAAGTAACTGCTTTTCTTAACTCTATTTTCATTAGCAACATGCTGGGGATAAATGTACATTAGGAGACAGGCGTGCACTGCAATACATCTTTCATTAAACCTCAAACATTTCTAGAAAACACTTCAGAGCCACCTTATTAATTTCACTTTGCAAAACATTGTCCCATAGAAACATGATTATTTACCTGGTGCACTGCAGTTGAAGACTTCCGGAGCAAAAGGACATCTGCCAGTAATCTCAGCCAGTAGAGCATAATCTAGTTGACTTAAACCTGATACACCAGGAAGAAATAGGTTCCACAAGCCTTCTGATTTTGCTTTTTGCTGGGAAAAAAGCATTGTAGAAGATGATACTCCACAATAAATATGATTGGTTTTTTTTCCCAGAGATGTTCTGGGTGGACTTACATCAGTAAGGAAACAATCAAAATCTACACATTTACATCTTAAAAAATACTGTAAGTACCTTTAACTCCTCCATGAAAGGAGGGATGCTCCACTGTGTTTCGGGATTGCTTGCATGCTCATAGAAGGCCTAGACAAGAATAATGTTTCAAATTACCAATTTTTTTTTCCAATGTTTCCAAAAGTTGTATTGTTGATAGATATAATTTCCTCTGCCTGAAACATTTTATTACCCTTGTCAAGAGGTTTTTCTTGAAATTTTTCTCAGCATCATTTTGAGTGAACAAGCTACAAAGTAGTGAAAACAAATTGCAATGTGGGGAGGAAGAGAAAACCCCTTGGTTATCTTGGACCTTTGCGACTTGTTTTTGCTGCTTCAGATGGCTCATTCTCTCTCACACAGGGAAAAATTTCAAGAAAAACCGGTGGGGTCAGGGTATGATTTTAATACTGTTGTCTGCTAAAATTATTACCTGTTCAGCTGGGTAAACATATTTGTCCATGAATGCTTTCATTTTGGAATACAATGCTTGAGCTTTTTCAGATGGTTGAAAGATTGAGGTACTGTTACATTGGCGTGGAGCAATGCTGTGACTAACATAGGGTTTTCTGAAACAAAGTAAAAAAATTATTCTTAGACAAATTACACCACACTCACACAATAGCAGTTAGGATTATGACAATAAATCAGGAATTCTTGACAAAGTATGAAAATGTATCACAATCACACCAGATGGGTCGTGACTAAACAGTCAGCAACTTCATGCTTCAACTTACTGATCTTGTAGAGCTAATCTCAACCCTGCTTCAGCCAATGGCTGCACAGTTTGTCCAAATGAAGCAGCATTCGGTGCACTAGCATTGCCTTGCATGGCTCTTGCATAGATTCCCTGTAAAACCAATCAAAAATTTGGTGTCATATGGTGCTTTACATTTGTCAGAACTGGCCGGCCAGACCATTGCCAGACCAGTGAGTTAGCAAATGAAATAAGCTTTTTCCAAAGGGTTTTTGCTGAAAAAGCATCTCCTTCATGCATACTATTTAGGATTTGACTGATCTGGCTGTATAGTTTTGATTAAAAGTGAAATTCTCATTGCGACGAGAATGGCCTGGCTGGTCAGTAATGACAAATGAAAAGTGACCTAAGTCTTTTTAGTGATGTTTCATCTACAGCAAAGAAACTGGGATTGATGCGTCAGAAACCAGAGCAGACCCCTGAAAATTGAGAGTAGCCTATGCCTTCTCTGCAAATTTTGCTGGCTAAATAACAATTAACCTGATCTAATCAATCATGTCACATACATTTTGTCATCCATTAAATATTCTAAATTTTACCTGTAACTCTCCTTTCATAATGTGACTCCCCTGCCCCCAAGGAGAACTTCCTAACACCTATAGGGCCTTGTTTGTGGTAAAAAAAATTGCCATACTAAACCTGGGCTATAGCAGCCATTCTGAAAAAAGACAGAGCAAGGTAGAAGTTCCAGTTTGGAAATGAAGTTTTACTAAAGCCACGAAGCTTGCAGTATGTAGAGACCAACTCCTTCTCTGATGGAATACCAGCACTTGGACTTGCTAAAACAGTTAAAGAATAAAACGATTTTATATTAGTGGGAGCTGAGGTCGCTTTGGTGATATAGCAATGGGTTAATCCCTTCAGAAGCATTTTCCAAGACATGTCATTGTTGCAGTTTCAAGAAAATGAAATACTTTGGGAATGGGCAAACAAGTTTGATAAAACTCACCTAAGGAAAATGCAGGAAGCACGTCTGCAAGTTCACTTGGGCAGTGATAAGGAACACAGTTGTAAGCAAGATCAAGTATTGGATCACCCAGAGTTGACAACTCCCAGTCCAAAACGGCTGCCACAGTTAGCTGAATGTAAAAGTTAGACAGTGCTTGAGATCATCAGTGCATTTCATGTGCTAGCCTCTGTTAGGAGTATTTTTTGGTGAGCATTAGTTCTTTAATGACCTGTTTTATGGAGCACCATTGCAAAGTTCTAAAATTATTTTATTATTGACGCCTCTCTTTGAAAATGTCCTGTACACATTCCTCTTGTCTGCAACCATATGTTACGTTTCTTACTTGTTGAAAAGCAAACTTCTTTATATGGCACTGCTCTGATTGCAGAATTAATTTTAAATCACTTACCTGCATGGGATGAATTATAAGGTTATCCAGTCTGAAGTCACCATGGACAATGGCTAAAGTGGAACAAAGGATGAAAACATAACCTCTAAAAATAGTTTACCTAAACACGTAGATTAAAGCAGGTAACATGAAGTCCAGAAAATACCTCTTTTCTACACACGTACGTCAAGAAATGATGGTGTGATTTCTCAGAGTATCTAGTGAAATCTAGCCACATACCTGTCTCTTGTGTGCTTTCAGGAGGAATATTTTTTTCCAGCCAGGATAAAAGCTTTTCCATTGCATTTATCGGCTGAGTTGCTGATGCTCTATATTGTTTGCTCCAGGTGGAAACCTGAAAACATTTACTATAATTATGTATTATTCTAAAAAATAAAGCTTGCAAGACATTGTCATTTCCAAGAGGGATGGTACCATGGCCTATCAAAGGGTTACCCTTGGGTAATGCCTTTCTATACACACTGAGAGTGGTGAACAATAAATAGAACAGTATAAATGGGGTTTTCCCTCTTGTTCAAGGAAACAGAATAGTGAAAGAGACTTGGTGACATGTATAAAAGTATGGTGTCTTATCCTCTGGAATCTTTTGTTTTTATGTGGCTGGCTCTCACCTAACCAATTTAAAAGGTTTTTGCTTTTTCAAGTTGAAGTCTAGACTTAACAAAAAATAAAAACTAACTAAAGGCACTATGATCTAGCCGAGCTCTTTATTTGTTATGCTATTATAGGTAGATCAACAGAAATGTGAGATTTTCATGAATTTTTACCATTATTTGAAACTTAAAATTACTTACAGTGAAATTGCTAATGAATCACTTTTGATAATCTTACCTTTCTCCTTAAGTAGTTGGTTTGATGACCAAAATCTGAGAGTCCTAAGCTTCTCCAGTCGACACTGTGCAGCCTAGCCAAAGTGGATATCATGGAGTTGTAAAGAACCCTTCTCTCACTGGCTGAGTGAGAAGGCAGCTTTGGTCTGCGAAATATGTGTCCCTGTCGCAAAGGGAAGGCATTCATATTAAAATTAATGTTTCAATCAAAGAAAGGGCTTAAACCTCCAAAGCCTTGTTAAGAAGAACTCAGATGACGCTTTTCCAAAAGTTAAAAACACTTTTTAATGGAACAATGCAGGGTGACAAAGACTTACCTTAACATGATCCATAATGTAGAATTCTGTCCCAATAACAGATGCATCTTCACAGTAAAGATAAGGTTTGGGCACAGGGAAAGAAATGCTATGCAAAGCAGACAGCACTCTAAACTCTCTCTTAACCTGCAATAAAAAAAAATCTCAGTAAGACTGAAAAAAAGTCTCTCAAACAACATCAAAATAAAGTTCTTACAGCAATAGAATTATTCTTACAGACCATTGTCTGGGCTCCAAAAATATGAATATAATAAATAAAAAATTATTGTTCTAATGAGGTCTAAACTGCTCTTTTCATTTTTATTTTTTAAAAAACAGGATTTTAAGGCCTCATTAGAACAATCAATCATGCTGCTGAGGGATAACATGAACAGATTAATAATTTTAAAATTATGAACAATATTATTCTTACTCTTCTCACTACTCTATTGCCAAATATGATGTGGGAGAAAAGGGGGCAGGAAGAGAAAAAACAAGAGTAGGCAGTTCTCAAAGGGAGAAAGCAGAAGAAATTGAGGGAGGCATGCAGCCAAAAAATACAATGTTTAATATCTCAAAATATATATTGTGCTGAAGGGAAGAAGCTGGGAATTCAAGGAAAGGGAGGAAGGTGATTTTGGACTCTGTTGTTACCCCTTATAATGGTAGGGGACTATGACCTTTTCAAAACATTGAATTACGAGATCAAACGACAAAGATATAAAGTATGAACAAGGCATACCTGATGAGCACCTCTGAGCAGCTTTCCAGGGGGTTTTTTCCTCAACACAAATTTTTTTCCATTCTTGCTCATGCAGAATGTTGGATTTGACTGCCCTGAACTAAAGAAGAACATATACTGTCAACCTAATAAAACTGCAAACACCAGAATATATGATCAAAAGGAAAATGTTGTGATCAGGTGGAATGAAAAAAGATCCATTTCAATAATAAAATTGACGTATATCGTTGCTCACTGATATGGACAAATCAGATAAAGACCAAAATGAACTGGAATGAAGAAAAGATAAAAAAAAACCAATAATATCAAAGTTTCTCTTTAGAAACACTACATGTATGAAAGAGTCTGAACACAGCTTCCCCTCAGAAAATCCCATCAAGATGGGAGGGGAAGAGGTTGGGTGTTTGTGTAAAATAAAATGACCTTTGGTTCAGGAAAAAGTGCATGTCACTGTTTGAAAACAAGGGTGGTGGGGGATTAACTAACTTGCAATCATATCCCTACCAATGTGGTATTTTATTGGGAACATCAGGAATGTACTGCTTTTGTTATCAACATGGGAGGCGAGGAGTGACGGTGGTACTCTAGCCTGTGAGCAAGCTCTCCAGAGCACTCTCACGTCGGGGTGGGAAAAGGAAGGGGAGCTTGCAACTACATCTCTGGAATTTAAATACCTGCATCAAAAAGTTGACGAGAAATGCTGGTTAGCGAAGATGTCATTAGTAACGACGTCATTATCCTTGGTATGTGTTTTTCAATATTTGTTAACATTTGTGCTCATCTCTGCTTCGCCCTGATTGTCGGAAATCTGACAGCTCAATTGACGGGGAGCCATAGGGGAACTGGACGTGGAATTCAAATTCCAGAGACATACATGTAGTTGCAAGATCTCCTTCCTTTTCCCTCCCCGCCGCCGCAGGCTGGTGGTACTCAGATCCAGATTGTGCAACAACTGGATCGTAGCAAAGACAAATTATTGTAGAATGTGAAGCACCAAGGGAGAGTGAGAACAAAACCACCAAGTTTAGTATAGAGCACACTTTAAAACGGCACCACTTTCCCCAAAGCAGACACTCGTCAGAGAAATTGATCAGCTGGTATGCAAGACGATAGATCCGAAGGGATGATCATTAACACAATCAGATCAAATACAAACCTGTACTGCAAGACAGTCAAAGTACCATGACCTCTGGGAAAAACCTGCAAGTTCTTCTTTAGGTATTCGTGAAGGGCAGTCTCATCAAATTTGTGTTCTGCACGAACCGATGACAACTCCTCCGCCATTATTTCGGGTTTACTTCCCAGTCCTTTTGTAGATGGAAGTCGATATAGTAGCCCATAACGCATTGCGGGCAATATAATATTGCAGCCATATTGGATCTTTGACAGAGTTTCACCTTGTCCAACTTAGATAGCGACTAAAACAACGATGGTACAGTCTTTGGAATTCGATTTGCATCTTACTGCAGCTTGAAAACCTTATGTCACCATTGCATGTCTGTTGCTTTACAGATTCGGTTCATTTTGATCCAAAATCGAGCTGGCAAAACAAGACTAGCAAAATGGTACATGAATTTCGATGATGATGAAAAACAAAAGCTCATCGAGGAAGTCCATGCTCTAGTTACAGTCAGAGATGCTAAGCATACTAACTTTGTCGAGGTATGTAAGGAAAAAAGTATTGTCCATACAGCATGGATAACACCTGTACTTATTGGATAGGTTACCGGTCCTCTCGCCCCCAAGTCATTTTCCCCCCAGTTACTTTGCTGCCTATATTCTAGAACGAGTAAACTTATATTTAAAGTGTGCTTGTTCTGGTTTATGGGTTAAAGAATGAGGAATATTACATTTGAAGAGCGCTTGTTTTGCTTTATGGCTTATAGAATGAGGAATATCACTAGAAAACAGGGGGCTAAGCCTGTCTGCAGAGTATGGCAGAACTCGACGAGATCTAGCGCATGCAAGGCCGTTTTTAGGCCCTTATTTCGTATAAATTTTTTAAAAAACTTTCGCATGCACCTGCCATACTCTGCAGACGGGGGGGTAAGTAACTGGGGCGAAATGACTGGTTACCATATGGTCCAATGTTAAAATCCTCAATACATGTGTAGTGTTATACTTTATACCCTAGCCTTTGACTGCATAGTCTGCTACACAGCTGTTCTTAGTGTCGTCACGCAACGCTCCTCCCCACTAACGGCTGCTGAAAACCGAACTACATTCCTTTCCCGTGATTAGCCAATTATAATTCAGCTTCCATTTTCTGGAAAGTGTTCGCGCCACCTTTGCGGTACTGTGACTCCTCCAATCACTGCTTTGCTTTTATCGTTGCCCCATGTGTGAATGACAGAATAATCAAAATCGTCGCGTGAAAACAAGCAATTAGCTACAGTGTTGTCGTAGTCGAGTCCTATTCAAAATTTAGGAGATAAGCAGCAACAGCAAGAAAGTCGAGCAAATTGCGATTCACAACATGGATGTGCTCATAAAGTTGTCAGGTATAGTTTCGGGAAATCGCTCATCGATAATTTATAAGATTGCTTTTTGACTCAGTACCCTTGAGAGTTTTGTCTTCACTGAACACAATGAGCACATCCGGTACATTAAATTCTTCACTACATATGCACGTTAAATGAAGAACCAACCGATCCTGGTAAAAGTTTTCTAGGCCTATCAAACCTTCTTTTCACTTGGAACTTTCTTGACCGCTTAAAACAAACTTTTTTGCAAATTAACCTTTTCGTTGCTTGAAAACACAGAGCCCGTCTAGATTCAGCGACGATTGATTCATTTGTCGAAAACTGAGAAACGTGCTCGCTGCCTAGTGCCCGGCGGCTCACGTATTGTCAAATTTCTTGTACATGATTGGTTTGTTCGTTAGACCACAAACAAAAAGGGAAAGGAATGTAGTTCGGTTTTCAGCAGCCGTTAGTGGGGAGGAGCGTTGTGTGACGACACTAAAAACGGCTGTGTAGCAGACTATTGACTGCAGAGATGCCAACCACTAGAGATCTGAAATATAGATATTCTCCATCTACTGTTTGTCAGGGTTTTATTAGAAGCCGGAACCTGGGTACTGGCACCAGTGTGCATGTATGTAGTACCTTCCTCCTGGTAAAATGGACAAGCTGACTCTCAAACCTACTTTCTCTGCTACCACCCCACACCACTGCACTCAACCTTGGGCACCCTTCTACTTTAACAAATAGTGAAACCCTGTACTACCCTCTCCCCCATATTGCCAACCCACCCCACCACTCTCCCCACATATTGTGGTAAACCCAAAGGACGAAAATGATGTTTTTCACACAATAATACTGCCAGAAATCATAATTTTAACTTTAAATACTTGGGTTAAATTCCAAAGAGCTTAAAAAAGCCTCTTTTAGGTTATAGTAGGAGATTTGTCCTCTTTCCAGGAGATTGCTGGAAATTCTAGGAGAGTTGGCATAAAATATGTAAAATCATTTCTAAGTAAAGGTACACGTGAGCCAAAGACCCAAACGGCCGGAGCTTGTTCCAGTTCCTTTGCATGAAGCATAGTAGCACTCTAGCCTCCAGAAATTATTCTTAACAACGGTCTAAAAATTCTTGCAAAGAATATTTTCTTGAGCGAAAACAAATCAAGTTGACAACAGCCGCCTACTTCAAACTTCGAATGTTTGGCAGCAAAACATGTCATGTTTGCACCCAATTAGAATGTATTTTTTCCTCACGTGTACATGCTTAAATCTAACCGACGGTAAATGGGGCTTTTCTGAATGGTATAATTTTTTTGTTTAGTTTCGGAACTTCAAGATTGTATACCGACGATATGCTGGCCTTTACTTCTGTTTCTGCGTGGATGTACTTGACAACAACTTATATTATTTAGAAGCTATTCATAACTTTGTTGAGGTAAGAATTAGCTTTCCCCACCCCATAATCACTTACACCCTACTCAATAAGCTCAAAAGCCTAAAAGTGTACTTGAAGGGTGTCTCCATTTCTGCTGAGGCATTTAGCCAAACATTGAAAACTGGGCATCCAGAAATCATGTTCTCCCACAAAACTACAACAGATTGTGTGAATAGATGTATAAAGTATTATTTTAGTCGCATTTACATCCAAAAGTGGGTATCCACAGGACGCATCGACACTCTTGTCTAAAACCTTGTTTCTGCTGGTAATTGGGATTTCACGCCAGTGTGTCTTGTGTTGTAAGTGAAGATTAACGTTCATGGTGTAGCTTGTTAAGACAGGGTTATCGAAATGAATAACTTAGGCCCGGTTCAGACGCAGATCTCAGGTTCAGTTCATGAAAAGTTCAGCATCTTAATCAAAGCCGTTGCAAAGTCGCTCCAAAGGCGAAATTCCCAGCCGGGGTAGGTGGAAAGAACGGGTGAGCCGTTCCAAATTGAAACAGATGTTCTTATTGATTCAGATGCCAAACTTTTCATGTACTTAATTCAATGTGTTAGGTTCGGCTCATGAAAAGTTCGGCGTCTGAACCAGCCCTTAGCTAACATTTAGCTTCATTATAGTGAGTAACCAAAATATATCATTCTTTATCTTGTTGTTATTTCAGGTTTTGAATGAATTTTTTCACAATGTTTGTGAACTGGACTTAGTTTTTAACTTTTACAAGGTACTGCAAAGTAATTATTGATTTCACTTAAGGATCTATATCTTTATTTAACTGAAGCCTTTTTTTCTCCTCAACTGTCAGTTTTACCTAATACAGTGAGAGGATATTCATTGTAATTTGCTAACAGCCATTATTTTGACTGGCATTTAAATGTCTCCTTTCAGGTTTATGCTGTTGTGGATGAGATGTTTTTAGCTGGTGAAATAAGAGAAACAAGCCAAAGCAAAGTTTTAAAACAGCTACAGATGCTTCAGCAGTTGGAGTAAAATGACAGTGAAACTAAACAGTGTAGTTAGTGCAGCAAATAGAAAGGTAATCAAGTTGGGATGTACCTGTTTAATAATAGTATTTCTACCATGTATTGTCACATTGCGAAGTCCATAATATGAGCACCATAATGGGGCAGATTGTTCTTAACTACTTTTGTGGCTGTTCATGAACTTGTACACTGTATGATGTTACTATTCAAATACTTGTACAACCTCTATTAAAGGCAGAACTGGTAGTGAGTTTGTGTCCCATATAAAATGACAGGAATATTTTTTGAGATTGAAAACAAAAAAGAAGGTACCTGAATGTTATTTTGTGGTTGTAAGCCAATAAATACTGTCAATAGCAATAAGAATGTCTCATTTGAGTAACAATGTATTTGTTTCCCAAATGCAACATCCTTATTGCTATTAATTAATAATTATAAATATTACTGTTAGTGACTTATTTGTCGCCATTTTCCACTTGATACAGTAAAGGGTCTCTTCAAGGTATGGACAACTCAAACAGGATTTTATACATTTTAGTGTCCTACGCAATTCTGACACAATACTTTTTTGCCACTTAAGGTGTGCTATGCACCACTGTTAATTTCAAACTTTTATTAACTGGTGTTTTTCGTGATGAAGCCTCCTGGGTGGAGATTTTCCCTTAAAAGAATTATTTTCAAAATGTTACCGGTCAAAGTCGAATTCAGGTTAAAAAATTTTACCCTAGATTAATTCTCACTTTCCATTGTCTCCTAGCACTAATTCATTAATAATTAGGGCTTGGAGATAGAGGAAATCGAGAATCAACCTATGGTGGGTTAAAATTTTTTAACCTAAATTTAATTTTGACCTGTATAGCCATAAATTGCATTTTATGCAGGTATGAAACAAGATACAGCTGTAGTGTAACGATGTCTCTCATATTATTGATGTTAATGTGAAAAAAATGTTTACTAATTAAATCAATATTAATTTTGTTGTCTAATAAAGTTTCCTGTGGCACTTTTTATAGTCACAAAAGTTAATACTGGCTTAGAATTAAAAATTACCTAGAGCTCTTTCTCTGAAATGCTCACAGCTGAGATCTACACTGAAGACAAACGTGTAACAGATTTGTGGCTAGCTTTCTTTCAACCCTTTTACCCTTGGACCAAGGTACAATAAATGATATGGCAGGATGATTTGTCACTGTATAACTTTAAAGCTGTGGATGAAATGAAACATCTTTGGCATAACTACAGTATGGTGCTATTTTTCCCCTTAGGATTAAAAAAGGGAATTTTGAATTTTTCCCAGTGGCCACTGTTAATGGGAGTGAAGGGGTCATATTGTCAGTAGCCTGCAAATGCAGACATCTTTTCGTTTTTTGTCTCCCTCTGCCCAAAAAGTAGGCTACTTTGTCAGTTGAAACTACCACTCTAAACACCTCAAATTTCAATCCCTTTATTGATTTTAACTCTGATTGGCAATGTAGCTATTTACATGTTTAGCCCTACTTATACTGCAAAATGTCTTAATAACAATTTATAATTTTCATTTTACACTAAATAACAATAATAATTCAAATATTCCATAAAATTAATAAAGAAAAACTAAGAAATAAAAAATATTTCGGGTTTATAGGACCTTAAAGTGTCAAGCTACACTTAGTTTTTGAATTTTGTCTTTTGAGTCATAACATTACTGATATTGTCTGTACATTTTCAAAAATTAAAACAGGGAGATAAGAAAATTCCACAAAATAATAAAAATTAATAATAACTTCTAATTACAGTTCAGTGACCATTATTGAACTACAGTGTACTTGCCAGTAAACAAGGCATTGAAAACTTGATCTTTTTAAGTACATTAAATTTTGACACTCCAATGCATAAGCGTTTTAACTATGTCATCAAATTTACTGTATTACAAGGGGCAACTAAATTGGAACAGCAATATCTTTTGAAATCTGCCAGATCTCTACTATTTTAACAACAAATAATATCGTCTTATGTTCATGACAATAAATTATCATAATGCTTAGCTTACTGTGTTATCGTAGAATAGAATTGTGGTTCTCAAAAAAAATTAATAAAACTGTCTTGAAAAAAGTGTCCGTTTTGAAAATAAACTCCTCTAATCAACGCTGACATGAGCACCTAAAATTTATGATGTTACAGCACTTGATGAGGTGAAGTCTAATCATTAATCATTATATTTAGAGCTCAACATAAAACACAACAGACTTAAAAACAAGGCCCTCATGTCTACAAGGTTTTAATAGGACTTTCAAAAGTGTTGACTTTGTAGCAAATTGTAGGTACCCAAAACACCTCTTCCTAATCTAAGATACATAAACTATGGTCAGATTAAGCAAAGTTTGGGCTGTTCTAATGAAAACGGACTTGTGCAGTTCTTTCCTGCGGCTAATCACTGTCTATTATTTCGTACAAGGTGTGATTACTGGTGTTCAAGTGAAAGTCATTAAGCAAAACATTCATGCGGTACATATTGCATAAATGATCAATGATGCTTTTCATGTTGGTTATACAGTGTTTAAATGTTTGAATCCATGAAAAAAATCCTCCATTTTGTAGCCATTCAAATGAAAGCTGCAGAGCAGATCTTTCCTGTTGTAGTAGTTATTATGCTGTACTTACAAGGTGTGGAAATAAATCAGGTGCAGTGTAACCATTCAAGTGAAAGCTGCAGAGCAGATTTTTCCTGTTGTGCTGATGATAATGTTCAAACTTTTGGGTCTGTTGATGAGATCCTTAAACATGTGTCCATTCAAATGAAAGCTACTATGCAGTTTTTTCCTGTAGTATGGTTCATTAACTTTTACATCATTGTACAAGTGACTGTGCCGTGATTATTCAAACATAAGCTTGGCTACTGATTATTAGTTTCCTTTGGTTCTCTCTATTCTTTAAAATAAGTGCTATTCCATTGTTTGAGTCTTGGCCAAAGATGTCTAAGGGTTTAGGCCTTTTAAGATTACATTCAGATTTTCTGAGATAAGACCTCTTTAAGCTCAGTGTTATATAGGGTAGCTGGCGGAGTAGCTCGATGGAATTTACATGGTGTTAGATCATTACTTGGCTTTAACAGCGCTGTTCCAGAATATTTCACACGAGCTGGAGGTGTGTGCTCCAAAGCGCGGGCAGCAACTGAAATATGGCTTATGTCCAGTGAATCAGAGGAAGCCACAATGGTTGGACTGTGGCACTGTTGGTTGTCCTGTTTTCCTTGATCCAACTCCTTTGATATCTAGAAGGTCAACAGAGAAAAAACTTATAAAATGTCTCACTTTATCGCCTCCAAACTTTAAAATAAGAGCTACATGTACCATACTTATATTGCTTTGTATCAAATTACCCCAGAAACGGTGCCAACTGCACCCTGAAACTTACAGTGGTCTTAGAGCTGCCTTGGTATCTGGTCCTTGGAGATGAGGAGAAGCAAGTGGTCGCCCCAGATGAGTGTCTGAAAAATGAATATGGAAGGACAATTTATAAGCAACCTTTCTTAGTATAAGCATTTTTCAGAATGCTTAAACAATAGTGTTATATTAATGTAACAGAGGTTGTAGTTTCAAAATACAAAGGTGTGATGTCACAAGCTAGTATTATAATTTTGAAATTATGGGATTTGTTGAGCTTGTTAGAGAGAGCATGACTAAAAATACCTCCTTACCAAGTTGTAAGTTTGACTTGTGCCCCATTCACACCAACTTAACATGTTTGACTAAACTATGATGAAAAACATTAACAGAAGATATAAGCACAGGCTTTTACAGTAGACAGGTTTTATGAAGAAGTCAAATCCCAACTGTATTTAGCTAAACAGCTTTGGTGTGAATGGTGCATCGGCTCAAGGTTATCATCCAAGCCAGTCTTACCAGTAAATTTGCTCTACCAAACTGAGTTTCCACAGGCAGGCATTTTTCATTTTGTTCTTTAATTAACAACTACATGCTGTAGATACCTTCTTCTGACCCGTCTACGCAGTGTGTGAGTATCTCTATGCTTGTCAACGTTGACGGCAGAAGGTGAACCAAACACTTCACTGTCCCCTGGCAACATTACACCGGGTGAAACATTCTCGTTGCCTGGAGACGGCACATAGGACCTAGTATCCACTACCTTGACGAGCTCTGTCTCATTGGACAGAAGAATCCTGCTATGACCCGGTTTAACTGAAAAAGCAAGGAAGTCAGGCAACTTTAGTGTTAGACAATGACAATACATGAGTGGTATAATTATATTTACTCTAAAAGGCATGTGTATACTTCATAGTGGTCTTTTAATGGACATTTGACTCCCACAGTAATATCTTCATATACTTGTAGTTTGCAGAAACTTTAAATGAAGCAATGGGCAAGAATACCCCTGCAGACAGGAGATAATCAGTCGACACTCTTCCTCTACTTGTATGTCAACTTTCACAAATATGTTAGCGTAGCAATTTAAGGTTAAATTTGACCAGGATTTTGTGCAACAAGTTGTATGGTCTCAAATGACTACTTCAAACTTACAGATATAAAACTAGAGGGATTTGAGGCTTATTTTCTGAAATTGGAGAAAAATCTGCCGTAGGGTTTCAAAGTTATTTACGTTTTTTGTAACAATGCGGTTATTAATGTATGCCAATATCTTAACAGTTTTTATAACTACAAGAAAATAAGTAACATTTTCTTAAAGTTCCACCAATGACCATTCTTTACTTAGGACGCCAAAAATCATAGAAATCGGGGAAATTGTTCTGCCGAAAAACGTGATTAAAAAAATTAGCCAACACGCCTATAAATAGGTTTGCACCACCTTAATTATGACTTCTCCTCTTAGCACTGATTTTAACTAGCTGCAAACTTTGTGTCTGTCTGATGCACCTGTAAAATATTGCTCTAGCACTTTCATTGCAGAGAGATTAAGGAATTAACCCTTCAAGTTCCAATAGTGACCAAGGTCAATTTTCTCCTAACAATATCCATACATTGTCAAAAGATAAGTTATGAGAATTAGTAAAATGATCACCCACGTAAAAATGCTTTGATCTTTTATTAAATTCTCTCAACTCATTCTTTAAGAAAATATATGGAGATCAGTTTGGAGAATTTGTATGTGGATATTGGGGCTTAAAGGGTTAAGTGATCAAACATTACACCCAAAGCAGGCTCACTAAACTTCTTCAGGGTTCATACAAAAAAATCCAACCATTTTTCAAGGACTTTTCAAGGACCACATTAGATTTTCAAGGACTACCTACTAGGAATATAATTTCACAGATTGTACAAAAATGCATATTCCCAGTATATTCTAATAAGACTTTAAGGCTTTAACTGTTTGCTTCACCAAATTCTCGACATTTTTCAGTTCACTGGTGTTAAACTGATAGTTAATTATTGCATAAAACATGAGGCACTTTATGTAAATGACCTTTACATTCACTGAGCTACGATTTATATTCTGTCTTGGACAACCAAAAAGCATCAAAAAATTCTTTCCAGGCTACTACATTCAAAGTTGAAGAAAATTCAAGCTCTTTTCAAGGACTTGCACAGAAATTTAAGGACTTTTCAAGGAAAAATGGAATTCAAGGACTTTTCAAGGACTTCCCCTAAAATTCAAGGACTTTTCAAGACTGTGCGAACCCTGTTCTTACTCTTACCCATTTGATTCAATGGTTTTGAGGGCATAAGAGGTTTGATGGGCGTGGTGAACATTTGTGTTGATGCTGACACAAGACGAGGATGGCTGATACCTTGAGCGTAGGTCATATCACTTAACATTGCTCTCCTAAAGATAAAATATTGAGGAGTACATTATTGTATAATCATGGAAAAAGTTTATGATAGGGAATTTTTATTCATGTCATGAACTCTGAAAACATGTTTAATGTACCAAGTCAGTCTGCCTCCCACATAAACGTTTGTATGAGTTTGCCATGCATCCTCCCCCCATGGCAAGGAAGTCATGAGAACGTCTGTGTAGAAGGCTATCCACACAAATTACTATGAACAGGGTAATCATTCTAAAAATGCAACACTAGCATTTGATACAGTTAAACCTCAAATTTTTCTAACAGATAACTTATTAATACTAAAGTTTTAAAGGATTGTTTTCACTGTCTCGCACCAAAAAAATAAATTGGAAACCATCCAGTGGATGAAGCCAAGAAAATGAAATGTTATAAAAGACTAACATATAAACAATTTGTCCAAGTCTCAGGTCTTTGTGGCCCACAGTTTCTGAGTTGTTTGCTGAAATGTTTTACGCACCTTTGTAGAGCATTGTATGGAGACGCCATATTGGTGTACTGTTTTAGTGTACCAATATGGCCACCAAAAATAAACAAAAACATCTGGAGTTCACTTTTTCTAAGAAAGCTCTTTCTTTTCACTCAAGAACTAGCATACGTGTGCATAAACATATCTTCTAATACTTGAAATGGTTATACTGCTGAAAATCAAGAGGAGAGACGAGACAGTATCCCTATTTTGGTGTCACGCACTGTGAAAACTCAGAAGTTCAAATTGCTATATTTTTTAAATGAATCATGCTATGGGAATTTACTTTTTGTTTATCTTCAACCTAGTGTAAATAAGAATTCATAAAACCTCGCTATTTTGACTTAACAATTTGATGAAATCACTGTGAAAACCATCTATACTAATCTTGCAAAAAGTAGTGACCTTTTGACAGCAGGTGAAAGGGGTAACATGTTTTCCGCTGGTCTGCGCTTGCTTTGCAACCTCAGGCTCATGCGTTGACTGTTACGAGCCACAAAATGCTCCAACTCAAGGTCATCTGAATTGTATAACAAAAAAATAATATACATTTATGAGTTAATGATAGATACAAACTACATGATTGTAAACTTCAAGGGGAAATTCATTCATGTCTTAGCCTTCCAAAATTAATTACCTGAAAGCAATTTAATCAACAGTCAAAACAATTCTAAATAATAATAATATTTTTATTATAGTCACCGAAGAGGCAGCTCCAACTGTCTGCATTTCAGGGGTGTTCTACTATTGATTGGTTAATACGGACACCAAATGAACAGTGTCAAGTGTTTGCTATGCATTACATTGACCCATGTGTCCTTGTTACAGACAGCGATATCTAAATGAACTGCAGGACATTTGGTGTTGAAAGGACCAACTCAACTGTTGAAGTTGATCATGTGCTTTATGTGGCCCATCTGTATGCTTTATTGGACCAGCATATCTCTAAGCATCTCCACGAAAGGACGGATCATTGCAGCTTACCTTTTTTAACTTCACAGTTATCATCAAGGATGTATTTCTCTTTATTTCGCATGAGATCTGCTTTCACACTCCTGGAACGTCTGTGATGAACTGGGGTCTTGGTGGATGAGGTTTTGAACTTGCTAAGACTTTGGCCTAAACCAGATACAAACCCTGCGGCAAACAAAAGTAAACACCTGCACTGTACAAGCCTGCAAATAACAGCCAGTCATCGGTCAAACGACCGACAAATTTTGGATTTTGACGGGCTAAAGCTTGGCCTGGTCTGTCACTCTCTCTTCCTTTTTTCCTTTTCTGACCTACCAGACTGGTGTTTTGACCCGCAAAACCTGGTCCTTGTCCAGTCACATGACCACCCTACAGCCAAAAGTTATTTGCAGGCTTGCTGTATGATTATGTAAAATTAACTTTACCAACTGTTGGTTAGGGCAACCACAACAGCATGATGTCAGTACAGTGGAACTAATGGACTGGCAAAATTTGTTCACTGTAATGAGGTTGCGTTAAATCAAGGTGCTTTTCCATATATTTTACTATTACTGGGTGAAGAGAATCATTCGTTACACCGAGGACTTCATAATATCAAGGTTCCACTGTAATACTACACAGGTCTGGGTTGTTAAAAGATGGGTTAAGGTAACGTGGGGTTAGTGTGAACTTTCGATTCAGATTTCAAGGCTTTAAAAGAAAATTCGGTTTTATTCATTTTGCCAACAATTTGAGGATTGGATTCTCTAAAAAGAATAGAGAATATCACCTGGAAAAATGCTTTCAAACAAAGTACAAAAGAAACCTGGATTAAAGTTTAACCCTGGGTTAGTGCTAATATTGGCCTTTGAACAACTGGGCCCAGGCCTGTTACTGGTGCCCTCCCTCCATGAGAGATAGATCACACCATGGAAGTCTGATCTACCCCACCCCCCCACCCCCCGGTCCACCTCCTACATCCTACTCTTTTTAAAAAGGAATGTTCATTCATTTTGATCCCCTTTGAATTGTTCAGGAAGAACGAATAAGACAAGGCCAAGGTCTTAACATTACATCATTACAGTTTACGTCAAGGGCCCAGGACCCTAGATGATTTGGGGAGCAAGGGATGGCGCAGTGGTGAGAGCGCTCGCCTCCCACCAATGTGGCCTGGGTTCAAATCCTGGCATCAACGCCATATGTGGATTGAGTTTGTTGTTGGTTCTCTCCTTTGCTCCGAGAGGTTTTTCTCCGGGTACTCCGGTTTTGCCCTCTCCTCAAAAACCAACATTTCCAAATTACAATTCGATCAGGAATCAGGTAGACGAAGAAGCACTTTGTGGATGTGCTACCGCCAAATCATTATTTATTTATTTTATTTATTTATTTGATGATTCTGGCCAACAATTTGACTTACCTCTCAGCTTGCAAATTTAAAGAAAAAAAACTATATTCTGCCTGATTTAATTATTAATTTTTTTATAAACGAAAAGCATACCAGAAAGTGAGCCAGTCCTTGTCCTAGGCCTTGACTGTCTTCTACCTCCTCTTCTTAAATTATTATCACTGTCAAGTTCATCACTGGATGATGTCAAGCCATCCACTAAATCATCTCCAATTGTTTTAGCACGTTCATAGATATCCTCACTCACTAAACCAATTTTATCGGCATTCTTCAAGAGAATGTCAATGACTGACGTCTGCTCTTTGAGCTGTTTTTCGGAAGCGTTGTTTCCTTCTTTCTTAGTGTTGTGTATCAGGTTGGGAGTGAGAACAATCGCGAGGTTTGTTGTTCCCATTTTACTCTGCTGCGAACAGGATGCTACTTTTGCTAGAAATTTCATTGTAAACTGTAGAGTGGTGAGATGATGTACAGGAAGGAGTAGACAAAGATGTAAAACAGCCTCAATCCGATCGCCTTCATCTTCTAAATGTTGGCTTTTAATGAAGCAGTTATGGAGCAGGTTGGTAAGGAGTGGCTCTGGTAATTGTCTGAAAAACTGCTTTATCAAGCTTGCGACATCATGAGGCTGAGCATTTTGGAGTGTCTCACCATCTTCTACTTTTTGCTGTTACAAACAGATTGTCAGGTGAGTGTTAAATGCTAAGTGATCAAATTTATTGTCAAATCCAACAAAATAAAAATAATACAAATCTGGTTGGGGAAAAAAAGATGTTTATTTTGAGATTCTTACCTTAAGCGTTTTTTGGCGTTGAATAGATCCAGATTTTCTAAATAGGCCCTCTGTTGCCAAATGTTGTTGCAGAGAGCTTGCAGAATCTACCAAGAATCTAAGACAAATTTCGGAAAAATATTCTATGAACCCCATTGTTTAAAAAGTCTATTTTCTATTATTAAAATGTTAATGTTGCACACTTACTTGGGAACACTACAATAGAAATCCTCTCCCACATTGACTGATTCCACTTTTTCAAGGCAAATGCCAAATACTCCAGTTTTATTATTGTCCACAGAGTGCTGAAAGGAACAGTTACAGTGTGTAAACTTAACCGTAATCAACTGTAAGTTACACATTTGAAGCCAGTGTATACACCTTCCTCTTCTCTCTTCCAACAATTTATAACAACAGGATAGCAGAAAGAAGAGGACAGCAAAATGCAAGTGTGACAAACACGTTACTGAGGTGTTTTGTAGTAATCTTCACTTAAGTTAGTGTTTTCTGTTTTTTTTACCAGACCTGTTTAAAGAAGGGTGAAGTTTGGCGAAAAAGTTTATCAAACAAAATTATTGTCCTGATTGTCACACAAGGTTTGCCGTCTTCTTTCCTCTCCCATCCTGTTGCATAAGGTCACTAATGAAGGTAATGGAAAGTGGCTAAAATTTGTAAGTGCTTCAGGATTAGATCTTGATCTGATGTTCAGTGGTTATTAGCATTTATGTCACAGGTCAAAGTTAAATTCAGGTTAAAAGTTTTTAACCCAGGCTACTTGGTTAGTTGATTCTGAATTTCCTTTTTCTCTTATCCCTCATTCAAGAATAGTCAGGTATAGGAGACAAAGGAAATTGAGAGTTAACCTTATTTAAAAAATTTTAACCTGAATATAATTTTGACTTGTAACATTTATGTATTGATTGTTCTTGTGGTAGGTAAAATCAATTTTATCATTAAATCATTATCCAACCTTGTTTACCAGGGTAAAACCCTAGGCGTAGCAGAAAGCTAACCTACATAGTTTTACTCCTGATTTAACCTGATCATGGAAGAGATAACTGTTACCTACAACGGATAAAGGAATGAAACTTTCATTGACGATGGCGATGACCTTTTTACACTGTTCTGCGTCCTTGTGTAAGACATGATCATACAGCGTACATTGGTTGGTGGTTTTATAGATGCTTTGCACATCCGATTGAAGAAGCAACATGGGCAAGTGGTTAGTCAAGCTCAAGTGGAGGCTAATTACTGTCGATTTCAACAAACGTCCGACTTGTGAATGTCTGGACATAATGAATGGCATATTTTTCTTCAATATTACACTCTAACCATCGGTGAGTCTGTTTTTATTGAAAGGAGCATTTGTAAAAAATGGTGTTTATAACAGGAATGAATTTGGCTGATGGCAGAAATAACGCCATCGGAAAGCAGTTGGTTGAGGTGGGATGATGAAGTCAGTTTCACTGTTCATTGCTATTCATCATGCATGCATGTAACCTCATGCTCTTTAAAGCAAACTGGCCGTAATTTTTAGACTGCAATCGAATATACACTACAACAGTTAAATATAAAGTAGAAAAACTAGCAATATATCAAATTAGATCATAAAATTTAAGATCAACGTTTGTTCATAAAGCATATAATCTTTACAACGAATCAGTAAAACCGCGTCGCTTACTTGAATTTTCTGTCCTTTCAGCTTCGGTACTTTGATTCCAATAGTCTTCAGATAACGTCTCACAACAAATCGAACATTGTCTTTGAAATCGATAGAGGAAAAGTCCTTCATTCTCAATTTTTCGGATACAAAAAGTTGTTTCTTGTCGAGTTTTGTCTTGAGCAAAATTCGAATACTGCGCTCAACCGTTCTTCAATCTGATTGGCTAGACGAAGTATAGACGATTCATGGTCCGAAAATAGACGAAGAATCTCCGAAAATTCGCGAAGGAAATGTCACAAACGAGTAAAGGGCCGACCATGTAACTCTTGAGGGGTAGGGTGGGTGATTTCTGATCATCAAGAATTTTTTTTCTAGCAATCTGGTGGGCAGGATATTTTTTTCCCTTTTTTCCCATAAGCTTTCTATTACATTTGTGCTGCGTGCAATTTTTTTCTTCCGACAAGCGCTTGAAGGAAATTTTTTTTCAAAATCACCCACCCCCTCTCAAGAGTTAAATAGTCGGCCCCTAACGTGACCGGATACGATTACGTAGTTTTAGAGCCACGCGATGACAAGTCTGAGCAGCGAGGACGATCTTCAGTTTTGACTATTTCCGTAAAAAGATATTCATTACGCTATGACGCGATAAATCTTCGGTTACATCATGTATGAAACGATTGCTGACAAACTTTGGTCACCATTTATGGCGACGCCTGTCGCTAGTGCGAATTTCGAACTGTATTTTATTTAAAGATGACCAACGATGCGAGAAGGTAAGCGATCGAATTATCCAGGAATTATGACTTCCCCTCTTCAATATAAACTAACGATAGCGGAGAATTTTTATTTCTGGTAGAGCATTTTGGAAAAGAACAGCTTATTCAAAAGTTTATCGCCGAAAGTTATTCCTTTATCGTTTTCGCATCGTGTGAATTGAAATCTAAGATCTATACTAATATTCGAACGTTGAAGTGACGCTGCACTCTGTCATTATGGTTGTAAAATTTTATTTTGCTAGCCAAGAAGAGTCAACCGAGACTATAGACATGACGAATGATGTGCACAGTGACAAACAGCCCCGAATTGATGATGATTTTATCACAAGTGATGAAGAACAGAGATACCAGCGCGCGGCCTCCTTGGATAAACTGGTGGACTACTGCGTCGAGGAATTCGGTAAGCCATTATTTATACTAATATTTTTTATGTTTATACAAGAACCTTGCGTGTTGTTAGTGGGAAAATTTTTCTGTTTGTTTTTATGATCCATGCATTCATGTTTGATGGGTGTAGTGGTTGTTCTATTATGTTCAAAAAGATGACTTATTTGAAAAGGAAGCCTTTGTTTGTAAAACACTGGGTACAATAATCGAAAACGCTGAAGATCGACCCTTAAAACATTGGCGTGTGTATAAGTTTATTATACACATCCGAGGCGTAACTAACAAAAATACATCTCTGTTGATTGCTTTGCCGCGATATCGAGTAGCTTTTATTTTATTTTCAAGCGTGTAACAAAAAAATTTGGACATCCTCCATATGTTTATAACCACCCGGCAATAATTTGCATACGCTTATGCTAAATCAAGAGGTGTTGTCGAACAGTGGATATGAAAATAAGAGGAGGATTATATTGAGTCTTGTACTTTAGCAATATTCATTGAGCATTGTTCACAAATAATTCACTCGATTCAAGGAAGTTTTAACCGAGGGGCAGAGGTTTCTACATATATCTTCCTTTCTTACAATCATCAGCGTTGTCTGTACGTCTGGATCGACAATAACATTTCCTAATGTAAGGTTCATAAATTATTTATAGATTCATTTGACATATTATGTCAATTTGTAGGAAAAAACTCATTTTAGAATTTCTAGAAAGTCATTAACTGAAGCGTAGTTGTGAATCACTGTATATTTCGCCCGAAATTTGATATTAATTTGGTCTGGTAAAAAATGTTGAAATACATGGAAGGTTTCTGTTAGACCTATTGTTTGTGAATGTGGCATTTATAAAGAATACAATTTATTTTCTTTAATTGATCGTGTAGGATAAATCCATTCTCTGGTAAAACCAGTATTTAACCTAGTTTGTTTTGGAATTTCCGTTGTTTTCTATTAATAATTATTAAGTGTAGGAGACAAAGTTAATTCTGGATTAACCTGAGAACAGATACTACATTTCAACATATAGGCTACTTAATAACAACTGTACGTAAACATGTAGTTGCTTGATGAACTGCTCCATTGCTATGGGCTGGGCATAGCTGAAAAAAGAAAAATAGTATTTGAAAATTAGCCAAAAAGTGCTGTAGGTGCTATGACCAAATAACTTGGTGTAGTACCTGAGCCAAGAAAAGTTAGGCTCTCATGAGATCCAAAATATTTAAAAAAAAATTCTTTTTCTGTTTTACCACAACAATAATGAAGGATTTCCTGAAAAAGGGCATAATTATTATTTGCTTATTATTGAACAGCAAATTACTCCCTTTTTCAGGAAACCCTTCAATTACTACCACAGGAAGTAGTTATATAAGTACAAAGTTAAAAAAGGGCTCTGATAATTGCAGAGGGAACTCAAGACAATGTGATAATTTGTGATAATGCATGGAAAACCATGAAATACAATGTTTTCCTACTCTTGTCTTTCCTATATATGAAAGTGAAATAACCCATTGTGCCAAAAATAGTAATGTTATAAAGAAATAATAACAATAATAATACTGTTATTTGTTAAAGTCCGGCCAATGATCATTAATGATAGCAAAAAAAGAAAAAAAAGGTACACACAAACAAGAAAAAATAAGAATATGGGTTTTTTTTTTACCATAGTTTGGATGTATTTGAATTCAGTGTACATGTGTATGTTTCACATGAAGGAAAAATCCATTCAAAGGTTAAAGCATAATTCCCTGTCTCCTATTGTTCGTAATAAGGTTGGATATTGGTTCAACCGGAGGACAGATACATGTATAATTTTATGTGACTATAAGGCAGTAAGGATTGCAAAGACAAACAAAGGGTAACTTTTAATCATACTTATGTTATTGTCCAATACATAAGTTGTGCCAACAAAGGAACAATTGTGAAGGAAAAGGCACTCCTCACAATTAGGCATCTACAGGTGTAAAACTACAGTCGAATCCCGATAACTTGAACCTTCAAGGGAAATAGAGAACAGTTCGAGTTATCGGGAGTTCGAGTTATCGAGGGTAAAATTATATAGAAATGATCTGAAGGGAAATGAAAATTGCTTCAAGTTAGCGGGAGGTTTGAGTTATAGAGGGTTTGAGTTACCGGGAGTCGACTGTATGATAAAATAGGCTTGGCCACTGTGTATTGCTTGATGGCCTTTAAATTTCATTGCTATGGCACTGAGTCTTTGGAGAATAACAAAACCTTTTTAATGGGGACATGGAAGCGGAAGCAATCTAGTGTGTGTCTGTATTACAGAGATGTAAGGGATCACATGACTTGATTTGCTGTCTTTGAGACCAAACAACTGTTAGTGAAAGAAAAGTGCACGTGTTTAGGAGGTGTACAAAACAAATGATTCAAGTTTACTTCACGTTCAAACACTAAAGGGAGATTAAAAGTCAAATTTTTTAATGTGACATGGATCATTCTAGTAACTCTTTATCAACAGAGTAACTTGACCTCTTTGGGATTATCTTGTCTTGTTTTCCTGTCTAACTTTGCTAACTGTCTGCCTGAGGTGTAATTTGAATCTGATCTCATGTCAAAGGAAACCCTGCTTGGTGACCTTAATTTGTATCTTCAGCGATTAGTTAAGTTCCAGAAGATGTAAAAACAAAGATTATGTTTCCTCAGTACGTGTGCAGTTGTGAGTTCCGGCTCCCGTAGATTTCACTTTAAAGAATTATTAGAATGTCTTAAAAAATCAATATTCTTAAAATTTTTTAAAAGCTTCATTGCACCAAATGTCCCATGAATATTACCTTGTATGTTGTTGATCATATAGAGTATGTTTAGTTTACAAGTGTATACATGCATGAACATGTGGATCAGATATTATCTTCTTTTGTTGGTACATGTCAGTCAGGGTTCATAATTAACGTGCTGGCAAAATGTGAGCGGGTTTTGGTACTTGCAAGTCAAAAGAATTTATACCCTCCAGCAAACATCTGTGTGTAAGCATTTTTTCAGTAAAAATTTGATTTGAAAAACAGAATTAATTTTTTGACAAAAAAGTTGGTTTTACATTTAATGTGTGTACAACTAGGAAGGAAGCGGGATCTACACTGCATGCCTGGGCAGGGGTACTTTGGATTTCGAGTGATGAGGATGATCGCAGGTATTTTTTGGGTTTGAAATTTTTGATCCCAGGATTCTTTTGGTAGGAAAATTTGTTAAGTTTTTTTGGGGGTGGCTTGATTTAAGTACTAGCGATTTTTCAAAAAAATCTGAAGATTTGTGGTTGTGCATGCGGATCCAAGCCGCGCACTTCTGTGATCATCCCCATTCACTGTATTCAGCTGTATGTTTTACTCTGTAAGTAAGAGCCTATGAAAGCTACTTGACTGTACTCTTCTAGAAAATCACAATGCATAACTTCACACTTTTAGAACTGCTTACACTTCAGCTTTTTCTTTTTACGAGTAAGAGTTAAGATTGCATTCTGCACATATGTTTACATGTTGTGTATGGGAAATTCCCTCAATTGTTTGGGGTTGAGGAATTAAAGGAATTTTCTTAATAAGGAAAGTCTTAAATGTGTGTGTTTTTTTAGACCATTTTATACAACTAAGCCGAAAATTCATGACTATTACCATGACTTGATATACTGTGATCATTGTAGCTTTTCCTCCCACTTCTGCGAGTCAGACAATTTAAATAGAAATACAGCTTAAACTTTAGAGCGAAGATCAAATATTTAACTGAACCTGTAATTTCTATTTTTATGGTGACAGTTGAAATTATTCTTATGGAGTACATTTTTTAAATTATACTTTCTAAGAATATTTTTGCCATAGTTTATTGGATGTAGGTATTAGATCAAGATCACTTTATCTCTTTAATAAAAAACTGTCTGATACGAAGATCTGCAACTTATTTTTTCAAGAAGCCTTTGTAGTGTGTAATTGTTTGCCTTGTACCAGGCCTTTCTTAGGGTAAAATTGCAACAAGTGACATGCAGCATGGGTTAAACACTCACAAAGATCATGGCCTACTCCTCAAACTTACGGCGCTTTCCATTTATCAGAACTGGCCAGCCCGACCTGTCATTTTGACAATGAAATTGGCTTTTTGCAAGGGTTTTTGCCGAAAAACCATCCCCTTCCTACATACTCTTTAGGATTTGACTAATCTGGCCGAAAAGTTTTGATTAACAGTGAAATTCTCATTACGTTGGGAAGGGTCTGGCCGGCCGGTTCTGACAAATTTTGATATTCAGACTAGGGACGTACATACCCCCTACCCCCCTCCTCTTTAGAGGGTCTCTTGTACATCATGTTAACATTAAGACTGATTTGATTCTGTCTTTTAGCAGGTGGAAATCCTCAGCCTACAATGTCAGAGGCGTTTCTTTCAAATTGTGTATTTATGACATACAAATGGTTCCTTTCCTCCGAAGAGCTTCTCAAGAAGTTTATGCAACGGTATCCTTGACTGTATGAAAGCACAGTTGGGTGTTTTTTTTTACCATGATAAAAATATAATTTGTTCTTATGTTTGTACATGTTAAATGTTGTGTTGTAATGATAAGGTTGTTGTATATTCCAGTTTTTACCTGTGATTATTATAAGATAATTATATTCCTGAGATTGCTTTTTCTTCTGAGAATTGACAGTTGTTGTTAAGAACATTGCATAGAGCCTTTTTTTTTACACATTGTAAACAAAATTAATGTACAACTGAAACATCATCTCTTATGCAAGTCCACTTTATTAGCATTTAGCATTCTATAATTTTATTTTTGTGCAACTGAAGGTTAGTTTTCCAAGAAAAAAATGTGGTTATAAACCATATAGCCTAGCTTTTATCAAGAAATAAATGTGTTAAATTAGTATTTTGTTTAGATTACTTCCCTCTAGTGTCAAAATTGACCAACTTCACTGAAAGATTTTGAAACAGTGTACTATTTGAAACCAAATTTTAAAAAACTTTTCATAAAATTAAAATAATTAGCATCACAAATAGAAGTAGACTGATAGATCTGGATTAAATCTTGATCATTTATTGCTACTCAGAGTTTCATGCCTCTTATGAAGCAATCATCAGGCAAATGTTATTTATTTCTTGATTCAAGTCAATTATCAGATACTCTGATTTCTCCAATTCAAGTAACAAACAACAAAGAAAGTTCAGGACAAGTCTTTGCTATGCTGTTGGGTATGTAAAATATTTTAATTTTATTCTAAAATTAATCCGGGCTTAAATCATTAACTGTGGAAATGAGTTTTACAAAAGCATGTTATTCTAGAAACTAATTAAAAACTTGTTAATATTTTTTATGGATGAAGAATTAAAGAAATAATATTAATTTATCATCATTTTTTAAGTGTATTTGATTTTATTTCAGCTTCAGTTGAAATCACCAAATGAAGTATTGTCACAAGATCATCCAATGAAATGCGTGTCATTTTTATGTGCACAGGTTTTGGATAACAAGATATGGAAATGACTTCAAGAAGAATGAAAAATTGACATCACTACTGAAAGAATTTCACCAGAGCGTAGAATTTGAGGTGGAAAGAGAAGCCATTGATCCTTCTAATATGTAAGGGGACCAGCAGTTATCCCTCGTATTCATTTATTTGTTCCTTCCTTCTTTCATTCATTCTTTCTTTTTTTCCGTCATTTATTCATTAGCACATCTGTTCATTCATTCGCTCACTCGTTTGTTTTTTCGTTTGGTTGGTTTCTTTGTTTTGTTGGTTCATTTTCATTTTGTCACTCTTTGATCTTTAACCCAGTGATTGGAAGTAAGTTAACTAACCCTGTACTGTAAATGATGACCTGCTACCTTTGCTCTTTAAAGATGAAAATTTAAGTTAGGGATACCGGTAACATTGTGCTTGGCATTTACTTCCTTATCAGAGGTGTTGAGGAGATGCGGCACCATTCATTCAGTGGGGTGACAGTTGGCGAACAGCAACCATTAGGACAACGAAAGGGTTCTATGGCTTTTAAGGATTTATCAGCTACTACCATTGCGGAACAACTTACTTTTCTTGAATACAGAATGCTTCGTAGAATACCAGTAAGGATAACTCATTTCTTGGTCATTTTCTTTTTGGGTTGTTGTTGTTTTTTTTTTTTCAGAAATGGTACCTTACCACCAGGGCAGTCTTTTTGGAGCAGGGGCCAAAAACTGCTCAGACCAAAATGGGCAAAGTGTAGACCCGTTTCAGACCAAAACAGCGCAAAAACCCAGCCAATGGGGCAGCACATACCTATATGGCTTGATTCACTTCTTTAGCTCACAGACAAAGAAAATTTAGCCAAGTCTCTAAAAAGTATAGACAGCTTTTCACATGCACTTGGTGTCCTACTGAGAGATAGTCAGCCCTTTAGATAGTCAAGGAAGATGACTATTATATGTAGAACAACACAGACCAACTTCCAAGAGTTTACCTAAGCCTCCATTGCATTTCTTTAAAAGTATATACCGGTATATGGAACCCTGATTATCAACATTAATTTTTCATATCCAGTTTTCAGAGTGGAAGACATATGTTCTTACTGGCAAGTTAAAGGACACCACCTATCTGGACAGATATGTAGCTCTATTTAACGGTGTATCACGTTGGGTACAAGGCATGGTGTTAAATTGTGTTTCCCCTCAAGAAAGAGCGGCTTGCTTTGAAAAATTCCAACAAACAGCTAAAGTAAGTAATTAAGATGGTACTAGGTCAGTTATACTGTAATTTACACTGCGAGCAGAGGAGGTTTTTTTCTGGCATGGCCTTGTTTGAGTGGCTTGTCAGTCGCATATTTGGTCTGTTTATTCCCAAAGAGAAACTCAAGATGAGCTCTCCAAGCTTAAACAAACCAACTATGTGACTGACAAGCCATGCAAAAGACTTCGTGATTGCTAGAGGCTGTGTTGGAAAGAAAGCTCTGATCACTGAGTAGCTGTAAGTAAGATGTCCTTATAGTGGTTACAAGATAAAACAAAATTGTGCTCTCCAATTGGAATGTATATTATTGTCTCCCTGTTTTGGGCTAGATGAAGCATGTTTGCATGTCTCTTACCAATTTATTTTCTTTCAATAATTAGCATTTAAAAGAGCTGCAAAATTTTAATGGTCTCATGGCCGTGGCAGGAGGGTTAAGGAGTACAGCTTTATCAAGATTACAAAAAACTCAAGAGCTGCTCAGCCAAGACTGTAGAGAGGTACAGCAATAATATGAACTCTGTGATGTCACCGTTGTATTCTCATGATGCAAATGCCTGTTGGGTTACTTCTTCACCTAGATTCTAATTATTTAATTTAATATTGATAGAAGGGAAACTGGAGATTTCTGTGGGTAGTTTTCCCCTTGTTGACAAGTCCAGTAAAAATCAGCAGGGAATCCCTCTTGGTTTTTGTTTCTTGTTTAATCGTTTGTTTGTTTTTGGGTGTATACTACTGCAAATCAGGTGATATGACTTTTCTCTTCCTGCTATCTCTGAGCTCATGGATGTTAAGTATGTAAGCCAATCAGAATGCAGATATACTGAATGCTAGAGTAGTGTTGAAATATTCTTTGAAAAGATCAACAGAATCTTTCCTGAGTTAATTAACTTCAAATTATCTAATTTCCTTTTTGTTCTTTTCTCAGTTCATGAAGCTGTTGATGGAGTTTTTATCCTCCAATGGGAATTATGCATTCTACAGGAAAGCATTAAATGATGCTGCTTATAATGGATTCCATATTCCTATCTTGTAAGTAAGATACATCTCTAGTAAGTTTTCCTTATATATGACTAAAAGGTGGGTTCCTTCTGTAGGTACTGAGGCACAGATTACATACAACAAAAGAAACAATACAACCAAACAATAAAGCCCCCCCTCCCTGGAGAACTCTATTGTTTGGTTCCTTTGTTGCTTTTGTGACCACGGTGCCCACAGAAAGGCCTACAAGGCACCTGGGAATTAGGGAGCAAGAGATTTATTTTGGGCCAAGAGTAATGGATGTAGAATGATGTAATGTCTCTGCAAGGTCCAAAGGGAAGCCTGTGCAGTGAACACCCTTTTTTTGAGTCCTGTGTAATATAGTGAAAAACAGTTCAATGGTTGCTAAAACTCTTGAAGAGCAGTCAGTCAGTTTCAACATGAGCATTCTCAGGGTTGTCAGAAAATTTTGAAGGAGATGGCCAGGTTGTGAAAGTAAGCAGCCAGGCCAGGGATATTTTTTTAAAAAAACGCCATCCATAAAGAAATGCCAAGCAGAGTAGCCAGCCGATACTAACCAAGCAGGCAGTGATTTTCACCAGCAGCTGGCCACTTTTGACAACGCTGATTCTTGTCATGGCTGTCTTGATGTGCATGTTATAGATACCTTTGTAAACAAAGTGGCTCCTCTCATTGATATGAAATTTTTTATAAACCACCTTAATGGAAGTGTAGGGTTTGATTTTATTGCTCATCATGTGTGTTTTATTTTTTCTTTTCCTTCCTCTTATCCTGAATGTCTTGGAAACCAAAATAATAATGTAGAGGTGAGTAATAAAATTCCTACATGCACCAATACATCTGTAAGTACAGGATGTTAAACGTTAGTTAAGAAGCTGTTCTTATGAATGTCAGGGTTGCGTTTGTATTAGGTCACACTTGTTAAATTGAACTAAAGAGCATCAGAGCTCCAGGTGAGTGTGGTCCTAAATAGGACTATTTTTGGCAGTGACTGGCATTTGGGCAACCTGTAAGACACCCAGAAGCATGAGGGTTGTTGTCTTTGATGATGTCTACTAGTACTGCACGGGTTGTTGAAAATGTCACTCAGTCTCTAACAGTCTTATTCAGAACTCCACCCACTTGGGCACCATCTACCCATGATAAATTGACCATCAGTTTTCAAAAGGTTTCATGCAGGTGATTTTTTCTTCCTACAGGTATTCAACTGAAGGATTTTATCGCCCTTCACACAGTCCTTCGTGATAAGACTGACGATGGCCTCCTTAATGTACAGAAGATGATTCGATTGGCACATATCATGTCTCCATTGCTACCGGGTCATAGCAGTCAACCACCTATTCAACCAAATATGGACCTCATTAAAATGTTGAGGGTAAGAGGAATGGGAAGTTGTACTCTAAGAAAATTAACCCTTTAAGCCCCGGTATCCACATACAAATTCTCCAAACTGGTCTCCATACATTTCCTAAAGAATCAGTTGAGAAAATTTGATAACAGATCAAGGCATTTTCTCTTGGGTGATCATTTTATTAATTCTCATAACCTCATCTCTTGACAGTGTATGGATACTGTTAGGAGTAAATTGACATTGGTCACTATTGGGACGTAAAGAGTTAAAGGGGGCCAGTGGTCTGAACCTGAGAAATACAGGGCACCCAATGTACATTTTTGTAGCCTTTCTTTGAATAAACTATGATTCCAGGAGTGGATCCAGAAAAATTCTGAAAGGGGGCTAGCACACTTGCCAGCTGTATAGTACTCAGGGTTTTTACTAAGAGCCAGTAGAGAGCAAATTTCTATGATGGGTACTTTTCTTTGGAAATCACACTCCCCTTCCCCAAAAAAGCCAAAATGCAATGTCTGAGTTCTGTTCAAAAACTCAAAATACATTCTTAGAGGCCCAGATCTCATAATATTGTTCCAGGGGGACTTGCCCCCGGATGGACCCCCCTAGCAACTTGTGTTGCTGGTGCTCGCAAGTCACTCCTGTGGCACAAGATTTTTCCTTCTCTGCCTACTCCAAAGCTTTTGCCACCTTCTTAAAACCTTATTGAAAGCCCCGAGTACTATTTATTTTACCGAGAATCCTTTAAAGATACTACAGAATTTGACAAGAAAGGGTGGGCCATAGTCCCCTCTGCCAACCCTTAATGCCACGCACCCAAGCACAAAAGTAAGGTGCCAGAGGCCACCAGGCCAGCACTGCTGCAGCACAGCCCTGGAGTGTAACCTATAGCTGGTATTTGAATTTGTAACTCCACTGACTATAAGCTTAACTTTTAATTTTATTTATAACTTGGTGTGTAGGTTTCACTGCAGCCGCGATTCACAGAAGAGGAGTTGTATGAGCTCTCTCTTGCCAGGGAACCAAGAAGCCCCTCTTCTTCTGTAAGTTTTTTATTCATTTATGGTATGTTATCTATGTAAAGTGTCAAAATATTGAAATCTCTAACTACCGGGCCCCAGTTGTGGAAACCTTGAATAGTACCATTCACCAGATATATCACTAACCAACAGATAAGTTTTAAGGTAACTGATTGCTAATCCATTTGATCCTATCCAGCGGATAGTGTTATCCACTCTTTGAACAACTCGGGCCAGACTCTGAAAAGTTAAATTAAACGGTTGGGTTTTTTGTGCTTTCTTCAGAGCTCCGGAAGCCAAACAAGTGAGCAGAATCTCATGTTCGCTGATTGGGCAGCCGAGTTACTACACTCAGCCCCAGATCCCGACACCACAGCCAGACATGTGTCTTCAATGGTAGATGTGAGTATTAGACTGTGAGATTTTACCCTTGCTCACTCAAGCAAAATTTGTTTGACAGTGCAGTTAATTAGATTGAAAGCGAACTATTTAAATATTTATCAAGGAATTCCCTAAGCTTTTTCGTTGAAAAGTGTTTGATAATTTTGAGGCCAACGCCCATTATTGTGACAGTATCCTCTTGCACTTAAGGCGTTTTTAGGAGCGGCACAAATTCAAGTTTACCAGTAACCACTCTAAGTGTTTATATTAACTTTGAACCTGTTATAGGAAGGCTTTTGCCTGTTATAGTTAGATTGATAAATTTTAGATTATAAATTTTAGGTATTCTTAAGTATACTTTATTGTAATTATTACAGGTAGTTATAGTTGTAAGGCGCATTTGATCATATTCAGATGTTAATTTGCGCCTAATAAGAAATAAATTATTATTAATAAATTATTATCTCTTATTTGTTGTTAGGCTGTCTTCAAGATTTACGATGTCAATAAAGATGGTTCGATTTCAGTGGAGGAATTCGAAACAATCGCTACAAATTTCCCCTTCATCGATTCATTTGGCGTTATCGACGTCAACAGGTATAACTTTTCGGCATCAAAAACGTACATTTTTTTTGAAACAAGGAATTTTTTCAGCTAAAAACGAGAGGAGAATTTAAGAAGACTTCCAAGAGATGACTTTAATAATGAATTATACATGTTTATCCATTTTTGGTCAAGAGTGGTAATGTAATACATTACGCTTCGCGTGTCTGCTGCCATTGTTTCCTGCGACCAATTAGGAGAGACCTTACGTGCAGCTCCTACACGGCCCTTAAAATTTTTTTGTAGAACGCAACCCAGGTCTTAACATAGTATAGTAATTGCTGTAACTTTCTGTGTTTGTTTTACAGTGATGGTGTAATTAGTAAAGAGGAGATGAAAAGTTATTTTATGAAAGCAAACTGCCATGAACTGAGTAAAGGCTTTTCGCATAACTTTCAAGAAACTACATACTTCACTCCAACCTACTGTGATCACTGTGGTGGCCTGGTAAGAAAATCTCATATCTCATTTCTCATATCGGCCAATAATCGAGGCAGGACTTATAGCGCAGTTTACGCGCAGTAGCTACATTACTTAATGCGTTAACTTCCGAATTTTTCGCTCGCATTTTCAGCAGTAGCAAATATCTCCTTATTCCTCTGGGCATTGTTCAAGTTGAATTTGACCCCTGGCCAAACACGTTGCCGGTCCTAGGCTTGTTAGCCTCCCAGCAAATCTGGCGCGCACTTTTGCAGCTGATCCACGTCAAGTGAAAAATGCTCCGCGCGATTTTGTAGGCCATACTTATTAGGCATTGCTTGGCTTTCGTGTAGTTTGCCATTTCCCATTCTGAGATTCGAGAGCTTGCTTCAAGCTAGTTATTCATGGTGAGTTCATTGACTGTGACTGTAAGCTTAAGCGTGCGAGTCTCACCGACTTTTTCGAGACGGGGCTTGTTTGTTAGATTGGAACCAAATTAGCACACACACGAAAAAACAACTAATGTAAACTAGATCCCTCACCACTTAAAAAAATGGGGAAAGTTGGTACATTATATTTGAACATGTCTTTGTCTTGTTTACATTTTATTTTCAATATTATCTTTTTTTTTACAGCTATGGGGAATCATCAAACAGGGCTACAGATGTAAAGGTGATGTTATTTGCAAAATCCTTTATGAGTTGCATAAACATTGTTTTCGTTTTAACAAGTGTAGGTTAAACACAATACGTGTAACCGAATTTATGGGAATGGTCCTAGTAGCTTTTAAGACATAATGATATGGGCGTGATATAGAGGAACACAATGAAGTTTGTATGTTCAAATAATATAGATCAGTTAATCTAGTCAATTTAATGCTGATTGTTAATTAGTGCTTTATTTTTAACTCTTCTAGATTGTCATATTAATTGCCACAAGCATTGCAAAGCGGAGGTAGTCAAAAACTGTCAGAAACCAGCTCCTCAGTCACATGGTAAAAATTTATTGTTTTATTACTTTAAATTTTATCCTCTTTTGTTTGAAACTCATTACGACACCTTGACATACCTAAAATTCATTTAAAAAGTAATTTGAAAAAAAGGATGAATTGAACCGCAACATAAACTTAAATATCAACTTAATAAAAAAAGAAAACAGAACGCGTCTTTCAAGAAAAATTAATCATTTAAATAAATAAACTATGAACTTTTAAACCACGAGGTCCCGTCAGGATTTCCTGTTCGTGCGTGGCCTCCTTGGAAACCAGGTGGTAGATGTCTCAGTTTTTCGATGAAGTTGTAAAACCTAAGGGAACTGTAATAGGCACAATGGCCGCTATCAATAATCAGTCTGCGTTTTTCCCACTTCTCTGCGACTTATAAAGTAATAATAGTAATAATGATAATGATGATAATGATAACAATAATAATAATAAATGAATAAATAAATAAATATTCAACCAGGAGTCTCCACTCACTGCAACTGTTTGGGAGGCGCTGGTATTAAAATTGATGACACTTTCTGAAACAGAACAGTGCTTTTTAAAACGAATGCCTAAAAGTAATGATTGTATTTAAAAAGTTTAAGAAATCTAAAAATCTAAAACAGTTAAATTCATAACATCAGTACAGTTTGAAGGAATCTAAACTTAAAAAATCTGTGACAGACAATTGGCTTTTGCCGCTTATTATTTTGTATGGAAGAGGTAATTTATTTGCACCAAAAAACAACCTTTTCCAAGGAAGCCAGTCGCGGCAGGTAATAAGATAATGGTCTGATCTACGGTACCAAAGGGTTTCGGCAAGTGCACGAAAAAGGCTTCGGTCCCTAATTCTCCACAACTTAGAATCAGTTATGCGTGATACATGTAAAACGATCTCCGTAGCCGAGAAAAAGATTTGGACGAAAGTCAAAATGTTCAGGAGGGGAGGGGGGGGCAAGTTCTTGTTCTTTTGAAGGTATCTGAATATCTACGGATGTACTGCCTTTTTTAGAATCCTACTCATTGTTAGCAAGACTGTGATTGGTTTATAATAATTATTGTCCTCACATCAATTTCCATACTTAAATTTGCCACTTACCTTCTCAATTTAAAAATACGAGTCATGACATCGGCTACCTCCTTCAGTAGTCGCGTCAAATCCTATCGCCTTGTTTGGCCTCAAATGTACCAACTTTTTCATGACAAACTGATTTCTCAGCGACTGGAGAAAACGGGAATTATTCACCCAGGAATCAGACAGTTTTCTACTGCGATGAAAGAGCAAGCGGAGTGACGAAGCATGGCGCTTAAATCGGGTCAACGTGACAAGTAATATCTTACCTTGCTGATTTTAACTCTTTTCAACACCTGCAGAAATATCTCCCCGCAAATCGGTTTTACTGAGATCTAAATTGAAAAGCAGAATGAAGCTCCATAAACACCACTCGGATGGATCGCTAAAGAGTATAGGCAGAGAAAAGCGTCGCTCAATGGACTCGCTAAGGAGCATTAATGGAGAGAGCGTCAGCAAGCGCTATTCTGATTATTCCTTGAGGAGCTTCAACGGCGATTGCGTTAGTATACCAATCGACCAATACGAACAACTACTTAAGGCCCAACAGGTCAGTGAGATAAACAAATCTTCTTTTTCTTTAGCCACATTGCCTGGTTGTTTTTTATTTTTGCTGTTACTCCGAGAGGTTTTTTTTTTCTTCGCCTCTCCTTAATAAACCAACACTTCCAAATTCCAATTCCATCTCTAGCGTGCGAACACTTTCAAACCAGTTCCTCAGATCCTTTAAGTGTTTCGTGAGCAAAAAATAACATTTGCGTTTTTTGCTGGGAGCCTAAATCTGCTAGGGACCTTAGGCACCCACGACGGCAGCATTAGCGACGGCGGCTTTGACACAATAAAAAGAAAGATAAATAAAGCAACGGTGTGCGTTTTCACATGCGTTTTCAGTGTTTTGTATGGAAAACATGAAGACACAACAGGTTACTTTAAGTTGCAGTGACGTTGTACTAATAATGCTAATTCTACTAATTCTACTAACAATAATAACATACAATTAACATCTTAATGAGCAGTGATAAAAAGACAGATCAGCAAATCAAAAGATCAGTAAGAGTGACAATCGAACAATCATTCATCAGTCATTCATATTCGAACAATCATTCATTCATTCATTCAATAACAACTAACTCAAGAACAATTTTAAATTAATTTTGAAGGGCGCAAATTGATTTTGTTGTGTTTTGGTGTTTTTTTATTTTTATTTTTTTAAACAACGTTGCCTCAACTTTGCCGTCGTATTTGCTTAAAGTCCATATTACATTTTATTGTCAAGCCTATTGTGTTGTCACGGTTTTTCACAGACTTTGCATTATTGTAGCCTGAAAAAAAAAACAGCCGACATTTCACGACCTTACAACTGGTTTCCCCACAAAATGACGTCTGAGAAACGAGCGCAGAAATTCCATGCTGATGACGTGTTACTTCTCAGGTCTGGCAGTGATTTTGATTGGTTGAAGCACCTTTCCCTCGCGGCACGACCAATCAGAAGCACAACCCAGACCTGGGTAGTGACACGTCATCAGTATGGAATTTCTGAAGTCGTTCCTCAGACGTTATTTCGCGGGAAACCAGTCTTGGCCGCGACAAATGTCGGCTGTTTTCTCAGGCTAGCATTTTTGTGGTTCCTTTGTCTTTTTTGTAGCGCGGATTTTACCATGTAACCAATCAGACAGCATTATGTGCAGGCTAAAATGTTTAAATTATTTTTTGACTTTGCAGTGTAACGAAGAAATCTTGTTGGAAAACGCCCGTCTTCGAGGCGAGTTGCAGGTCGCTCAACGCAATGAAAGCTCGCTACGAGAGCAGCTGGCCTCTCTGAAAGAGACCACTGTGACTTTTATAATGGATCAAATGGACGCTTTACAAATGCATAAAGATACTCAAGTATAGCAGATACCTGCACCGCTGTTCGAGTTCAACGGTGTTTCTTAATTGTCCAATATTCACCGCTTGGTAGGTAGGCTGTTTAAAGTACCTTATCGTCAAAACCGTGGGCATGTTCTCGGGCGGCCATCTTGGTTTCAAATTTACCGAGGTGGCGGGTGTTGGGGTTCGTAACCCGCTTCCTACCCCACTAGGAAGAATTTATACTCTTCCCCAGGTTACGCTTAAAATTGAGACGAAAATGGCCGCCTGTTACATCTCGACGATCATAAGGAACAGGGGACTGCAAACAGTCTACTTGTTAGGTAAAGTGGACGAAAGTAAGCGTCTTTGGATGGAACATAACAATACTTACACTACACAACTTTTTTAAAAGTGATCAGCTGTTGTCACCTTTTTACCGATTAAGAGGTCGCCTTGGAGTGATTAATGTACAGGAAAAATCAAGCGTTAACAGTGCCTACGTGGCGTTCTTAACACCAAGCATATGCTGACGTATTATTTTGTTTAACCACACCAAGGAAATACGTTCGGTGCGCTTCTATGGCAGAACGGCAAACTGAGCACCGTAACCTTTCCGCCGTCTTTCAACTTAAGAGATCTCATTTGACGTTGCGTTTTCTTAAAAATAACGAATAACTTACGTAACACAGCGTTTTTCTACTCTGTCCAATCACAATGGAAAGCAGACAATCTCGTGAACCAATCACATCAAATATAGTGATTCACCGTAAAGCGCGGGAACAACCGTGAGGGTAGATCACGTTTTACTTGTTATGGATCGAAAAAAAAAATGACGCCAATTGAACAAGCTTGGAAAAACACCTACTGAAGAGACATTTACTTAAATTTATGTGAATTTTTAAATGTCTTTCAATTTACCAACAGAGTGGTGCTAAAATAGTACCTATTGAAAATATTCTCAGAAACTCTGTTGTTTGTAGATAAGGAATTTTTATTCATACTGTACTTTTTAGTGTACGCGACTTTGTACATTATAATATGGCATATTGTATGTGCATTTTTTTCCTAGTTACTTTATATCGTTTTACATGCAATATTCTGACTTTTATTAGAGCGAGAAGAGGCCAGACAGAGTTGCAATTATCACAAGTTTGCCATCGTTTTGGTGAAGACTTAAGTTTAAGTAATTAGTAGCAGTAAGAAATATTTGTCCGGAAGCAAAGTTTTCTCCCAAAGTCATCCACTTTTTAATTTAAAAGGGATTGCATTTGGTAAAGTTGTGTGTAATTACCGCTCTGTTTTGCCATTTAACCTATCTTCTTACGCGAAGTGACACTTTGTTATAGGTTGCATGCCCGGCAGGACTACATTTTAATTAATTTCGTACAGGAAAGTGAGAGTTTCCAAAACTCTCACTTTCAAAACGAGGCTAAGGGTAAAAGCTTTTTTGTGAAAATTAGTTTATTTGTATGAGAATGAAATTGGAGCAGCTTGTAAATGACCTGTTTTTGAAGGTAATCTTTGTAGAAACAATTGTAAAAGGCTTTTTTAAACTGCTTGAATTGGTTGAATGTTATAAGACCCAACTTCTTAATAATCACCTGTTACAGTTGCCCTTTACGGTTTGTTTTGTGCAATTCAAGCGGTGAAAATGTTAATATTTAAAAGATGTATAAATATCAAAGTCAGGTAGACGTGGCGAATAATTCAAATGTAATATTTGTAAAAGTACTACTACGTAAATTAAATTATTAGCTAAATTTTGAGGACGTAAAATAATGTTATTCGAAACCTGAAATAATGGCCTTATGATTTTTAAGCTCCAGTCGATTCCAGCCCATAACATTATATAACTGGTCAAAGGTGGTTGGAAGGGTATCACTTTCCACCTCCCATTGTCTCCTTTCTCTCCCCCCTCCCCCCCCCCCTCCAACCCGGATCAAAGGTGTCCTACGCACGCAGTTGTTTTTTGAGTCGTCACGCGATATGGGGTGGAGCATTGCGTGACGACAGTTGCGGAGGAGACCACTTCCGTGCTTTCTTGTATAAAGCATTTCATTCCGCTTGGGGAATCACTCCTCCAAACTTCCCTATAGCAAACGTTACAATAGTCCAGTTTCGAATTAAAAATTACCGCTCAATACAAACATTAACGACGCCTTCATACAGGGTTAGCCTCGATTTAAAGTAAAATATTCACAAATTCCGGCAGTGCAAATAAGTGTTTGAAATTGGAAAATACACAATAGACAGAGTAATGAATCTTCTCGTTGGATTTTGTAAATATTTACTTTGGATGGAGGGTGAGCCTGTAAAAAATGCGTCTTCACTTCTTTTATTCACTGGTCATAACGAACTCGAAACTAGACTACTAATTTACCTAGTCCCTAGGCCCTAATATTCCGCGCGGTCATTGGGCTTCGGATCACGTGGTCTGAGCGACGTCACCGAAATGCATTGATCGAGAAGGCCTGGAAAGACGCCGTACATCGACCAAGCAGACAATTTATCAGACTTTTCTGCATATATCTCTACACTTTTTTTGCCTTCCGCGCATGACCAGAAACTCGGTCAACGCTGTCAGCTTTTCTCGTCTTCAGCCTCCGTGTTTGTACTTGTCACTGATTCCCGCGCTTCTTGCCTCCATTTCATCCGTCTGTTCTGAAACCACACTTTAACTTGATTATCAGACAATCCTAACATGGAGGCTAGCTGATGCCTGTCTGCTTTGGTCAAGTATTTCTGCACTTGAAAACGCTTCTCGAGCCCCTTGCGCTGTAAGTTTGAAAATACTGCTCGTGTCCAGGGTCTCCTTGGTCTGCGCGGTCTCGTTTGTCCGTGAATAGACTGGGTAAGTTGTTCTGAAGAAGATGACGGGTGATTGCTTCCACAATCTGCGAAAAGAACACAACTGTACTGCTGTAGTTTCTTTCAACTTTAATATAGCTGATTAGGTTCTTCATTAGGAGGGGTCCGGTCCTTTTTTTTTTTTGTGACCTTTTTTTGCTTCCAAAATTGAATGATAAGAAAGTTCGATAAAACTTAACTTTTGAGTTTGTGGACGAAATCTGAGTAGTAATTTCCTGTGGTATCGTTTAATAGGCTTTTTTCAATCACGTGGTCAGCAGCCATGCAAATTTTTTAGAACAAAAGAAATTTTCTTCATAGACAAGAGTTCATTCCCCGCAGGATTTTTTTGGTACAGTACCAACATGGCTGCCGTGACATCAAGTGTAACTGACCTGTAGTCTTTTGATAAATTTCGTTGATGTAACCATTGAGATGAAAACAATTTAGTAACACTTTCACATGATGCAACTTTTTTTCAATATTTTACAAAGATAATTTTTGTGTTTTTGTTTTGGTCCGACACTCACCCTATGACAATTAAATTTGTTTTAGCTAAAATATTCGGACGCTTAATAATTTTTTTTAAAATTTATTTTACTAACTTTTGAGCCTTTGAAAAAATGTTTCCTCAACAGTAAAACATTTACCTTGCACTCCAAGAAAAGATGGGTTGCCATGACAACTGTATCCACGTGACCCTGTGTAACACGTGTATGGGGCATTCCAATAGCAGGGATGTCTTGAAACGTGACAGCGTGATCCTGAAAAAGCAAACATTATATTTCAGCATTTAGCACAACACATTCGGGGTCTTTTCCTGTCCTTACCAACTTATTTTAGCGGGTCCATGTTCAGCGTTTCTAGCGCAATTGTGATTTTAGTATGAGATGGTGGAATTTTAAAAAATTTACAAAAATAAAGAAAAGTGTTATCAAAAAAGTCTTAAGACAAAAAAAATTGAGTTGACTTGCAAATATTCGGTCTGTGCAAATTTAAGTAAGGTGCAAAACGTTATTTTGAGTGATAATCAACCTTGAACAGTCTGTCAATGAATTCGTTGGGTTCCTTTTCCCTCGTAAGAGTACCTTTCACTCGGAGTTAAGTCTTTGACCAGATATTTTTTTCAACTACCAAGGAAAGTCATACACCACCGAAAAATTTTCAAACCTGAGTAATCAATCAGACATTTGACAGCCACATGACACTTGAGCACAGCTGAAAGTTTTTCCTTTCACTCTAAACGTTTATCCTGTCTTCGGACGTGCAATGGTTTTTAGTGTTAAGATAAATTCATAAGGAAATAAAAGGCATTTTGGGAGTTTCTTTTTGATTGAAAAATGAAAGCTACTGAGCAGTACTTTCCTGTGGTACTGTTTAAGCTGTAAAGGTGATTCTAACTTTTGAGTCTGTGGATGAAATTGTGTGACGTTTCTAACTTTGAGTCCGTACATGAATCGAAACCTCTCTTAAAGTGTGGACAGTCGAAATGTATGTCACACTGAGTATTCGTTTCTTATGGTGCTCCTGGCTATGCAATATTCTAAAAGATGGTATTTAAATTTTCTCTTTCTCAAAAAAAGATGTTTTCACCAATTGTGACAAGTCAGTTAATTGCTACCTCATTCTCGGCATAATAATCATTTAAATCTTTGCACAGCTTGTAATGGTAAAGTTTTAAAAGTCTTTGGTTTGAGGTCTAATATTTGCGCTTTTTAGAGTTTAAGGCAGATTTATAGCCATTTATGTTTTTAGCCTGTTAAAACAAAACATCAAACAATACGGATTAACAATGGAGACCCGGCTGAAAGAAGTAGACTGATTTAAAAACAATTTAGAAAAGAATAAGTTATCTCAGGTTTGAAACACCACTCTCTTTAGCAAACGGAATGCATTGAACTATGATTTTAAAATAAAAAATAAAAATTTTCCCTGGATAAGAGGATCTTAATGAACGACGATAAACTTAATGAATGTCAAATTTGGTAGAACGAAAACTGATCAGTGTTAAAAAAAGTTAACCATAACTTGTTTCTTAATGAAAGTTTCGAGGTTGATGAAAACGAAATATAGCTGAAATGAATGCCTGATGAACTAAATGAAGGCTGAATGACACGTAGAGGCAACTTCAAAGTGAAACCGTCGAAAAGAGAGAGGTGAATATGTGGAACAAATTAAAATATGTCATAAAAGCA